GGAGTTTGTGCTCTATACAACACAGTGGCAGACAAACAACCACTCTTTAGAGAGAGAGAGAGACTGGGCCACATGCGATGAAACGCATTGCAAGGAAACTGTGGTTTTAATCAGGGCTTACAATATTTGTATATGCATCACTCCGGGTGTTTCCGGTTGTCCGTCCAATAGGGTCTCCCTGGCTAGGGTGTCAAGTCGTTTGCTTCACGCTCTGAAGGTTGCGGATTCCTTTCATAGACGTGTTGTTCAGGTCATGAATGCCGTTTTTACTCAGGTCCATGTCGATAAAACAAAGTGCCAATAAGTCGATCCTCTACAATCACTTCAATATCATGGATGGAATCAAGTCTAACACATTTGGCTTCTTTTTATCAGGGTTTCTCTTGACCGTCCTCATTATCTCTGTTTCCTATTTCATTGCCTGTACACTCAGCGTCTGTGGCTTAGGTGTTGCAAACGCTCTTTGTAATGCCGGGTTCGATCCCAGCTGTGGACATTGCGCTGGTTTTAACAGTGGTATTGAGAAGTCGACCGCACAGAAAGCAATGGCAAACTACTGGATGTAAACTAGCCTAAAAATACCACAACAGCCAAAAAATACTGGGGTTGGTTCTGCAGCGTCCTATGCAGGATTAGTCTGTCCAACACAACCAATATTTAGTTATTAGCTGCTTGGTTGTGTTGAGACTTAGTGCATTCTTATAGTCCATGCCGTGCGATGTTGGTTTATCCACAACCTTCTGTCTCATGTACTTATTAATCAATTCTGACACAGATGATCTTGCATGCTTGATGTCATATTATCCAGCATTGTCTCTCAAGGACTCTGTATTTCTCTTGTCCACTCAGACTGTCCCACCGTCACACTGTACTCCAGTTCTTCTTGCTCATGTCATGACAAAAATGTTGACTGTCTATTTCTGATGTGGGCTATTAGTTCTCTTCATGAATTAGTTTCTTTCAAGATATCTTCGTTACTCTTTTTATTTGTCCAAAATTCTTACCATCCATCTATAAATCCCTCTACCCCGGGATGCCACTGAAAGATTCGGAGTATACTGTCTGAAGGAGACAGACGTGTGGTTGTGTCTCAGTGGATCCTCGAGGACGCTCTACCCCGGGATGCCACTAGAAACCTCAGCTGAAGCTGGATTGTTTTCTCCAGAAGCCGGTATACGAAGGATTCTCGAATCATTAAAGAGGGACATTGCCCTGTTCAGACTGCAGAAGAGGAGATCGGTATGACCGTCCGGACTTTCAAGGTTGGACTGTTGACCTGTCGTTTAAATTGAAGATGTCATTCGAAGTAATTAAGAGTGTGCGTGCGGTAGCTTGTGTTGGCGTGTTTGGGTGAGTCCTCACCAAGAGTCCTATTATTTGCACATTTCTTATTTTGATCAAGTGTATGTGACAATACACTAATTATACAGATTCCCCTAGCCTTCGTCGTTAACTGCCTTTTGGAAGCATTGAAGTTTAAACTGTTCTTCCACACTTGGCTGATGGCATTGTTTTCTAGGTTAAGATGTATTCGTTTGTACCTGATTACACATTTTAATGGGAACCTACGTCTCTCAGCACCGGAACGCACATCTCACCAGTGTTTATATGTGTTGACAGGTTGTGAGTGTAAACATCTGAGCTGCTTAAAGTTGTGAAACAGAGATTGCTTGATATTCACGGATGACTGCAAACACCCTGAGTTGTGTGGGGAATGTGCGATCCACATGTAACTGACCGCTGTTGTTGGGAGTTTGTGGTAGCTTGAGTCAGTAGCTTTCAGTCAGTCTTGAGTGTTTGGACATGCACAAATTGTTCAAGTCCCATGGACTTGTGTGGCAGTTTTAACAATATGTTTTATTCTTTTGGAGCTCATACACTGTCCAGTTGAATGTGGTGGATCATATGTCGTACTTTGGAATGAGGTCAGTGTGATTTTCTAGAATGGAGGGTCTTGTCAGCACATGTGTGCTGGGTCAGAAAAGTTTCAACTGTGTGGACAAATGTTGATGGGGTGTCCTTAAGGGCTACAGAAGGTGCCGTGGTAACTTTGTGTGTGTTGACCAACCTGGAGTTGTGATGAGGAAGTATCAGGATTGCTGGTCAGCAGAGGAGCGAGTCCCTTAGTTACACAGACTTCCGTCGTTAACTGGAGGTTGATCAGTGATACTTCAACAAGTGACTGGGTAGCAGAATGGAGATCTGGATTCTTTTTTACAAAGTGGCACATCTATCGTGGGCTCTCAGGTGGAGAGTCTGTTAGAGGAAAAGCCATCAGAGGACTGTCATTGCACATCATGTAGGTATATCTGCATGATCAGGCGTGAGTCGCCTCCAGCAGCTACCGGTACATAGATTGCCAGGGTGTTTTTGTCCATGTTCTGGAGACTGCCGATGTATTTGGCTGGAGTGATAGACCGACAGTGAGTCACTGATCCCTAGTTCAACATTGTCGCAATATGTTCATCCATAATAAAGAGACTGATTGCACTATAAGATCATACTTGGTGTGGTGTACTGTATTAACAGTGTACTTAAATAGTGTTAGGAAAATGTGTGCCAGATATATTGTGGTTGCAACTTATTACTTGTGCCTGTTTGGGTGCTCCCTGTTTGGGGTGAGCCTCCTTGACTCCAGTAGTAGTCACCATCAGCAAGTGCCATGCTAATTAGAGCAGGCTGCCATGTTCGTCAGCTGTGGGAATCCTGTGTGTATGTCCTAATTGTTGCCCTATATAGTTGTTTTCATCTTTATAAGCTTATCCTCCTTGTTATTATCAGGTATGTTACAATAATGAGGAAAAAGTGATAACCAGGAAGAATAAGGGTATTTGAAATAGACATTGATGGAAAAGGGGGGGGGGGGGGGAGGGGATTGAAGGATGGGTTGGCTGATTGTCTGATAGAAGATGATCCAAAAATACTAAAAGAAGACAAAAGCTGAAAACTCACAATTGTATTGTTATGTTTTTCTCTGAATGCCACTCACAATAATACACATTATAATTTACATAAACCATAAAATGCTCAAAATTCTTCTGACACACAGTTATAAAAAAAAAAACCATCATATATGTCATTACCTTTTTCTTGATGATACGTAGCCTGTGCCAGGGCTAACTAGTAGGTTTCTGTCCGCATTTTCTGGGACTCCCACTGCCTGTTGATATTTTCACTGCCATGTTGTACACTCTCACTGCCTGCATGCCTGAATTCATTCTCACTAGGTGGCCTAACCATTTAAATATTTGTCTGTCAATGAATTCTCGTTATCATTTCTTCCAAAGAGGACCAATTATCACCCCCAAAAATCATTATTTTTAAAGAGGAATAAAACCACTATGAAAACCACTACTTATTTAGCTTATCTACCAAGAGGAACAATGACCACTATAAAAATTATAATTTTGTTACTTTAAAAAAAAGAAACAAGAATCAATCAATAAGAAAGACTATTTCTTTATCTACCATTTAACAATAACCACTATAAAAATCACAATTTTGTTACTTTAAAAGAGGAACAACAAACACTACATAAATCATAAATTTAAGGAAGAACAATAACCACCAAAACAACCATCATTTTATTATTTTCAAAAAGGAATTTTAATTAAAAATCCCTGTTCCCTTATTTTCAAAGAAAACAATAACTACTGTAAAAATCGTCATTTTAATGTTTTCAAGGAGAATAAATATATTCATCATCTAAAATAAACATTTTTAAAAATCTTAAAACTAACAGATGCAGAACTTCAAACTTATGATAAACAGCAGTTTCTAAAGACTGCTTGCTGTGATTTATATACAGGACATGCTTCTTGCTGAAGAGCAAACTTGCAACCCCACGTGGTACATTATGAAGCATCAGAAGAGTTAAAACAGCAATGGTAAATAACTGTCTTAATGATGGCTCTTTGATTAGTTCTTAGTGGTATCCTATACCTGTTTTCTTCAAATGGCAGTCATCCAAAATGTTTCACAAACCATGTTTTTTTTTTACTATGTGTATGAACAGATGTTCTCAAAGATTTCAGTAACAAAGACCAAACTGAAAAATTGAATGCATGTTAATGCGGTGCTCTGTCTACAAGAAACAATGCTCCAGTCACAAATATAAGATTTTATAACTTGTAAGCAACAATAAGGTCCCATTAGCTAAAAATTGTAAATTTTGTGACATCAGATTGAATCAATAAACAGCAGTCTACATTTGTTTTTGCTTCTGGTTACCTGTCAGGTGGTCTGAGAAACAATCCCCTTTTGCTATTCTGTGTGTATAAAAAGGTTGAAGATCATTGATTTAGACAACCTAATGCTTTCTTAGACTTAAAAGTTAAAACTCATAGCCTTCTTACAGCAGTGTTTTCCAACTTCTGTGACTCAAGGAGCTCAAAAAAGGAATAGACTTCTTTGCCAGAGTCCCTTACACCTACCATACACTGTCTTACAAACACTATGTCTTAAAAATTAATAGTATTCAGAAGTTAGGTTAAAAAGTGGAGGAAGATAGGGTAGACAGTAATGAAATGTAAAGTAATTAAAGTAATGTGGTCACTAAACAACTGTGCAATGTCCACACAGTGTAATTCTATTTTTAAAACTCTGAAATAGTCACTATGAGAATAACTGTCTTGATCTTTATAAAACCAGAATACAAAATAAAGCAAACCTGATGTTTCAATAAAAAAAAAAATTAGAATTTTTTCCTATTTAAAAGTGAGCTTTTTTCTTTTTTAATCTCTTATTTATTTTTCTGGAGCGGCCCCAGAGCCTCTGAAGCCTCTGGGAAGTGCACGTGAGCCTGTAAGGTTCCGGATTCATAACCAGCCAACGAATCAACTAGCTAATCCAACCAATCAACCATTTATGCAAGTACATTTTATTTACAAATTCTTTAAAAAAAATTCCTCAAATTCTGTTTCCTGTAACTCCTTGTTGACATTGTAATGATATCTTATTTCATAGCTCCCTGAGGCAGACACAGAAAAAGAGAAACCATGTCATCCATGCAAAGATTCCTTATCAGTAAGTTTATACAAACACAAGCCTTCTCCCCCAATGCAAAGGTACACTGAATTCCTGCAAGAACAAGTATAGAAAACATAAAAACTATTAAACACTCTGACAAAGTGTGCCAATGATGAAGCTGTAAAAAAAAACAACAAAATAGGGGTCACATTAAATTACACATGTTATTTTATTACTAAGTTTTACATTTCCACATACCGATTACCTAATCTATATATCTAATGTTTATCTGTACATCTATCATAAACACATATTTACAAGCATGCACTAGTGCCCACAGAAGCAGAGAAAAGAATTAGATATATGAGCATATTTTAGACACCTTACAAATTGAAAGATGCAATTCCATGTGTGGGTTCCGGGGTCCCATTTGGGTTGGGAGAGGGGATTAAAGACCCATAGCTCTCCCCACCCCCCACCTAAAAAAAAGCATGTTGTAAAAGGTGGTTTGCTGAAACTTGGTGTGTGTGGGCCATAAGGTGCAGATATCACAGTCTAGCTGTAAACTGCAAAATAATGTGCCAATCACCCTTTTAAGGACCAATGCAAAAGAAGAAGAAGAAGAAGAAGAAGTTGTAGTTAGGGTTCTAGGATTTGAACACGTCACTTTAAGAAAAGACAGAACCTTGCTGAAGAAATACACTGAATATCACATAAATAACCTAGCTCAGAGCAGTACTACAATAACTGTGAGTACGTTTTGTTTCTCCTAATATAACATAGCAATTTTGTTGCAGCTAGAAAGCCTTCATAAGCTTACAACACAGACAAAAATTCAATGACGTAAAGAAATACATAAAATAGCCTAGCTATTTAGTGAAGCATGTCGCAATTTCCATTCAAGCTTGAACAACAAAGGCTGTGATCCGGCATTAAAAAAAAAATCCATCTGCATCACGGAATGGTCACTGAATGCTCTCATTAAGCTTGCTAACTGTATCAGCACTAAACAATCCTACAATGAAGTTTTATGAGTTTTGTTCTCGGGCTATTATCTGTACACTATTATTAGCGACTTCACCTGTCATGTCTAGCTATAGCCTGATGGGTCGTATTGGTCATTATTATTTTTCAAAAGAATTGTGTATCAGTAACTATCAGTATCAGTAACTATTTTATTGTAAAAAAATGCTATTTTGACTCAGTCAGTCAGTAGCATATCCTTTGCAGAACCTTGCAACCATAACAACCTCCTGGAAAACTTCTTGATCACAAACAAAATGTATGTTTTGACTACATGTGCAAAATTTAATAAAGATCTGTATTTACTGCACTTTCTAGGGTTATGTTAATCGCAATAGAAATCACTGCATACTGGGCATTCCCATGCATGCTCAGTCCTCTGATGCAGCAGCCACTCTCAGGCACCTTTACTTATTGTTCCCATAAGGAGTTAGTTATATTTCTTATCTTGGCCTCGAAAGTGGTACTGATGTGTTTCACCATGCTTTACTTCCAGTTAATGCAATCATGCTAGCGTCAGAGATTTGTCACTATCCACTGACTGATAATGATCCATTGTATAACTTGTAGAAGAACTGTTCTGTTCTCTGACAGGTGTGTTGTGATGGCTAATATCAGCCAGTGTCATGGTAATGTGTTGTTGTAGTCCGTACAGCATTGACGATAATTACTCTGTCTGTTCTTCTGCTCGCATGCACTGATGCACTGCCTGGCAGCTGGTCCACTCTTTCATTACCTTTCTCGCAGGCATATCCAGGTATGTAGACCCAGATGAGGAAGGTTAAGTACAATTTTCAAATGCTTTCTATCCCTTCAGAACCTCTACTACTTGCTGCGATTTTCTGAAGCGAGCTCACTATCTGATACAATTACTACATGGGTGACTGCTTGTTATGCTGCTCATGCTAGTGCTCTGGAAGCAGTAATCTCCATGGTCATGCTTGAGCTGGTTGATGGTATGTGCCACAATCCTCTTTTATTGTTTTCCCAATCATTTATGCTGTGTATGCCAGTGTTGACCTTAACCCGCGCTTCACAGACCCATCTTTGCAGATGATGATATCGTTTGGGTAGGAATACTGATCTATCCTTGCCATAAATTCAGTCTGGTTTCTGCAGTGCTTTCCCAATGCAACGATTAGCTTAGAAAAGTCATGCATGGTATGTATGTCCAATCTTTTCCGTGAGAGATCACATACCTTCTAGATTAAATTTCCAGTCTCAGCCATCTAGGAGCTGCCTCTTTTGAGATGCACTCCCTTTATGTAACTGACAGCTTTGTGTAGTGGGTGGTTAATGTCTGCCAATACCCTCATGTATGCCTTGACCTCTGCAACATTGTTGGTAAGCCTAGGACATTTGCATGGCGTAGAAGGAGGTGTTTTTGTGTCTGTAGCCGAGTAAAAACCTCATGGACTCATTTTGTACTCAGTCCAGTCTTTCTAGTTGGGTTCTGACAGTGAGGAGGCCCAGACCATAGTGTATGACACCAAACACAAGCCCTTGGCAGAGACAGAAAAGTCAGTTTTATTCAATATCAGCTGCTGCCAACATCTTGAGCGCTGTCAGACCTTTGTTGGCTCTAACTGTGACGCTGTCTATGATACTTTATATGACAAGCATCTGCTGAAGAACATGCAAAAAGTATTTCATCGTGTTTATGCTCTCGATGTCTATACACCACATATGCTTATGACTGCCTTATGTGTACTGACAATGTGGGTATTTAAAGAGAACCATGTTAAGGAGGCCTCTGTCGAGTTCACTTATGCTCTCAATTCCTTGCATCACTCACTGAGTCTGTCTAGTTCATGTTGAAGCACTATTGTCATTTCATGCCTGTTTCCTCCTTGACAGTGGTGTACATAGGGAGGGGTCTTGAGCCTGAGGATGTAGGGTCACACATGGCTAGGAAAGTTGCCACTGGCTATGCAAGTTCAGGATTTATTTGTTGCCCTAACAGAAGAAATGTATCCCCCTTCTGCGGATTTGAACCTGGCTCTCTCAAATGAGATGCCAACATTCTTAACTGCCAAAAAAGTTGCTGCTAAAAAAAAAAAAAGCAGCAATCATTTGAATTTTTCATAAACTATATAAACAAACAGGATTGGTTTTTTGAAGACTTACTTTTAAAAAAAAATATTTAAATTAATACTTTCAACACTTTAAAAGCTGTATTTTAAGCAATGAGAATAACATAAGTAAAAATATGGTAACTTACTGGTAAAGATAAGCAGACATGCTGGAAACATCAGCAACACTGATGTATCTGCAGGCTACCAATTGTAACTGGACAGAAAAATATAATTTTATATTTAAAAAACAAAAAAACATGGACACACAATGTTAAGGGAATATTAAAATAAATTTTAACAAAACATTAAAAAAATATTTAGTATCCACATCCTTATGGGTGGAAAGTACAATTTTGTTTCTGCATTCAGCTTTAATAGGGCGGTTGGAACATTGTACTGTGGTTTACAGCTAGGTCATGATATCTGTGCCTTTTGATCCAACACATCTGGTTTAAGCAAAACCTTAATTATCTGCATGTTAGGGGGCGTGAGTCTATTCTTTCCCCCTCCCAAAATGGGGCATCAAGACCCACAGTGGGATGAAGAACAATGATAAAGCCTAATAAAGATTAAATGGGGCCTGCCCACACTCAGTCATACTGAAATTAGAAAAATAAAACTGAATACAAAGTGATAGCTCAGGAGCTAAATGCTTGTTTGCTGGACTGAAGATCTTGGATTCAAATCTGTGTCTAGGCATACTTCTATAACTGACCTAAACTATCAGCTCAACCCATCTTGGAATGGGGTGAGTACTAGGAAAAGTTCCAAGACAGATACATGTGGTACTCACCCCTGACCAAATGAGCCCCAAATGGTCTAGCATCACATGCCTAAGGCTCTAATGGCATGGTAGGCTCCTTTTATATAGTTTTTCACAAGGCATTTAGAAGGTAGCATGAGTCAAGGTAATGATTATCCCTGTAGACGAGATATTTTGGCCAAGTTAAATGTCATGGAGGCCTGGAGAAATGGAGATGGAGGGTACAGTTTCAGGATAAAGATGTAGATGCCAACCTCCATGATGTGGACAGAAGACGCGAAGATGCATAAAGTCTGAATGTACAGAGGGCTGAAAAACTGGCTACAGATAGAGACTTTCAGGCCTTCTGTAAAGAACCTACTGCTTGATGATGACCCACCATAGAACTAGTACAAGAACTGTTCTGTTTCCTGCCAGGTGTGATGTGCTGGCTCATATGAGCCAGTGTCATGGTAAATGTGTTGTTGTTGACAGTCCATCTGCTCACTGGTTTTCCTTGTGCTCTGTATCCTGGTCTTTTCTAGTTGTAGACATAAAGTTGTCATACTGTAGACCCATTTTCATTAGATGACAAAACAAGCTTATTTTATGTTTCTAGATGGACTACTGTGTGGATTCCAAAGAAAATGAAAAAAAAAATGCAATGTAGTAGCTCTTTTGCTTTTTGCAGAAAATCATTTTCGCCATGGCAGAGTGGAATGATTTTCAGTTTTTGAATATGGTGAACATACTGAAACAAAACAGGCTTTAAGAAAACCATATAAACCATAAACTTATCAGAGAAATTATGTACAGACTTCAAATTATGTTGGCATATTATGGGAAAAGGGGTGGGGAAATCTTGATAACCTAGAAACAAATAGCAGATTTGCTGAAAAAAAAAAAGAAAAAGAAGTCAAAGAGATAGATCTTTTACAACCAGGTTGCGATATCTGCGTATTGTTACATACTATTTCAGCAAATTCCTATTATTCACCATTTACAACATTCTGAACTCCATAGCTTTGGCAACAATTCCCAGGAATCTCTGTACAAATAATACTCATGACCTGAAAGACGCAGTTGTGAAACAAATGCCCGCCCTTCAGAGTGCAAGGCATAATCAAATAGCCAGGGAGAGTTCCTCAATAGTGATAGTGACAGACTCAATGAGCAAGTTTAAAAAGATCCAAATTTGAAAACTGCCTAAAATGGGTTAACAGCATCCAGAAGTCCTCAAGAAACTATGTTATGTTATGTCAAGAAACTATTGTGGCAGTGGTTAGCTGAGGAAGACGTATGTGCAGGGTAGACTCACTGGACGCATTTCATTCGAGAGAGGATGAGATGAAAAAAGACGAACCGCCTGTTAAATAAGGATAAGCATGTAGAAACTGGTTGTGGGGCACAGAAATAAATACCAGGCAACTACTACTGCATTTGGTGAGCATAGGGACACTGAAATGGGTGCTGCTTTGGCGGACAGAGCAGGCGTGGGTGGAACTGATGTGCTAGGATGTCGATCTGGGTAACATGTAACAAGTAAACAGTTACCTAAATACACAATCTGGCATTTGAAATATGTGTGTGAATAATACATATCAGTCTGACTGGTACATGATACACACCTGCATATGATTTTGTGGCAAATAGTCTATTCCCCATAAACAGACTCTCTGGTCAATAGAGACCGAAACAAGAAGAGCAGAAGAAATCAGCTGAACTCCTGGAGAGACAAACAGGCAGACATGATTTATTTATATGATATACAAACTTTAATTAATAATACAAAATAAAATAATTAGCTTGTTACTATTTGTTGTTGTTTAGGAAGTTCTGTAACTGTTTAGTTACACATGTAATGTGTGATGCTCACCTAGGCAGTCTTAAAGAAAAAGTAATTATACTATGCTTTAAAAAGCTTCTTTCTTTCACCATCAAGATGCACCTCATATACACCAAGATGAAACATTATGATCATCCTGTCCTGTTATTTCATGTCACAGAGAGCCCACAGCTAGCCCTCTATTAAGTTCTATCGTGTGCAACCCTTTTATGTTACATGGACCCCATAGTTTTGCCCTCCATTAAGTTCTATCGTGTGCAACCCTTTTATGTTACACAGAGCCCATAGTTTTGCCCTCCATTAAGTTCTATCGTGTGCAACCCTTTTATGTTACACGGAGCCCATAGTTTTGCCCTCCATTAAGTTCTATCGTGTGCAACCCTTTTATGTTACACGGAGCCCATAGTCTTGCCCTCCATTAAGTTCTATCGTGTGCAACCCTTTTATGTTACACGGAGCACATAGTTTTGCCCTCCATTAAGTTCTATCGTGTGCAACCCTTTTATGTTACACGGAGCCCATAGTCTTGCCCTCCATTAAGTTCTATCGTGTGCAACCCTTTTATGTTACACAGAGCCCATAGTCTTGCCCTCCATTAAGTTCTATCGTGTGCAACCCTTTTATGTTACACGGAGCCCATAGTAAGTTCTATCGTGTGCAACCCTTTTATGTTACACGGAGCCCATAGTCTTGCCCTCCATTAAGTTCTATCGTGTGCAACCCTTTTATGTTACACAGAGCCCATAGTTTTGCCCTCCATTAAGTTCTATCGTGTGCAACCCTTTTATGTTACACGGAGCCCATAGTTTTGCCCTCCATTAAGTTCTATCGTGTGCAACCCTTTTATGTTACACGGAGCCCATACTATTGCCCTCCATTAAGTTCTATCGTGTGCAACCCTTTTATGTTACACGGAGCCCATAGTCTTGCCCTCCATTAAGTTCTATCGTGTGCAACCCTTTTATGTTACACAGAGCCCATAGTTTTGCCCTCCATTAAGTTCTATCGTGTGCAACCCTTTTATGTTACACGGAGCCCATATTTTTGCCCTCCATTAAGTTCTATCGTGTGCAACCCTTTTATGTTACACGGAGCCCATAGTATTGCCCTCCATTAAGTTCTATCGTGTGCAACCCTTTTATGTTACACGGAGCCCATAGTCTTGCCCTCCATTAAGTTCTATCGTGCGCAACCCTTTCAGTATGATGAACGGAATCCTGTCAAGTACACTTGTCCTCTCTCAACAATGTTCATCTTGGGGTCTTTCCTGGATGACCACATTTCATCAATCCATTTATTTCCCATTTCAGTGCCTGTTTATTGATTCTCTTTCCGCTTCTCCTCATCGAGAGCACAATATACCTATTGTAAGTTTCTTTATCTTTCAAGTGTTGATACCTATGAATGTCCAGACTTTTCTATTCTATCACCTTTCTTGAATTTATCACATTTAATGTTCATCAATTTCCTTAGGCATTTGTTTTTGAGTAAACCTGAAATATTTCAGATAAAATCACAAACATGACCTGTCACCAAGATCTCAATATTTTGTTCTTTTAAATGTTAAAGCTTAAGAGGTCTAGAGACAGCATGACACTTCATTGCACCAGGTTTTATCCCAAGTTTTATCACTTGCCCCAGCCATCTTTATGTGGGTTCCTGGGTCCCACTGTGGGTAAAACAAGAATAGACTGGCAGTTTCTGATTTAAGAATGTTTAAGAGTCGACTATCTGGAAGCTTCCCTTAAAGCTGGATTAGATCTGACTGAGAGGCAAGCAACCAACAGTCCGCATGCCAATGAGTTAGATCTGTAAAACTGATGTGAATGCAGAGAAGAAGAAGAAGACTTGCCCCAGCTTACATGTAGTTATGTCAGCACTTAAAAAAAAAAAAATTGTTAAAGAGAATCTCACTTAAGACGACCATTCAGTTAGCATGAACAAAATGTTGGTCCTGGCAGGGATGTACATGTGTTATTACAGTGTATTAATTCCTGGGCAGCAACATTTTTAAAAACACAAATTCAGTCCACTGGAATTCGTGTTATCAAGGTTTTTCAGTATTTGAAATTATATGTAAAAATTAGTGGGAAATTTAGTTTTGCAATTTTCTAACTCATGTCAAAAAAAACAAACATGAAAGAGTTTCACCTGTAACTTGTGCTGCATGTGCATCTTCTTTTGAAACCTTAGCCAGCTCTTTCAAGGCTAAATCTGAGATCTCCAAAAGACTAACTGTCACTGCATTGTCGTCTCCTCCAGATGCTAGCAGAAACTGTGATACTATATATATAATATATAAAAAATATATATAAGATTTTCATTGCAGTTTGTAAATATCAGTAACTAAATATAACAAAGTTTTAATGGAAATGAACAGGGCAAAAAACAAAAGAAACTGATAAAAATGGATGAAAAAAGTGTAGATACATTTGTATGCATATAATCATTGGAAACAGTATTCTCAATGTCTTGACTTTAGATGCAGAAGGATTTGGGTTTGACAAAAAAAAAACATGTTCATTTCTGTCTAACTATACCACTTTTGTGTGTGGTGGAGGCAGGGGGCACTTGTGTCTGAGGATTTAGTGAAGCATAACTAGTGCAGTTGACACAAACTGTGAAGATCGGGATTTTATTTTGCTACTGACAAAAAAAACTCACAACCTTTTTGAAGATTCTATACTGAGTATGCGTATGACAGTCCAGCCTAGTTAACTGTTTAGCCCGCCACTCCACAGATCTGAGTTAACTTACTTAAATATTTATAACTGAAGAATGTGAAAATACTTCAGACAGTGAAATTTAGTACTTTAGATGTTTTTAAAGAGGCTAAATGCAAAGAAAAAAAAAACTTGTAATAAACATTAAAAAATGGCAGTCAATATTTTTTGCTGACATTATGAGACAAATGAACATACTGTAAAAATGGAAAGATTCAAGTAAGAAAAGTCAAAAGACAACAAGACAGTCTTCACTGGTAAATTTAAAAAAAAAATGTTTTCCAACAAATTGCTACGCCAGCTGCCATTACTTCCCAGGTCATTACTTTATACCCACTGTTGGTTGAGGCAACCTGAGTGAAGATCAGTTATAGGGAAAAAAATGACTTGGTGTGGACTGGAACCTTTAGTATGGCAGGTGAATATCTAACCACTTTACTCCCATAATTCATAAAAATGTGAGGAATATTGTATCTTGTAATAATCAGCTTAATAAAAAAAAACTTTAATACAGCTTCATTACAAACATGTTTTAAAATATAAAGCAGAAGGTTTGTAAAACTTGTGAAATCATCAAGCAAAACTAGTTACAGAGATCATTTATGCAATTAGGCTATGCAATTATTCAATATTTCTTTTTAAACAAAATTAAAAATAATTGTTTTCAAATGTTGAATTAAAAGCTACCAAACAACTGTCAGTGTCTGTAGCATCAATAGTATTTATGGTATGTTGAGAGTTTACAGCTTGCTGACTAATTACTCTTTCAGTACTAGAAAAGTTTGCAAGAGAGACCCAAGTTGAGAAAAAAATCATCAAAAAATGTATTACTTTCAAAGAGACTACAAACAGAGTGAAAGCGGCCATTAAAGAAGCCAGATTTTTCAGTGCTTTGACTAAATACAAAAATCAAGCTCTAGATCATATTGCACAATGTTTGGGATTCAAGAAAAGAGCTATAAAACATAAATAATCTGATGCTTTCAAACTGAAAGAGTAAAATGATGCTTACCTAAAAGTATAGTGCACAGGCTCAGACTAATTAAACACATGTTTATTAAATATACTCCATGTGGACATGTGATAAGATCTGCCAGGATTTCCAAAACATACTGACGGCTCACTACAAGGCAACAGGTGATGAACCAGGTCAAGAAAAAAATGGAACCAAAATTTGACTGACTGGATGGGCTTAAAAAATAAAAAACATCAAATCCAGCTAATATGATCACCAACAACTGAAAGATCGGGCAAAATGTCAAGAAAAACTCAGTAATGGAATGGCACACTCAATATGGAACTCTCTAGATTTATGGCTGATTGATTGGCACCTTTCCATCTTTCCAGATGATAGTGTTATAAATACTGCATTATGAGAAGGCATGGGACTCACTGACCGCTTTCCAAACCCACTGCCGGCTGCATGGATTTTTATCATGTTATGAGGCGTCGCAGGTCGACCCAGCCTAAAATGGGTACCAGGATAGATGTCCAGGGGAGGTAAACACGGCCGGTGTAAAATCTGACCACATTACCCACTTAGTGCCGATTGGCCTGTAAAAATATGGAATGCTCTTCCTATACACCTAAAGGCGTGAAAAAGGGATCTTTACTTTACTTTATGGGACTCACAGCCTAAGGCAAATGGCGAGTGGGACTAGCAAGACCCTCCCGCATTAAGAAAAGTCTTCCCCAGTTATAGCACCAGGTTTCAGGACAGCTGTTTTCAACATTTGTGTTTAGTTTGCTTCTTCTCAGATGCTTAACTCTCACCATTTCTGCAATCATTTCTTCCTTCAATATCATTCCCTTCCTGATGTGCCCCCCTTCACACAACATGGTCCAAGGCATTTTGTTCCCACAAGTCCACCTCAATACCTGTATCACTCATGTCCTGCTTGCACACATCTTTATATTGTAGTAGAGGCCTGCTTTGACATCTTCTACCTAACTGTAATTCACCACAGAGGATGTTTTTAGGGACTCTGAAATCCAGGTGTTACCCAGCCACTGGAATTCTTTAGATTTAAAGGTAGACACATATTCTTCTTGAGCTCATTCTGATGTGATGTGAAAGAATTTTGCAGGAAAAAAATACAGAGAAGAAAGTACTAGCAAAATTGTGAGTCAATTCTGGAAAACAAAAATTGAAAGTAAAAACGTACCAGATATCTGAAAAGCATGGAGGCTGTTAACACCTGACTGGTGTGCTTTCAGGCTTGACAATGGCTTCCAGTCTGATTCTATTTTGAGGTTGGTCTTGAACAATGCATCTGCATCGTCATCATCAGTATCATCTTTGTCATCATCACCATCAGTATCACATTTCTCATCACCGACATCAGCAAATTTTTCACTTTTCATTTCCACGTTGTTCGGCATACCTTCTTTTATCAGGGTCTGCCTCTGATCACAATTTGAATGAGATTCTGGAAGACGTTTGGACAAAACTGTTGAGGCTAACTGGTTCACGAGTGCATCCAACTGCCAGAAGACAACATTTCCATTTGTGGATGTGGACATGGCCAATGAAATATGTTTTGACTCAAAGTAATGAACATAGTGCATAACTTTCAAGACACATCCTTGATGATAAGTGGTTTCTGCTAAACTTGCAAATGTTCTGGAGTCTTCATCAAAAGCAAAGACTCTGAAACACATTATAGAACATATACAACCATGAATTTATAGGAATACCGTAGACTTGTAAAGACATGTCTTATATTTTTTTAAATATAAAAATACTGTTTTATCTTCTTCTTATCTGATCATCTGGTTAAATTTTTTAAATACAAGAAGTTGGCCAAACTGTGTATGTTCATAGATGAGGTATTTATGACTGCTGGCTGATACATTCAACTTCTTCCTGACACATTTTGTGTGGGTTAGTCTTTCCAGGTAGTTTTCTAAGATATTCCGCTACCAACAAAGATAGCTTCATAAAAAAAAATTGGTGTATAACCCATCCAGCACAAATAGAATTACTTCATTCATGGTGTTCACCATTCAAAAGATTGTGCAAACTGAGGTACCTGGGTATCGCTTTTGATAGAAGCCTGTCCTTCAGGGATCATGTGGAGTCATTTGCGGTGAAATACCAAAAAGGACTCAATGCTCTCAAGATTATGGCAGCAATTCATGACAATTTCTGCCCAGGTGATGTGATTATCTATACAGATGGCTCTGTGCTGAGAGGCAGATTATTACATGGGGGTTCACAGCAAAAGCGAATGAATGTCGCTTAGTGCAACAAAGTCTGGAATATGAAAGCACAATGTCTAGTTTGAGAATGGAGGTGGAGGCAGTCACTGCTGCATTCCGCTGGCTTGAAAATCAGCTGTACACACATGCTGTAACAGAGCATGTTGAGAAAGTTGGAGACAGGCATGCTCTCTTTGGGAGTGAGTGAACAGTGAGGAGGCACAAATAGATCATTATGGTCTGAGGAAAATGGCACTGTGGGGAGTTACCAGGGGATCCGGCTGATGTTCAACACTCAAGGGAAAGGTGAGACGGATGTACAATCAGATAGTTACTAGTACCCTCGGAACTGGAACTCTTCACTTGCTGCTGAAGATGGGTGACAAAGCACTTATGGGAGTGCCCCAAATTCTATGTTGTCAATTCTTAATTCAACATTCAACAACATGATTGTGTTTTAGCAGTTTTGATCTGCACTGTAGATTAAACTGTATTAATGCAGTTAGCTTAATGAAACTCCTAATCTGTTTAAACCACCATTAGTTATTGGCATTATAAGAGCTGATTTACTGGAATAGTTGAGGCAGATACAGTGAATGGTGGATGGCAGATAACAGAGAGACACAAACAATGTTCACATAACAGCTGAATAGGAGTATACCAACGGGCAGATCAAGAAGAAGGTGGAAAGATAGTATACAGACAGACTGACTTACACCTGGAGTCACTTACTGGTGCCGCCTCATAGTGCCAGTGAAAAGCCTCGCTTATTTACATAATATGAAATTATCTGACAAAGCAACAATGTCAAAAAATTGTGAAGAAAAGAACATTCAGGAGCAAGAAATATTATAAACAGAAACACTTCAATATTTCTTCATCTTCACGTGCCTGGTCAGGACTGGACATCAGTGATCTTGATTCTTTGGTAGTGCTTATAAATTTAAAAAAAAACGAAAAAAAAAATTATTTTTGGGTGGGGGGGGGGGGGGGGGGGAATGGCCTGTTTTAACTGTTTACCCCTGCTATCTTGCCAAGTATTTTATCAGATAAAACTGATTTCTCTATTCCACTTCTTCTGCTAATATGTCCTACAGTTACATTTGTCTGTTTCTTAAGATTTGGTGATGAACATTTGCAGCTTCAAAATACCACAGAGTTTACTTTTGTCTCTGTCCATGACATGCTCAACAGTTTTCTCAAAATGTTAATTTGCAGAATTTGGTTTCAAAGTGCAGAAAAAACTGACACATCAATTTCCTGCAAAAACAGAGAACTAGTGGAAAAGGATGGGGTGGGGGAAGAACGGGGACAGAAAGCAGCAGATGTTAGTTTCACATTCTCAAGGTCTTTTTCTAACCACTCATTGATGAAATCAAACTCTGAGGATTGTGAAAGAAGTTCACTAACTGTAAAGCCACTGACCATACAGTAAGACACTACGAACACACGCCCAAAAAAAAATTACACATTCATTTGTCCAGGATTACTTTTACCTGAATATCCCATCTGAGCCAGCAGAAGATACAATATGAACTCTAGAAAGATATTTCAGTGCCCCAGGGAAAGGTGCTTTATTTACATCAGCAACTTTATCGTGAAATCCATTCCAGAGAACAGCTACACAGGAAGCATCAAGAGACATAACTCTTGTCTCTGGATCCAAACTCAGTTTTTGAGATTTCCAATGAAATCGCTTGTGTCGTGACTCTCCAAGGAAGTATCTGGACAGATGTTGGTAGTTGCACACAATTTGATCTGATGTGTCAGACAGAACACTGTTGGGTGGAGTGAATGACTCAGTGTGACTTGATTTCCTGTGTAAATGAGAGTCTGGTTCTTGGACTGAACAGTCTTCTGATGAACCATTCGGTATAATACCATTGTGAAGTCTGTCATTGTGAGAACTATGAATATTTTCATACACAGACTGCTTCACATCACAGCTTAAATCTGCAGTAAAACAATTCACATCCGTGTGGTTTAATTCTTTAAGGTTTTGAAATGTACTGGAATCTTCTATAACAATGCTGAGTTTCCAAGCATTAATTTCTGCACGTCCTCCTCCGGTAAACAATATAAAGTGACCATCTCTGCCTGCTGAAGGATTCAGATGTGTCCGATGAAACTGCAGATCATCTGAATCCCCTTTGTTGCTGAATGTGTACTGCTGAACTGCATGGTGTGAAGAGAGTGCTAGAGCACGGACACTAGACAGGTGACCTTTGAGCGTACTGATAGGTCTCCAGATGTAAAGATTGTCAACATCTGACATTTGGTCAAGGATTTCAATAAAACGGTAAAAAAAAAAGATTTAGTTATATAAATTCTACAGCCCACTGCAGAACCAACTTCAGCGTTTTTACTACAAAATTTACATTCAGCAGTTTGCCATTGCTTGCTGAACATTTGGTACTTCCTAACACAGTCAAAATCAATGTAAGCAGTCTGCTGCTGAACGGCCTGCAGCTGAATCAAACTAGGTATTCCAGTATTGCAAACCGTGTTTATCATGACTAAATCATAAAAAGTAAAAAAGTAAAGGACCCTTTTCCACGCCATCAGGCGTATAGGGCATATAGGGCTAGACCTATATTTTTATAGACCAATCGGCACAAGATGGGTGATGTGGTCAGCATCACGCCGGCCGCCTTTACTTTTCCGGGACTGCACCCGGTACCAATTAGTAACCACGGAAATGAGATGTCTGAGAAGGGCTGTAGGAGTGACCATAAGAGATAAGATCAGAAATGAGATCATAAGAGAACAAGTCGGCACAGAACCAATTCTGGATTACATACAAAGACAGCAAGTGAAATGGTTTGCCCACTTAGAGAGAATGCCTTGTGACACCATACCATACAAAGCATACATGGGAAGAGAAGAAGGACGTAGAGCACGGGGTAGACCAAGAACAAGATGGAAGGATAACATCAGAGAAACTCTACAACAGCACGATGTGCCTATGGTCGAGGCAGCCAGAAGAGCTAGAAACAGAACCTTATATCTCCCTCGACACCCACAGCGGTAAAAGAGGAAGTGAAGAAGAAGAAGAAGAAGCACCCGGTACCCACTTAAGGCTAGGTCGACCTGGGAGCCAAGGTCATTTTTGAAAAAAGTCCGGCTCCACCAGGGAGCGAACCCACGACCTTCCGATCCGCGATGAGTGTCTAGCCGCTCGGCCACGGCGACTTCCTGACTAAATCATAGACACTGACAACTAAGAATACAACAAAAAATTAATAATAAGAAGAAAAACATATACATAGGAGCAATAGAATGTTGAATTAGGAATCAACATCATAGCACTTGGGACACCCCCATAAGCGCTCCATCCCCATCTTCAGCAGCAAACGAAGAGTTCCAATTCTGATGGCATCAGTAACTGTCTGTATATCCGTCTCGCCCTTCCCTTTAATGTTAGGTGAGACGGATATACAATAGAACATTTTAGCAGCATTAGGAAATTCTGAATTTCTAGTCCTCTGGTTGTGCTACTGAGTCATAAAAAGCTGCGGCTAAAATGTTTAACCGTTCCTATGTGTGTTATTTGTCTTCCCCTTTCATTGAGCTTCCTAGTCAAAGTTTTCCTTTAGTGAATTCATTAAAAATGCGTAGAATCAAGAAAGTTTCAAAACATGTACACAAAATTCTAGATAGGTGTATCAGCCATGTGCCCCAGACAGCAGAGCAAGTACTCCAGGACAGCACCGAATTTGACACATTAAGGCAAACCTTTTGGCCAGAAAGAACAACAGTGGAACATGAACTCTATGGACCACTGAATGAACTAACAATGACAGTGAAATTTATACAAGAGACAAAACTGCTGATATAGACAACTTATTTCAGGTGAACGAAAGAAGAAGAAGAAGAAAGTTTTATGTTCTAGCAGGCAATTTGTTCATTGCCTGCTTTACTATTTTATGATTATCAACTTGAATTAATTATTTGGATATAAAGAATAAGTTATAAATTAACTATTAAAAAAAGCATGAAGAAATTATAGACACTAAACAGAAAACATTAAAAGGATACAAACAAATACTCCAATATTTACAGTCGTATCTTCACTGGCAGTACAAACCAAATGGACAGGCCTATCTGTTGACAGAAAATAATCTGTTAGTCTTATTTATGATTAAAAAAAAAAACACTAAAAGAGTCTTCTTTTTCTTCCATTCCTTGAAGTTTATTTTTGTGGTATTGGTTGTCATTTGTTTCGACAAACTTATGATATGTTTGTTGCTAACAGTTTATAATACAGATGTTGTTTCTCAGTGCAATTATGTTAGGTTACCCAGGAACTGTCTCTATCCACACCCTGCCCTGTTTTACCTACCTCGTCCAAATGTTTCCTATTGTCAGGACACACGCTAGTTTACAATTTTTCATATCATTTCCAAACAATTGGGTTTGTCTATTTCATCATCAGTCATCAGTTCTCATTATGCCTAGTGGCACATGAAGCTTCAGAGAGGACTTTCCATGCTTTCCTGTCCTGTGCAATCTTCAGTGCAGTTTTCCATGTCAAAGATGCCACACTCAGGTCACTTTCCATCGTTCGTCTCCATGTTGTTTTTGGGCGCCCCTGTTTTCTCTTTCCCTCTGGTGTCCATGTGAAAGCTGTTTTGGCGGGTATATCAGGATTCATTCTCATAACGTGGCCAAGCCATTTCCATCTTCTCTTGGTTATCATACTGTCTAAAGTTTCTTGGTTTGTGACTTGAAGTAGTTTAGTGTTTGAGATTGTGTCTGGCCAGAAAATGTTGATAGTTCTATTTCAGCTACATGTAATGACTTTCTGTGTAAAGTAAAGGACTTTTCCACACCTTCAGGTGTAAAAAAAAAAAGTAAAGGACCTTCCCCCCCCCCCCTTCGTATAGGGCATATAGGGCTAGACCTATATTTTTATAGACCACCAGCACAAGATGGGTGATGTGGTCAGCATCACGCCACCTTCAGGTGTATTGGACATAAATATATTTTATAGACCAATCATCAGTGGGAGATCTGGTCAACAGAATGCTGGCCGCCTTTATTTCCTAAGACATTACCTGGTACATGCAATTAAACTACTTCTTCATAATCACATCACATCATACTAATTAAAAAGAAAAATGAAAACAATACAAAAAAATATCTGGAAAACTGCAAACACAACCTAAAGTTAAAAACAAAGTCTTCATGAATGAATAAATCTAATATAGTGAAATATACCAATCCATCTAGTCTTCTTCTTTGCATCCACCGGAAGTAAGGTTAGTTGCGTATCCTTTACAGGACGTTGCAGAACCAACCCTAACAGCCCCTGGCTGTTGTGTAGTTTCTCTAGACAATTTACTCCAGTAGTTTGCCATTGCTTTCTGGACGGTCGGCTTTCTTGATACCACTGTCGAAAGCAACGCAAGGTGCATGGCCTGCAGTTGGAATCGAACCCGGCATCACGAAGCGTTCACATCGCCACAGAGCCGACACCGGCTGTAAGCTCCAGCAAAAAAATTCTGGTTGTGGACTTTAGTCTTGGTCCAGAACCTGAGTGCACACTTGTTTGAAAGATCTGGCTTATTTATATGCTGGTTCCCTGCCCCTCAGGCAGATGCACTCCAACTTCAAAGAAAGAACCAAGTTAGTCAACAGTTAGACTATGCTTGATGGGAGGAAGTGGGTCTATTCTTGTTTTCACCAAAATGGCACTCTGGAACCCAAAGGAACAGCCAGGCAACAAATTGTGCAGTCTACTGTTTGTGTCTTCTTTATTCAGAACATATCTAAACCAAGCCTACAGTTACTGAAATCTGAACTACATACCTGTGCCATGTGACATAATTCTCATTATCTTGGCCTCACAAATTTTGTTCCCATGTAGAGCAGGCTGAAAAAGAACGCAATAACATCTTATTTTTCAAAATAACATTTTTTTTTAACTATCACATCATCATCATGTAACTGGTCAACTGAAAATATTATTTGCCAGTTTAAGAGTTTCGTGTACTTTTATTTGAAAGGTGTAACAATCTAAAACCATCTTGGAACTGACAGCCACGACCTCAAGACTGACAGGCAAGAGTGACTGCCACTACACTTCCATGTGTGGCCTCTAGGAAGTGGAATAACAGACTGAATAAACAGTATACACAAGCTTGTTTGTCTGCATCATCACTATCAATGTATGGACTAAGCAAACAAAATGCCGATCATATTCTGCATGATTGCTCTCTTTACAATAAGTTAAGAAATCCGTGTGACTGTTCCAGGGTAAATGGGGCTGGCAGTAGATAACAGACAGCCAATAGAAGATGAACTATAGACATGAGAATAAGAATTTTTGAATTAAGAAGTGTTCAAATATTCTGTAAGAGGGAAAATGTTCTCACAGAAATAACAGTTGACATCTGCTGTTAGAAAAAAAAAATAATAATTAAAGTGTTATAATTACAGTTTGTACGGTACGCATGCAAAACAAGGACAATAAGTAGATATGCTGAAAAACATACAGTGGTGATCTCTGAGGAAAATTAAAAGTATACCATAATTAGTTAATATTACTGAACGAGATATTCTTTCAAGAGACAGACTGAATGTTGCATTAAAAACGGACATCACAGCATTCCCATAAGTGCCCCGTCCCCATCTAAAGCATCATGCATATATCCATCTTGTCTTTTTATGAATGCTGGGCATTAGCCAGATCACATGATCACTCCTTGCAGTATCATTTTCCTCAGACAGTGATGATCTCTCTGTTTGTGCCTTGATACCATTCACTTGCTCCAAAAGGACATTTGCTACATCTGGGATGTCATGCATGAGTTCACCACCAAGTGATGCAGAACCAGCCAGTCTATCCACCTGTTTGTTTCCCAACACACTGCATGACCGGGAGAAAATATCCAAAGGATGTGAACTATGAGTGACCTTTGAAGTAATGCTTGCCCCCTTGCACGCAGCAAAACTGTCTCCACCTTTCTCAACATGCTCTGTAAGTCAGTTACAATGATGGCATGTGTGTACAGCTGATTCTCAAGCCAGTGGAAGGCTGCAGTGACTAACTCCCCCTCCATTTAAATCAGATGTTGTGGTATCAGATGGCAGATTTTGTTGCACTACGTGACGTCCATTCGCTTTTGCTATGAACCCCCATGCACTGTGTCTGCCTCTCAGCACAAAGTCATCTAAAACTGCTAATTGCACAAAATGGCAAACTATGACCAGCTATATGGATCAGTGTAGCATTCTATGACTTTCAATGCCAGGCACATGATGACGATGACATTATACTGAGATTACATCACATACCTGCACCAACGTCTGCTTAGTTTCATGACCACTGTCCACCATGTATACCTTCCCAGCTTTGAGGTAAATGAATCGCAGCGTCTCATTGTCATGGCAGCAACCCCATGACCTATGACCTCCACCGCAACTAACTGACATCAGCTGTTGGTTGCAGGTAACACTCCAAACCACAAACAAGGACTGGAATGGAAGATATAAACAGCTTGTTTACAATTATGGAAATCAGCTGCATTCTGAGATTTACAATTCACTTTTGAAACATTATATGTTTGCATCATATGTACCTCTCTGTTATACTTTCATTATTTGTACAGTGACCATAAGTTAGAAAGTTTTAGACCCGCAAACCTAGATATTGTTCGTGTTTTTGTGCATGTGAATCTCTGTCTGTGTGTGTCTCTCTCTCATGCCATATTTGAAAACCTTAAGGTTTTCTTTTTCATTACAGCATAGAAGAGTGGTGACAACGGGTGCAACAAGGCTACTACACTCTTCATCGTCAGGGATAGATCACTATTCTTGGCTTCAGGAAGGTACATAGATTGAAACCAACTGAGAAATGTGAATCTGCAACCATGGTCAAACTGCAAGAACAACATGTTAAATGGGGTGTTGCCAAACAAGAACACTAGATGGGTAGCCAAAAAAAAAAAAAGAATAATAAACCAACACAAAACTAGCCGCTACACGCTGCGGGATTTACTGAGGAGGGGATCCAAGCACTTATGGACTGAGTGGTTCAACGTGCAATGAGGATAATCTGTTGACTAACCAACTAATAAAGATTGAAAAAAAAAACTATTCACACTTTCAAGTAGTGGGCATATAGTGCCAGCAGCCTCACAGTCTAGTTATCTCTTGATAGATGATGTGGCTTATATCTCAGTGGCAACCTCTGCTTCTTCTCAGGACCCTTGCTGTCACCTATTTAAGGCCTGGTCACCCTAGAAGTCTTCAATAACTGACACCCAAGACCTCTAGGATGACAGGTAAGTGTGCATGCCACAACACTTCCATGTGTGACCTCTAGGATGACAGGTAAGTGTGCATGCTACAACACTTCCATGTGTGACCTCTAGAATGACAGGTAAGTGTGCATGCCACAACACTTCCATGTGTGACCTCCAGGCTGACAGGTAAGTTTGCATGCTACAACACTTCCATGTGTGGCCTCTAGGATAACAGGTAAGTGTGCATGCCACAACACTTCCATGTGTGGCCTCTAGGCTGACAGGTAAGTGTGCATATCACAACACTTCCATGAGTGGCCTCTATGATGACAGGTAAGTGTGCATACCACAACACTTCCATGTGTGACCTCTAGGATGACAGGTAAGTGTACAACACTTCCATGTGTGGCTTCTAGGATGACAGGTATGTGTGCATGCCACAATACTTCCATGTGTGGCCTCTAGGATGACAGGTATGTGTGCATGCCACAACACTTCCATGTATGACCTCTAGGCTGACAGGTAAGTGTGCATGTCACAACACATCCATGTGTGGTCTCTAGGATGACAGGTAAGTGTGCATGCCACAACACTTCCATGTGTGGCCTCTAGGCTGACAGGTAAGTGTGCATGCCACAACACTTCCAAGTGTGGCCTCTAGGATGACAGGTAAGTGTGCATGCCACAACACTTCCATGTGTGGCCTCCAGGATGACAGGTAAGTGTGCATGCCACAACACTTCCATGTGTGGTCTCTAGGAAGTGGCGTAACAGACTGAATAAACAGTATGCACAAGCTTGTTTGTCTGCATCATCACTATCAATGTGTGGACTAATCAAACATATTGCTCAACATGTTCTACATGACTGTCCTCTGTACAATAGGTATAGAAATCTATATGATGGTTTCAGGGCTCATAGGCTGGGGGTTGACCACTGTGCCTTAACACTCATGTTCCTTTGGGCTTTGCTGAAATTTGAATGTGTTGGGTCAAAAGGTGCAGATAACGCAGCTTAGCTGTAAACCATTACACAACATTCCAACCGCCTTTTTTTTAAAATAAAAGGCAAGCAGAGAATATAAACAGTTGCAAAAGATATACTGGCTCACTGAATGAGTATTGATCTCTCCGACTGTATAGAAGAAAACAGAAATGCTAAATATGTCTGACTTTATCAAGAACTAGCCTGATGTAATCAGTAAAGATGTGATGAGCGAAGATAATGAAAAAGTAGTAGTAGTAACAAAGAAGAGAGCTACAGTAAAGAAGAAATACAATAATATGTAAGCAGTGTGTTAACAAGACATTACTGTCATGAGAAGTTAAGTTTAACATTTCAGTGACCTCATATATTCACATCATAATTTACACTTACTGAGAAAAATCCGTAGACCAAAAGATCATTGTTATACCACTCCAGCCGATCAATCCATTCAAAACCCTTGATAATCTAAATAGAAAATTAAAACAATTTTGAACAATAAAATTCAATTAACATGAAACTTAGGATTAATTTAAAATTATAATTCATTTAACAATGTTCTTATCATGAAGAGATTACTTAAAGAAATTGTTTTGAATAAATATTTTAATATAATAATTAACAAAATGCATTTTTGTCTGATTGTTTCTTTGAGTAAGCTTTTTAAAGGAAAGGAAAAAAAATGAAACAAATTCAATGTTTACAACAAATCCTAAGTATAGCAAGAAGAGACAGGATCGGAAACGACAAAATCAGGAAACAAAAAGTACAAAACCAGTACTAAACTACATCAAGATACAATAGATCAAATGGTTAGGATACATATTAAGACTACAACAAGATAGTGCACGATAACAAATCTTGTTACTCAGACACACACATTTTTCTAGACCAAGTGACACTTCGTGAATCAACTGGTCGGGATCATGCCAACCACCGAGATCCATTATGCAAGATAGAAAACTCAGTCCTTGTAGCACATGTAGGGTATTAAATTGGTCTAACATGTGCAAAGCCTACTGCAAGACAGTGCACCATAGACTAGGGCTGTACCGATTAGTGATTTTCACTATTCGGCCGAATAGGAATAGTGGGACCAACTATTCAGCCGAATACGAATACGAATAGTGTATCATCATCATCAGGTGACTTGCCGACTGGCGTGTGCGATCATGCCTCTCCACAATCTGCTATCTCTTGCAGCATGTATCAATTCGTGTGCTGAGACACCTCCATGCCGTGCAACAAGACTCAAGAATCTTGTCGCATTGTCTTCCTATATCCCTCATTCTACAGATCTTTCCAGTGGTCACCACATGTTCCATTTTCCCTCTTCTCATAACATGGCTGAAAAATGACGACTGTCTCCTTCTGATGTCTGTGATTAGTTGTCTTCGGGCTCCCGCCTCTTTCAAAACCATCGATCGCTCGGCCGTTTGTTTGATGTAATTTAAACGCACCTTCATATTCTCGTTAGCAATATCTTCAGATTTAATTTTGGTGAAGACACCCTGAAAAAGCAAAAACAATGCATGATCTCTCTCTTTCTCCCTCTCTCTCTCTCTCTCACACACACACAGACACATACACCACACGCACACACTGCGGCTGGCATTTTATGCAGTTTGTACCACGCAACCGGGTCGCAGTTTCCCCCGCTATGACAGACTAAGGCAACAGCAACTATTGTGTTAATGAGAGAGTTATTTCAGTCCATCACAGTGTATGCAGGAACGGGATTAAGGGAACCACTATTCGTATTCGGCCCGACCGCAACTATTCGGCCGAATACCAAATAGTTATTAGGTCCACTATTCGACCCCGAAGCGAATATTCAGTACAACCCTACCATAGACTGTCCTATCACTCAGATGCAATATATTTTTCTAGACTAACTGACACTTGGTAAATAATGTGGTCAATAGCAAGCCAACCACCTGTACTCCGCAGGCCCGTTGCAGGTGCTTAACAGGGTAGCCAACCTGGGAGCACAGGACAATTTTTTTTACAAATCTGCACCTGAGGGGATTCTTCTTCTTCATCGTTCATCTGAGTGACGGAAATGCATTGTGCCTGTTCACAGCAAAGCTACGATATCTGCGCGGAGGACACATGAGGAGATTTAAACTGGCCAGCAGCCACCAAAGATTGACAAACAGACTTGTAGATATATAATTTCTCTTCCTGTCACTGTCGACACATGAGGCATAAACTGGTACATATACAGATATATAAATGCAGGACTGCAAAAGTCATGACTTTTGTGGCTAGGTGCCCTAAGCCTGACATCAGCCACTTAAGCAAAGAATTGAAAAATAAGCAACTTCGCCGTCTTATTCTTAGCTTCACCAGCTGTGAACTCCAGGGAAAATTTCTCAAGATTTGGTCTTGTTTTATAGCCTGAGTTTTGCAAACACATCTGTTTTACAGATCTGCTATTTGTATGCAGACTATTCGTATCTTGCCTCTTAGGCAGATGCACTCCAACTTCACAGGAAACAGCATTAATTAATCACCTTTTAGGACTTGCTAGTTGGGGGGGGGGGGGGGGGCAGTGGGTATATATCCCCCCCCCCCCACCCCCTTCCGCAAATAGGGTCAGAAAACCGACACAGGGAAAAAAAATATCTCACTATTGTTAATAAGACTAATGATGGCATAATAGATAGTGCAGCTGCTTAGCATGAAAACGGTCAGAGTTCAATCTTCATCAGTATCAAGATTTCCTTTAACTAGTATGGCTCATTTTATGAGAACTGTCTGGGAAGGGGAAAAACTGTTCATCTCATTACGCTGATGCTGCGCTTACAACAGTCTTTCTAAAATTTAATATCTCTGATATTATTTAGAAAAATGTTTTAAGTTTTTTTTTAAAGTATTTTCTTTAAGTCATTCTGGTGTGTTAGGGAAATAAACAGCCAGACAGGCTGACCAGTTCTGCACCACTTGATGTAAACGGATGCATGGCAAGCTAGATCTTGTAGAGTCCTTTGGGATCAAGTAACCAGTGCAGTAGCACAAACTCATCATCATGGTCTGGGGAGAACAGTCATGCTAGAAGTGACCAGGAGATCTGGTCAACCTTCAAGGAAGAGGTCAGACAAGATATATGATGCCAGAAGTGACCAGGAGATTTGTTCAACCTTCAAGGGAGAGGAGAGACAAGATAAATGATGCCAGAAGTGACCAGGAGACCTGGTCAACCTTCAAGGGAGAGGTGAGACAAGATATATGATGCCAGAAGTGACCAGGAGATTTGTTCAACCTTCAAGGGAGAGGTGAGACAAGATATATGATGCCAGAAGTGACCAGGAGACCTGGTCAACCTTCAAGGGAGAGGTGACACAAGATATATGATGCCAGAAGTGACCAGGAGATTTGTTAAACCTTCAAGGGAAAGGTGAGACAAGATATATGATGCCAGAAGTGACCAGGAGATTTGTTCAACCTTCAAGGGAGAGGTGAGACAAGATAAATGATGCCAGAAGTGACCAGGAGATCTGGTCAACCTTCAAGGGAGAGGTGAGACAAGATATATGATGCCAGAAGTGACCAGGAGATCTGGTCAACCTTCAAGGGAGAGGTGAGACAAGATATATGATGCCAGAAGTGACCAGGAGATCTGGTCAACCTTCAAGGGAGAGGTGAGACAAGATATATGATGCCAGAAGTGACCAAGAGATCTGGTCAACCTTCAAGGGAGAGGTGAGACAAGATATATGATGCCATAAGTGACCAGGAGATCTGGTCAACCTTCAAGGGAGAGGTGAGACAAGATATATATAAATATATATATATATATTCAAAATGTTACTAATGCCATCACAATTAGATATCTGCACTTGCTGCTGAAGATGGCAACAGAGTGCTTATGGGAATGTCCAGAGTACTGTGATGTTGATTCTTATTTAACATTTACAAAAATAAATGCATTTTATTCTTATTTTTTTTTTCATTTGCAATTCTAATATTTATAAATTATAGTAAGTTCTTCAGTATGACTACTGAAAGATATGGGATCTGTTGAAACCTTTGAAAATAAGGGGGAGGGGAGGCTGGGAAGAAAGGGGCGGGGGTTGCATACTGATAGCCACTGATCTTGAATATGTGAATGTCAGTCACTCTGCATTCCAATGACTACCCATACCTCCATTTTCTACTTTGCTAATATTTGGTGAAGGGCAGTAGGACATTTTCATATTCTCATTTCACATACCTACAGCAGTAACAGTCATGTGATATCCTTATTCCACATGTCTACAGCAGTAATGTTTATGTGATATGCTCATTTCACATGCAACAGTAAGTGTCATGTTATATTTTTATTTCAAATGCTGACAGCAGTAACATCCATCAGACCCCTTTACATTTGACCCCAACAGTAGTGACATTGACTGGATAATGTAAGCAACCTTGTTGCCATGGAGCTGTGAGAGATACCCAGCCAGCACCTTCCACTCTCTGTAGAAGCCATCTCTTCCTGCAGTATAGACAACTCCATCCCTGTAGCACACGAAAGTCACGCCAGCTTTTCCGTGAACTTTCACAGAACTGTTTAATGGCTGAATGGGACACAAAATATAAGAAGACATTTAAACTGAGCTCTTTCCCCTCTGTGTGTATGTGTGTGTTAGCTGTGTGCAGACACATGCATACGCACGCCTCTCTCTCTTTCCCTCTCTCTCTCACACACACAAACACACATACATCGAATTCTTCTTTTTTCACCGGCAGTAAGGCCCGGCAGAAAGTTGTAAGGTTGTTCATCCCTCTGGACTCTGGCTTTGTGCCAGGAGCTTAGTTTTGCGTGTACGTTCATCTTACTGGTACTTGTGCGCAGTTGGTTGTTCCTTTCCACTCCAAATTATTCAACTCCTAGGACATGCTTGTTGGGGAGGCTTTGGGTCTATTCTTGTTTTCTCTACAATGGGGCCCAGGAACCTACATGGGGAAAACCTACATGAATACACACTAAAAGGTTGTTGCGTATCCTCTACAGGACGTTGCAGAACCAACCCTAACAGCTCCTGGCTGTTGTGTGGTTTCTCTAGGCAAATTTACGTCCAGTAGGTTGCCATTGCTTTCTGGACGGTCGGCATTCTTGATACCACTGTCGCAACCAACCCAAGGCGCATTGCCCGCAGCTGGGATCGAACCTGGCATTCCGGCATTACGAAGCGAAGGAATACACACTATTACATAAATTACTGACAAAATTATTACAATCATGTGTTACATTTTCTTTAATTAAATTAGTCTATATGCCATCTATTCGGCATTCTTAGCCCTTGAGGTTCACTCCTGCAGGTTTCACTAGCTTCTATTAATCTCTGTGAACTGCCTTATTTTTTTAATCCAGTAGGTGACACCAAAAGTATTTGTAGGTCGACTTAATTATGATCTCTCCATTATTTTCTTGGTCTGCCTTACAGACTACTTCCATTCAACTCTTTCTACAGGTCAGCAAAATATTATAATACTATTATTAAAATAATCTATCTGCTATGTGGGAGTTGACGTGGTGTTGGCGGCTAGACACCTGCTTGCTGATCAGAAGGTCGTGGGTTCCGCGGATGTTTTAAAAAATGACCCTGACTCCCAGGTCGACCCAGCCTTGAGTGGGTACCAGGTGTAGTCTTGGGAAGTAATGGCGGCCGGCGTGATGCTGACCCCATCAGCCTCCAAGTGCCAGTTGGTCTATAAAAATATAGGTCTAGCCCTTTATGCCCAATATGCCTAAAGAAGTGGAATCTATCTACCTTCTTTTACCCCACCAGGACATCACACAAGCGATAAACACCTGATGACACAAAGTGCCACCATGTGAGTAATTTTAATTTCCCTTAGTCTCTGGGTAGTAAGATCGGACACCCGTTTGTACTCTTGCACATGTAAAAAATCCCTTGGCAGGTTGAAATCAAAAAGAGTTCCTAACGGTTCTGTCCGGGCAGAATTTGGAGTAAAAAATCTACCTAAAGTATTTCAGGATCCTCGCCGGTGCTATGGAGTTCATGCGCTGCGCTGAGATTCTTAGGACTCAGAAAAGGAACCCTTATGGATTACTACCCTTGTGCCATGATGTTGATCCATTGTTTAAACCTTAAACCTTGCAAGGTGACAAACCTCTGTAACATTCCTTTTAAGCTTTTTTCTCTCCTTTATTTGTGACAAAGATATTACAAGAACAGATCCATTTGCTTCATTTAGTGTTACTTAGCTTTCTGGGCACTAAATGTGTTCACACTAGCCAATTTTATCTGCCCAGAGTATGCAATACTAACAGCCTGCTATCTATGTTAATTATAAGATAGATGCTTTTACCACTGAGGGGATCTTTTGAAACTACCTTTGTCAGCTTCTCCATAAAAACTCTCTTTAGGCCACTAGCAAATATGGCATATAGTATCAGGCCCATATTCATACAGCACAATCATATACTGGTGATGTGGTTAACATCACAGGGCCACCTATTCTGCACAGAATATTTCCTCATACCTAATTTAGGATGTGTAAACCTGGAAGCCCTAGGTCAATTATACAAACCATCCCTAATGTTGACTCAAACCCAAAGACCTTCAGTCCAATTGTTATGTTATGTTACCACAATTGAACTTTACAGGTAGGCAACAAACAATGTAAAAAGACTGGCATCTGACATGGCACCACAGAGAGCAATGTTATGCAGATACAGTGGTAACAGAGCCAGAGGCTGATCATGCAGAATATGGACAAAAGAAATAACAGAAACACTTAAAACTGAAGCAAACAGAAGAAGCCGTTCTAGAGAGCTCTTTGTCGACGCCATGAAACATTTCAGGAGTGGAGAAAAAAAAAGGAAGAAGAACATCACAACTGATGTCACTGCACATTGGGCATTCCCACGCCTACTCAGTCCTTCAATGCAGCAGCTACTCTAAGGTACCTCTACTGATTGTTTCTATCAGCAGCTGCTTCTAATGTCTCCTATCTCAGCCTTGAAGGTGGCATAGACACACTTCACCATGCTTTACTCCCGTGTCACACAGTTGTGTTATGTCAGAGATTCATCATTATTCCCTAAGCTAGTCCATACAGTTAATGATTTCTGCTCTGTCCATGCTTCTTCCCACACACATGTTTTAGGGCACTGCTTGCCAGTTAGTCCGCATGTTTGTCACCTCTCCCACCGTAATGGCCAGGTGTACAGATCCAGGTAAGGGAGGGTAAGTATGATTTTCTAATGTTTTCTACCATTACTGCATGTGTTATTGTCTGTTCTGCTGCCCACTTCAGACCAGAACGTAAGCATCTAACACTTGGACTACCACAGCTTCCATCCTCTCTACATCAGCTTATCTAACTGTTCCTGTCAGCTTCAACTATAATATGAAGATGTATGCAGGTGGGACTTGATTAATAGAGGTGCTGGGGTGGATTTGTGGCAACAGGATGCCAATGACCATACTGCATGTAGGTGGAAAATTAGGAATATCAGGAACAGAATATGAATATCAGGAAAGGAATAGAAACAGAGAAAAAAAATGACTGCTAATACCTAAAGAGCTGAGTGTGTGTACAGTAAAAAGTAAGTAAAGGACCCTTTTCTACGTCTTTAGGCGTATAGGGCTAGACCTATATTTTTATAGACCAATCGGCACAAGATGGGTGATGTGGTCAGCATCACGCCAAGCGTGTGTACAGAGAAATGTGACTAAAAAGCTCAACAAAATGGGCAAGCAGATAAACGTGAACAAAACAACACAACGTAACATTTCAGCCAGGCAGCCTTTTTCAAACACAAGTGAACTACACAAACCTAACAACGTTGAAAATGTGTACAGAGGCATGTTAAATACACGTGACAGCAATATTGGTACTGAAACCCAATATTCTAACTGGAAGACTTTTTGTTGTTCGTGTGAGTGGGTCTAGCTAGCCAAGCTTGCCATCACCATGGGCAGTGATTCAAATGTCTCTGTATAGCACAGTACAACACAAATGTCTGAAATACCAGAAAGGTGCCAACAAGTGACAGATATTCAGCATCACTGCAAATAAATAAAATTCCCCACCTTAAGTTCTGGTTCACTGTTGCAATCACTGCCATCTGCCATCCCATATAAATGAACAGAACCATCCTTGTCGCCACAGACAATGAAAGAATGTGAGAAACTACATGTCTTGTCTGAAGATGGAACACTACAAGCTGCTGTTATCCATCTGTGTTTACTGGGAGGTAGTGACAGCTGGTACTGTTTCTTGATGCACAATGTGAAATCATCTCTTTCTTTGCCTCGAACTGTGTCCATTTTCAGCAGCAGCTAAATAAATAAAGCAACTAAGAGATTAATACTTTGTTATTTTCATTAAAAAACATATGACTTTGGAACACTGGGGGGTAGTCGAAGAAGAGGAGGGCAAAAAAAAAAAAAAAAAAAATCTGGAATGATAAAATCAAGAAATGGACAGGACTAAGCTATTACATTTTTATTCATCAAGCGGAAGACAGAGAAAGATGGCGGGAGTTTTGTGCTAGTGCTTCCATCAATACACCTCGACCCTAACAGGTCAAGTGTTATGTTTATGTTAAATGACTTTGAATAAAAAAAGCAATAAAGTGATCAGTAATTTGTGAGATCTGATAGGTCAAGTTTGTTAAAACAACAAATGGCTTAGAATAAAAGACAATTATATTTACATCAAAGAGTTATGACAGTGCAGTGGCTAAATGCTCACCTGCTAGTCCAAAGATCTTAGGTTCAAAAGCTGATTTTAACCCAACCTAATACGGGTACCAGATAATATCATGGGAAGTAAAGGTATGATGCTGCTTACATTACCCATGCTGTCGATCAGTCTTTAAAAATATTAAGTCTAGCATCATATGCCTGAAGGGTCCCATACTTTATGACATTACAACATATGAATAACCCTTGACCCGTTAGGGTCATGGAGGTGTATCGACGGAAGTACAAGCACACAAAACCTGCCATCTTCCTCTGTCTTCTGATTGTTGGATTAGTACATGATAACTTAGCCCTGTCCATTTTCTTGATGTTGTCATTTCAAATCCTTCTTTGCCCTCCTAGTCTTCGACTACCATGCAATGTTCCTTGAAGTAGTCTTTGCAATCAAATTATGTCTTGTCATGTGCCTGAAATAAGCTAGCCTGTAACGTTTCACCACTGCCAAGAGTGGTTCCCGATGTCCTGCAAATTCCTATACTTTATAGCTACAGCACAATGAAATAAAAAGTCAGTAAAGTGAAATGTAAAGAACCCTTTTTATGCCTTTAGGCGCATCAACCTCTGAAAACAGCTCTGTAAGATGTAAGAAAAACCAACAATAATAATATACGTACACAAACTCCATCCGGGCCTGAGGCCAGGAGGTGACAGGAGTCTAACCAAGCCAAAGCCAAAACTTTGCCAGGAAAAAGATTCATCTCTGCTGATTTTGTTTCTTCATGTTGAGTTTCTGCGATTACAATCGTAAATGAATTGTTAAATCATGCAAAACACTTACATTTCAAGACAACAGAAAGTTTTAAGTGAAACATTTCAACAGAGCAGAAATATTTAAGCAAAAGCTTGCTACAATTACCAGTTTTAATGAATTACTTTTAAATAAATATTTACAATTGTAAGCTATTCAAAAAGTAAATAAATCAAAACTAAAAAAAACCAAAAAAAACAGTGGTACCTATTACTGAAACAGATTGTATGAACAAGACACAAAATTTATTTAGATGACACTGATAGAAACTAACAATATATTAATCCTACCTGACAGCTGAATAATGCGCACAACTCCGGACATGCTCCCAAGTGCCACGGTTGTCTTGTCTGGACAAGGACTAACCACACTGTAAGACTTGAAGACATTGTCAGATAGTACCAACACAAACTGTTGGTTGCTTACACTGTATGAGTACAGATTTCTGCAGGGGAAAATCAGTGTAAAGACATAAAAGCAGTGACAGCACTTGTTTAAAAAATAAAAACAAGCATGGCTTATTTTTTAACCCTTTCGCCCCCGTGACCTAAGGGGAAAAAAAAGGTCAAAAGGCCCACATTTCTTTTTAATGTAGTGTTTTTTCTGAAACATTTTTTTTACTCAGGTCATGCAAAGTAATTCCATTTATGAACCAAACCAATATTTAACTACATACAAAATAATGTGAGTAATCAACAGCATGAATGCAGCATAGAACTGATAGTTACATCTCTCTGAGCTTTAAAAAATGTTGAGCATAACATGTTCTTGACTCAGGGACCTGGCAACATTACTACTGAAAACAGGAAATTCTTGTGTTCTAATTTCAACAAATAAAGCCATATTTCACACGGCAACCCCCATCTAAATGATTTTCTTAGCAACTAATCTGGTTTCAGGTTATTCTGAAAAAGTTGCAGAGCAATGATCGATCTATAACAAAAGCCTAGCATCATATGCCCAAAGCACCAATGTAATTAAAACTTTACTTACTTAATTTACATAGTAAAGAAACTGGTTATCCCACCTCTGATGCCCTGGCCTAGAATATAGCTAGGTCTAACACTTCACACCTTCAATTAAAATTCCTACCATAAATACTTCAGAAAAATATTAAGAAACTACTAAGCTAGATTTTACATTTCCAAGAAAACTAAGAAGGACTCATTCCAGTGATCACCATCTGCGTTGACGTCGCGAGGCATCATTCCAGGAGTAGAGAAAAGAAGAAGAGGAAGAAAACCAAGGTCTCAAAATATGTCTGATCAAATAAGGTCTATAAAAGTCAAGCACAAAATTATTATAACTAAGGTCACAAGATGTGCTGTGTATACGGTAGGTAAAGGCCACGCTGTATCCGCAGACATTTGTTACCTGGGTTAGCCTTCCTGGTTAAGAATATTTCATGTTTATGATTTTGAAAAACAGAGAGAGAGAGAGAGAGAGAGAGAGAGAGAGAGAGAGAGAGAGAGAGAGAGAGAGAGAGAGAGAGAGAGAGGGGGGGGGGGGGGGATGGAGGGAGGGAGGGAGAGAGAGGGAAGGAGGGAGGGAGACAAAGAGAGAGGGAGAGAGAGAGAGAAAGAACAAAATGGCATGGTCATAAAGTTCTAATAATAAACAATTTATGGCTACCGAAAATATGTACATATCTACGTACCCAGAATTCATCATTATCAGGACAAGATCAAAGTTGAGCATCTCAACAATTCTAGGAAAATCATCTTGAATCTATGGTAAATAGAGCAACAAAAAAAATGTTCAGGTTGAACTCTTAGTTTAGCTAGCCAGTTTAAGAAGCTACAAAGCATGGCAAAGACCAACACCACTGCCCTTATATAAAGCACACAGGCACTCAGTCTTTCTTAGCAGCATTTCAAGGGTGCCGCTGATTGATGAACTGGCTAGCTACATGTTGGAACTGTCTCTTCTTGTGGTCACAGCCTCTGTAGTCAGTGTTTCACACAACAGTCACAATCAACAGGATTTATCAAGAGATGTGTCGCCATATATTTTAGCAAAAGGGAAATGAAGGAATGCAAAATGACTTGGGATACCATGGACACACACACACAAAATGCAGTGGCCTGGCAGCAATGCAGATCACTTGTGAACGTTTTTGTGTCAACAGTGGTATGAATAGGATGCAGATTTGAAGAATGTTCCAAAACATAATTCTTTTTCTTCTTCTTCTTTTCATTTGTCCAAAAGAGAATTTGACCTTAACTGAATACCTCTTCTGGTAAATAAACTGGAAACAATTCAAGTGAGAATGACTATACAAAGGAGTTTATTTGTGCTGAATTATAACAAAAATTGCTTACCAGCTCAGTGTTCTGGGGAACTGAAATCACCCTTTGCAGAGTTTTCTTAGTCTTCTCTCCATGAACCTCCCACATTCTAACACTTCCATCTCCGCCAGCTGTCAACTAAGATTAAAGTAAAAAATAATTTTAAAATACAAGTTCAGACATCCTCACATATATGAAACAATTACTTTAAACACTCCAGATAAAACTTGGAAATAAAAACCAGAAAGGCAACATGCTGACAACATACAGCCATAAAAAGTAAAAGAACATATTCCCACACCTTCAGATATACTGAGCATATGGGGATAACCCCATATTTCAAAAGACCAAATGTCACTGCTGGATTATGTGCATACTGTTAAGAAAAAAAAAATGAAAGTTTACAGAAGAAAATAGGCAACCTAGAAAAGCATCTTATATTAGAAAAGCACATATTTTTATTATTCCTCTTGCTAGGAGTCTTAGGACAATATACCTGAAAATGTTATGGTAATCATACAATGTTTTGCTAAAATGAAACTGTCCTTATAGACACACACAAGTTACACAACAGTAAAGTACAAAGTCTAGGCAGCTTACCACAAACTGTTCATCTTCTGCTATTGCCAGTCCCCATATGCTGCGGCCCTAAATGAGAAATACAATCAATTAATGAATAACCATAAACACAGAATATATTTTTTATTTTACTTGGTACTAATCATGAAATTCACGCAACACTGCTCGCAGGCAAGATCTAGTGGTGGTTCCAATGGGCTGTTCTATGTTCTAGGGGTGTCAGGTGTTGTACGTTTTGCTGGTTTTAAGCACATCCACCAAAGACAACAGCCACCACCAACAAGTGTAAAAATACAAAAACATCAATGATTCGATACTCATGAACCACTGCACCTTCAGTGCTTCCCCATGCAGTACATCGTTCTTGTACACAGCCACCTGCCACAGCTGAGCTACTCACAACAACACATTCCAGAAACTAACCTCGTTCACACAAAAGAAAAACAAAGCTGCCCAGGTGCATCTGGAAGACAGTGTGTCGACCTCGTCAAATGAATGCCAGTCATTTTTTGTTACGCTGTGTATAGACAGCGAAGAGAGGCATCTTATACCATCCCTAGATGATAGAACAACTAGAGTGAACGTACACAAGAACTCGCATGTGAGAGAGATGGGGTGAATTCTGTGATTAGTACCTTTTATTTAAAAGGTGTTCAAAAGCCAGGGGATTGATTTCATTGCACCAAGTTTTATATCATGACTCAGTCTCTGTCAGACTTTTTTCAAAAATGACCTTTGCTCCCAGGCCAACCTAGTCTGGAGCTGGTTACAGGTATAGTCCCAGGAAGTAAAGGCAGCCGGAATTATGTTGACCACATCACCCACTGAGTGCTGATTAGTCTACAAAATATAGGTCTAGAGCTATATGCATAAAGGCGTGGAAGAGGTCCCTTTAATTTAACAGTCTCTGTAGCTTGAGGGATGATTTCCCAGGGATATTTAAAATATTTTCACTCATGAAATGAGTGCAGGAACCTGAAATTAAACCCCTAACCTTAACACCCCTTCAGAGTTCAAGAGAGATGGCCTAACTTCTTCCCCACAGAGACCCAGAACAATAATAAAAACAAGCAATATTTTTCCCAGCCAATGTAAGCTATAATTATATGATTCAAATACACTAAAACAACATGTGCGACAACCATTCATTACCATTACAAAGTACATCAGTTATTTTGTAAAGATACATACAGACCACATCATGAACTGAAAACAAAACCACCCGCATTTGCCAGAGGTAGTAATAATATCCTTTAAACAACTTCACCCTTTTAAACATATTTTTTTGGGGTGAGCAAATGTCACAATTTGGACCAAGATTTGTTCACACATATTACCAATATTCACCAGCAAATGTCACACAATTTGTTTCACATACATTACCAATATTCACCAGCAAATGTCACACAATTTGTTTCACATATATTACCAATATTCACCAGCAAATGTCACACAATTTGTTTCACATACATTACCAATATTCACCAGCAAATGTCACACAATTTGTTTCACATATATTACCAATATTCACCAGCAAATGTCACACACTTTGTTTCACATACATTACCAATATTCACCAGCAAATGTCACACAATTTGTTTCACATATATTACCAATATTCACCAGCAAATGTCACACACTTTGTTTCACATACATTACCAATATTCACCAGCAAATGTCACACAATTTGTTTCACATATATTACCAATATTCACCAGCAAATGTCACACAATTTGTTTCACATACATTACCAACATTCGCCAGCAAATGTCACACAATTTGTTTCACATATATTACCAATATTCACCAGCAAATGTCACACAATTTGTTTCACATATATTACCAATATTCACCAGCAAATGTCACACACTTTGTTTCACATATATTACCAACATTCACCAGCAAATGTCACACAATTTGTTTCACATATATTACCAACATTCACCAGCAAATGTCACACAATTTGTTTCACATATATTACCAACATTCACCAGCAAATGTCACACAATTTGTTTCACATATATGACCTACCTTGTGTCCTTTAAACTTGTGCAACACATTTCCAGAATAGCTCCAGATGCAACATGTAGCATCCTAAAGCAAAATAAAAACAGCTACGTACTTATCGGAAATACCAAAAAGTTTTTCACAGAAACCATTCATCTTTTAAAAATCCATGTTGTGTATCATTGGCAGGTCTCTTCTTAACTCTTTGAGTCCCAGAGGGTTTAGGATCAAAGGCCCAAGGGGTAGTCAAGAGAGACGTAAAATCGGCACATTATGCGTTCATTGGGCGTCTTGGCAGTAACCTATGAACGTATTATGCGTTCCTTGGACTCAAAGAGTTAACCTACTGTTATGTGTATAGTGAATAATGCTTAGTACTGCTGACACTCCAACTAAAGTTAATGAGAAGAAACTAAAAGATTAAGAAATGATTATGTAGCAAAAGTTCATTAAAAAGAATGTGATATAAGGCTGCATGATGAAAAGAACTTACCTCTCCTACACTTGCAAAGTAAGTGGCTGCCAGAGCAACATCCCAAACCCTTGCAGAGTGGCCATATAACAGAAGAATCAGATCGTATTTAACAGATCTCCAGTCTTCTGGGGTAGGGTCTAATAAATTCCCATGAGGGAAAGTCAGCTGCCACATGTGGATGCTACGATCATCAGATACTGAGCACAATCTCTGAAGGTCGGGATGATACTTGATTGAGAAGATAACACCCTAAAAAGAAAAAGAAAAAAGCAGAAACATGCTCATCTTCACTTGCCAACATTTTATCATTTTGTATACATAATTATCTCACCAAGAATGTTGAGTGTTGAATTAAGAATCGACATCACAGCACTCGGGGCACCCCCATAAGCTCTCCGTCCCCATCTTCAGCAGCAAGCAAAGAGTTAAAATTCTGATGGTACCAGTAACTTACTGATTATCTCACCAAGAGAAGTGGAGAAATGCCATGATAATCACTGTTATACACATTTAAAATACAATGAAAATGGTGCTATACTGGGCACCCCATGAGAAGAAGCATGCAGAGAATCACTAAACAAGCACAGAAATGGGAAACAATTGGATTTAGAAACTGAGGGTGTTTGAGAAAAACCATGAAATGAAGGTTTATGAGAGGCCAGATATGCTGGAATGGATTCCATCCATGATGTCGAAATGATTGCACAGTATAAAATTGAATAGAGGAATAGACTGTGAGCCTCATGTGGCACAACAGGATGATGATGATGATAGAAAATCTCAAAATAAATATTAAGGTTTCTCATGTCAATCTAATTATCTGCAATATTTATGTGGGTTTTTTCGGGGGGCGAAAAAAAGGGGGGGGGGGTGTTAAAACCTTGGTCACAGCAAACAACACAAAAATCTATAGAAAATCAGAACAGATGGAAAAGCTGAGCATAAAACATCTAGGGAACAATACACAATAAATTGAGTAAACATTAAGATGAGGTCAGGATACAGCCTAGTAGACTCTATAATGAAGGGGCAGGACAGAATCTGCTAGAGAAACATTACCACCAAGCTTCATTATAAAGATGGCTTCTTCATCTGTGAGTTTTAAAAAAAAACACTCAATGAACTGAATTTGTGTTTTAATAAATAGTAATATCAGAGAAGGGATAAGCACAGTACAATATTCTCACTTGCTGGGACTTGCATTGTAAATAAATAAAATGCCTATACATATTTTTCTCATTTGTTAGAATGGTAAGTATCTTTATTCAGATATGCTTTAAAAATGAAAGGGTTTCCAGGGTTTTGAAATGCACAATAAAGCAAGTGCATAAGTGCCTGGTAACCCATGGTGCTTCACCAGCACCCAGTGATGGAATTGAGACCCATGGTGCTTCACCAGCACCCAGTGATGGAATTGAGACCCATGGTGACCAGATGACAGCTAGGACTTGCAGTAATTACTGCAGGATGCTGATGGTATGTTGGGAGGAGGAATCTGAGCACCTATGGAAGTGTTTGGAGTTCTCTGAGGATAACCAAATGATAACTCAAAACTCTCACCTGATGTCCAGAAAATGTATGCATTACTTCAACAGGACCATCAACTGCTGGGGAGCTGCTGGCTACTGGCCATAATACAATTTGATTGAAGACGGTTCCTGCTGCAAGAACCAAATTCTCCCATGTTTGGCCTATAAAATGTGCACAGTATCTTTAAATGATTAAGGAACAAATAATACATTTCTGATTATTTTGAAAAAAAATAATTTATTTAAAACACTTTCAACTTCAACGAAACTGTCACTGTTGATACCATTTGTAGGGAATTGAATGGTAAAAGACTAAGATACCAGCCTCACACAGCAAGGGACCTGAGTTCTAATTTCTAGTATGGAAAGGATCTTTGTCTATTAGAGACAAAATAAATGATATAATCATCACTATCATCATCATTAATTTCCACTTTTACCATTAAGTGTCCTAGGGAAGAAACAGTTTGCAATCCACCTCTCCATGGGTGGCACTGAATTTTGTTATTCCATGTTGATGCTGAATGTCTTTAAATTCATCAACCCATCATGTTTTTGAGCGTCCTCTTGCTTTCATGCAAGATGTTTTTATATGTAACACCTCTGTTGGCAGTTTTTGTGTGTGGCTGCATTCTAGCGAGATGACCAAACTGTTTTATTTTCTATTTCTCAATGAATCTGGTACAAAGTGTTGTTCCCAGTCTGATTTCATTTTCACACTGTCGAATGGTCTATTAGGCAACTTTCCTCAGGCATCTCATCTCACTTGTGTTTACTGTACCCAGGTAAGCCTTTGATAATATCACAGTTTGATACTGGTAGCCGTGTTGTATGAATATGCTGTTTATAACCTATTTCTTGGCAGGCATACTTATGTTTGGAAGTCTAAATAAAGTCATCAATATATAAGTGCACTGGCTCTTTGGCATCTTATTTCTATTTCCCAGTCTACTCTGCTGCCTACGAAAATAAACTTCCTAGATGTTCTCTTCCCAACTACCCCTACTGTCATGACATTCTTCATATTTCCCCTTCTAGTAAAGTGCATAAATAATGTGACCCAAAGGTGGTCATAAAATGAATTAAAAATAGTAATGTTTCCGGTCTTTCAATATGCCAAGAGATAGGAATGTCAATGAATTAGTTGGCAAAGAGTTGAAAATTATTTTTATTTAAAAAAACCCAGCAAAGTACAACCATTATTGTAATTATTAAAAATTACCACACAAAAAAAAAAAAGGATACAGAATGCACTTTTCTGAACATTCCCTGTGACAGGAAATGATCTTTGACTTCCAGTTCCATCTCACCACTGAATTATGAGCTAGTGCTACAGCAATACTTCCAGTGTCACCCTGCAGAAGATTCACATTAGGTAATTATTACTCCAACTCCTTAAATCTCAAGAATCTGAGCTTAAAAGTGATGATTACTTAGGTCTAAAGTAGTTGAACAGATTATAGGATAGAAGTGGTTTAACTAATCATTCAGATAAAATTGATTAAACAACAACAGAAGTCAGCAAGAGCATTATACTAAATTTTGAATGAAAAAGAAAAGTATAAGTTGTTTGGCAACGAAACAATTAAAAACAGCTGTTTTTCTCTCACTGCAAGCAGCTGTCTTTAACATAATGATAAATAACCAAAGCACAAAGCAAAGATAAGACTAACCTGGTCGTTCAGCCATTTAACATCCCATATCCAATCACTCAAGTGCATGACATCTGACAAAATAATTAGGTCATTATTTTGCTCTACAGGCTGAATACACACTACAATAGCTTGCTTGGCTCCATATACACAAACAAGATGAGATATCCCATCTGACGGACCTGTGAGCAGATAACAATAAAATATAATTATCATGTGTGTTTATTCTTATTGCAGGTAGAAGATGTGGAAAAAAAGCATAATGTGAACTAGTAAAGTACTTGAAGATGATGATGACTGTATCTATTTCTCCTATGTTTTTACTCTCCCACTGGTAACTGACTCACAGAGCATGTTGAGAAAGGGGGAGACAGGCACGCTCCATTCAGAGTGGCAAGCATCACTTCAAAGGTCCAGGGTAGTTAGCACCCTTTATATATTTTTTCCAGGTTGTGCCGGAATGTTGGGAAATGAGCAGACAGACAGACTTATCCGTTCTGCACCACTTGGTGGTTCTGATGTATGACAAGCTGATTTGTAGTCCTGCCGGTCACTGTAGAATTCCTCGACGATCTGCTTTGCTGTGTGCATATTGGGAACTTAAGTATTGTAGGGGTTCCCAGTCAGCCGATGTAAAAGTGCCTGTAACTGAGTATAGCAGCAGAGGTCAAGCTGAGTAAGTTAGATGGAGCCTATCCATTCTTACTGCTAGCCCTGATGTGAGGGTTAGCCAGTGACCAAGACACTGAAGCAGTGAGCTCAAGAGTCTGATTGACAGCAAGTGTAGGCTGTCATATGGAGCGCCGCCAGAACTGTTTAGGAGAATGCGAAGCTTGATGGGGTTAATTCCATGTTAGCCAGTGTATGGATATAGGTGATGTTGCTTCATTTCCATTTATTGTGTGCGTGTTGGTAGACCCAAATGTCCTTGTGAATAAATATATGATGGACAACCGTTGTTGCATTTTCCTGATTGTGTGCGTGTGGCAGAGTTCGAGTGCAAACAAAAAACCTAGACACTTGACTATTTGTTTGTATGCTGCCACCCATATTTAGCATAGAACAGTGTTTCACTTCAATAGAAAAAAAAAAAAAAAATGTGTTTGCTTTGTAAGCATTCCTTTGTGTGTATACTGATAGTGCAGAATCAACTGCATTTTCTAATAGAGAATTTTTTTAAAGCAATAACATACACATGCTGCAGTAATGCAATGATTATTATGTTTCTCTGTTGGAATAGTGATCATAGGTTTGAATCCTCATATGACTACATATTCAGACAATACTATTCTATACATAAGGATTTTTACATTGTCAATCATTTTTTAAATTACCAATTTTAATTCCATGCACCGAAGCTCCAACAAGGATTTGTCGCCTTGTTTCCAATTTCTTTAGGGTCACATCAAACACAGATATTTCACTACCACAACCTGCAAAAAAGAATAGTTATGTTAATTCAGAGTTTAGTGTACAAGTAGAACTGTGATTGGTCTATGCGTTTTTGAGAAGAGTGCTCTTGAGCTTTTTACATGAAAAATATTTTGTGAACTCTAATGGCCAAGATTAAAACAAATACAAAATGTAGATAGCAATGCACTTATAAGGGACACTTTTAAAGAATTATTTCAGCTAATGTGAGCAACTGTTGCTGCTTTGAGGTCAGAACATCTTATATACAAGGTTCAAGCATTGTTTCTGGGATGTGAAGCACTGCAATAACTTTGATTTAGTTTCTCTAGTTTCCATGGTAGCCTCTTGCATCAGTGAGCTAAAAAAAGGATTTCTTGAGGCCCCTGCAGGTTGTGAGGCCCTATCTGTAGCTTAGTCAGCTCCATGGATGGGTTTGATTAAAACCCAGTGCAAACAGCAATGAAGTCGATTCTCTGAGCATCTATGACGCATGTCTAGTTTATGTGTTGAAATTAGTAAAAATAAAGTTGAAAAAAAAATTACAACAAAAAACCCCAACCCCAAATAATCTTTTGTCCACAGATTGCTAGGGCTGTAATAGGTCCAGCGTGACAAAGTAATTCAAGCTTCTGTGTATCCATTATCAAATGAAGACGCTGAATCTTCTAAAAAAATTAATAGTTTATGAAGTAGACAATTCCATCCATCAAGCTATAGGCAATGAAAAACGAAAGTAGGAACAGGCAACCGGAAATCAACCCTGACTAGTCAATAACAGTAACTTTGGCCTCAGTGACTTTACAAATCTAAAATATTTCTTCGTTCATATTGGAGGTCTTGAAAGCAGTGATAACTTTATATATTTTAAACTTCTCATCTGATTTTACTCCAACTGTCATTTAAGCAAGAAAAATAAAGAGTAAAGGGTGGTTGAATATTTTATAATACAAATTAAATTCCCCGGCCATTATTGATTGTGAGTGACTAAGGCGAAGGAAACGAAACCGAGAAACTACGACTCAAATAACCGGTCAAGATGTCGGATGATTGGGGTAAAAGCGTGGTATTTCTTTTATTGTTTTTTTTTTCCCTGTTTCATTTGTCTCGTTTCGTAGTTAATTTATTGTAGTTATATAAGATAATACTGAGTCTAATGTTTAACTTTGTTTTTAGAGCAAGAAGACTTCGAGCCTACAATTGTACCCGGAGTGGTAGTGTCGGCAACAGATAAATGGGAGGGAGAGGATGAAGAAGAGGACGTCAAGGTAGGTTTTACAATACATTTCTTTGGTGGTTTAACTGTGTTTATTTAGGATTTTCGCTTTTTTTTTTTTTTTATCTCCCACTGTCTTTATGTTCAGTTGGTCTTTTTTTTAAAAATTGGCTTCTTTTCTAAAACAAGTTTATATATAATCTCTGATTTTTATTTAAAAAAAAAAGGGCTCTACTTTGAACGGCGCCTTAAAATGGCGGCCGTAATATGATGCCACATTCTGGCCATAAAATATCCAAAAATATCCGAACGGTGTTCAGGCGTATCTAAAATAAGGACTTTCTGCCAAGGGACAAATCGCGGCAAAACTAGGATTACTTGACAATCAATATCAACATTGCACACGGTAGTAGCAGACGATAAATACCGACCGTTGACAGTTTCGAGCGTTTCTGCAGACGATATTAGCGACCGTTGACAATTTCGAGACATTACAGATGATGAAAGCCGATTAGCAATACTGTGTTCTTCCGATTGGATTGGAGGATTTAGCAGCGGTAGATATCAGACTTGTCGGCATGCGCCAAACACAATTAAACTCATCGCCGAGCGTATCCCCCACTACGCGCGGCGCGGATGGGGGGGGGGGGCTAAACTAGGTGCCTGGGTCTCACGAGTAAAGTAATCGGAGATAGTTGCAGGAGATGCGGTAGCTGCCGCTCGTGAATCCCAGCCATTTAGTTTAGTCCCCATCCGTGCCTCGCGGGGATACGGTCGGCGGTGAGGCACACTCGCATAAGCAGGTCCACAAGTAACAAATCGCCGAGACCCTGTTAGAGCTTTTGTTTCGTTATACGGAGCCGGCACATATATTTTTAATAGAACTGAGCGGCATTAGGATATTTTTTGATATTTTATGGCCATAATGTGGCCAATTTAGCTCTCTTTTGAATGACATCATATTACAGCTGCCATTTTAAGGCGCCGTTCAAAGTAGAGCCAAAAAGTTGGTGGGGGGGGGGGGGGTTAGAATAAGAATGAGACGGCTATCCCCCGAATAACGGTCCTAAATTACAGAGGCGGAAAATATACCCTAAAAGGGCCTCAGTCATGTGTCAATTGCGCACTTCCGGGGACTACAACGCCACCGCCAAATTGTGGCGTGGATTGGGACTAAACTAGATGACTAGGACTCGCGAGCAAATAAAATGAAGGAAACTGCAGGAGATGCGGTAGCTGCTGCTCGTGAGTCCCAGCCATCTAGTTTAGTGAGTGGCGTGGGGATACTCTTGGCGGGGGGGGGGTCACCGGGAGTGCGCAATTTAAGACGACGGAAAGGCACAGTTGACTCATGACTGAGGCTCTGTAGACTTGTTTCAGTCATTTATTGGGCCAAACTGTGATGAAGGATGGCCTGAATGTATTCCTCGCACAGTGTACAATGATAACAAAGGTTGATCACCATATTGTTATTGTTTGGAAAAAGTTTCATAATCTCAAATCTGAAATGTGTGATTTTATCTCCCCTTTCGACTTGAAAGGACAACTGGGAAGATGAAGGAGAAGAAGAAAAGAAACCAGAGGAATCTGAAGAAAGTAAATCTGCTCAGACAGGTCAACCAGGTCAGACAGGTAGGTGCAACTTCGGTAGATTATGTGTAATTAATAAATTATAAGCTCTGTAATGGTACGACCAAACTATGTATGGAAGACACTTGTGATATAGTAATATATAAAGATAGAAAGAAGTCAGACCCTTTTAAAATAACATCTGGTTTAAAGCAAGGTAATGCTCTGTCCCCACTTCTTTTCAACTTGGCCCTGGAGAAAATTATAAGGAAATTAAAACAAGTGTACTATATGAGAATCTACAAGAATACTTGAATATGCTAACATTGATGTTGTTAGAGAAAATAAAATAGAGACTGCTAAAACACTGACTGTCTTAAAAGAATCAGCTCAGAAAATGGGACTAGTTATTAATAAAGATAAGACAGAATACATTATAATAACTAGACAGGGAAAGGATATAAACTCCGGCCATATACAAGTTGCTAATATGAAAATCAAACGAACGGAAACATATACGTACTTGGGTGCACTTCAACTGCTCCAGCATGTTGAGAGAATAAATACAATCTGGAAATAAAGTATACTATGCCCTTCAACATCTGCTAAAGATTACGTGTCTGTCACGCAACAACAAGATCAAAATATATAAAACGTTAAGACCAGTCATTTTATGTGGCTCTGAAACTTGCAGCCCTATTACAGGTTTTCTAAAACAGTTTTACGGCTAATTTTTGTACCCATCAAATATGCAGACAGCGGTGAATGGAGGTGAGCAGCAACAACGAAATTCATAATCTGTTTAAATCACCATATATCACTGGCATCATGGGAGTTAATAGACTGAAATGTTTGGGACATATTGAAAGAATTTCAGATGACAGAGAAGTAAAAAAAACTATACACGAGGGAGATGAATGGTCGTAGACCACGATTCAGACCAAGAAGACGATGAAGAGATAATATCCAGACAGCCCTGCAAACACTTGGTGTCACTAACTGGAAAGAGAAGACCAACCAGAGAGATGAATGAAGGCGGGTGATATCTGCAGCAATGAACCTCAAGGGTTTGGAATGCTAAAGAAGAAGTAATGGTACGCATATGAGAACATGTGTCTCTCTTTACTTTGTTTAATGAAAAGAAACTAAACTAGAAGAATGAAAACCAGCAGTGGTACAATGTAGCATATTTGCAGTGTGCTCAGATTTAAATCACACACCTCACCATATGGGTTCCCGGGTCCCATTGTGAGGAAGAAACAAGACTAGATCCACCCTGCCCCTCCCAAGTCATAAGAATCGACTAATGAGAGATTTCTTTCGAGGGCATCTGCCTGATGGGCAAAGAACTAACTGCTTGCATAATAAGCCAGATCTGGAAAACCGATATGAAACACAAAACTCAAGTTCTGGAACATTACTTTAGTCCAGAAGTGGACAAATAACCAGAACTGTCTGCCAGAGTTTACAGCTGGTGAACGCGTAGAAGAAGATTGCAACTGGTACAAATGACTTGCTTGCAACTGGTACAAATGACTTGCACTAGTTTCGGCATTCTACAAGAAGAAATGATAATGGACAGTTTTCATGAAATAATATAAACTAATAATACTGACATGGAATACCATGGTCAGAAAAGCAATAGACTGGCAGTGATTACTTGTGAATTCTTTCTGCTTTTAATAGTGAAATTAAAGAGGATATACATTTATAGACTTGTTTAGTGAATATGACCAAGGAGAAAAACTTTTATTGCTAAGTGTTACAGCTCGCTATGGGGTTGTTTTGGTGTGTGTGTGATAATATGTTTAGCGTGGCGTTGTGTAAAATGATTTCAATGTTTTGCTATTTGTCCCCATTTATCTCTTTATTGTTTAGAACTGACATGAGGCAGTTTATATGCTGGGGGGGGGGGGGGGGGGGGGGTCTTGGCAAAGTGATCAACCTGTTTGCCTCATGTTATAAAGATCATGTGTTTGTATCACAGATGCCTTATTCAGTTCACATGCACATTTTTTCCCCCACATAATTTATGAAATATTGTCAGCAGATGGTTAGCTGTAGGGCAGAGAGAGACTGAACTATATGAGATTTAACCCTGTGCAGTAAAGTCAGTCATCATGGGTTTACCTATGACTTTAATTCATTCTACCCCTGACAGTTCACAAACAGAATATGGGAATAGGTACTGAAGTAGAGTAGTAGGTATACACAATGCAAGAGGCCTTAATACTATGTGGTGGTTAAAGAAATTAAAGCTAGTAACAAACTATAGAATACCTTTAACTCTGACATCATATTAAGACTATTGCATGGATCAAAGATTTTGGAGAATAGCTTAAACAGTTGTCAGTAAATCTCAAAGATTTTTTAGCTGGTAGTTGCACATAAGTATGTGGTATGCAGGTCACTAATGGTGAGCTTAAAGAGACATCTAAATAAATTTCAGGTAAATGTTTTAAAAATAGGCCATGGTGTTGATTAAGAAAGACATTAATACAATTTATAATAATATAGCTAGCTTATCTTTGCACTGACACTTCTTCTTAGCATTCACAAGCTGTGAACTGTGGCAGAAAGTTCTGGTTGTTCATCTGTTCCTGTACTTTGGTCTTGATCCATAACCTGAGTTCTGCGTGCACATCCATTTTTACAGATCTGGCGTCTTTGTAGGCAGGCTGTTGGCTCTTTGCTTCTCAGAAACCCTTCGACTGTAAAGGTAACACCCCTGATTAAATGCCAGTGGGTCTGTTCTTCTCCAAATAAGAGCTCGAGGATGCACTGAAATACACATGGCTAAAGGTATGGGGTGATACCTACAAACAATAAAGTGGGAGCATGTAACAATTGAACATGTTTTTGTGACAGTAGCTCATCAGTTTACATTGCTTTGTTTGATACAGATTCTATTACTTCATTCTTTCTCTACCTTGCATGGTTGAGGTGAAGTGTAAACAACAAGAAGGTTCTTGTTTCTGTGTTTTGTGTGTAGGAATTCACGGGCAGTTGCTCCGTCTGTCCTTCATTTGCTTTCAGTTTCTGTCACTTGTATACTGTTACTGGCAGCAGAGTTGAATAGCCAAAATTCTGGCTTTTTGTGAAATTAATCACAGCCACTATTTAGTTGTTTTCAAATGCAATCTAGTAGTGCTACTTCTAACATTGCAATGTTTTGTTCCTAATACTTGTATTTGTTTTAAACAAAACAGCATATCAGCGGCCTAAGAAGAAACCATTGGCAGAGCGAATAGCAGAGAAGAGTAAAGTAAAGCAAGAGGAAGACAAACAGGTATTTTTTTTAAATTTAGAGGCTACATTAATGGGCAATAGCTATTTGGTGAAGTAGGTAGTTTCATCTTTCTTCACTTTTCTCCCAGAAGAGACATGCACCCTAGAATCAGCTGAACGCACATATCATAATTGAAACTGACTTACAGAATATATTGGGAATGGTGAAACCGGCATGCTACACACAGAGTGGCAAGTATTGCTTCAGATGTCGCAGGTAGTTATGGTCCTTTTCACAAAATTTCTAGCCGTGCTGGTGTATTGGGAAATTAGCAGGCAGATAGAGTGGCCGGTTCTGCACCATTTGGTAATGAATTGATATATGACAATTCAGATGTTGTGAGGGTCCTTTGGGAGTGAGGGAACTGTGCAAAGGCACAAATAGATCATTACGGTCTGAGGAGAATGGCGCCGCGGGGAGTTACCAGGGGATCAGGCCGGCGCTCTAGGAAAAAGGGAAGACAGATATACAAAGATGGAGACAGGATGCTTATGGGAGTGTCCTGAGTGCTTTGATGTTGATTTTTTTGATTCAGTGTTCTTTATAGTATATTTACAGAATATTATGCAGTTGCTACTAATGTAACAGTGCACATGGCATCGTCTGCACAACAGGTACTGTTTCAGGTATTCTAGTTTACCTGCAGGGACTGAATTTTACATATTGGTTTGGGTCGTGTATTTATCCCTTATCAGGCTCAAAGACCACCTACCCCTGCAGAAGTGGTCATGGCAGTTTTTGACAGATATCATTTATTTTTTCTCGTGAAACAGTCTAGGCTCTGTAAATTAGGGATACAAAAAATGAACACAAATTGTAACTTAGAGGCACAGTGAAAGGAAAGACACCAGACAAATGATTTGAACAGACATTAATCCTATTGAGAAGCCGCGGAAATGAGATGTCTGAGAAGGGCTGTAGGAGTGACCATAAGAGATAAGATCAGGAATGAGATCATAAGAGAACAAGTCGGCACAAAACCAATTCTGGATTACATACAAAGACAGCAAGTGAAATGGTTTGCCCACTTAGAGAGAATGCCCTGTGACACCATACCATACAAAGCATACATGGAAAGAGAAGGAGGACGTAGAGCACGGGGTAGACCAAGAACAAGATGGAAGGATAACATCAGAGAAACTCTACAACAGCACGATGTGCCTATGGTCGAGGCAGCCAGAAGAGCTAGAAACAGAACCTTATATCTCCCTCGACACCCACAGCGGTAAAAGAGGAAGTGAAGAAGAAGAGAAGCCACAAAACTGGCACTCCCAATTGGGTCCAGTTGCCTGTAAATGTCAAGCTAGATGAAGAAAAAGAAAGGGATTCCCTTCATTTTGGCAATCTATCTAATAAGCCAGTTGTATTCATTCTTTCTTTTTATCAACACTCTCTTCTTCTTCACAATTGTCATTTTTAGATTTGGAATATGATTATTCTTCAAGATAGGATGATGCAGAAAATGACCAGTGTAGACAACTGCCATGTAACAGTTTGACTTTCTGAAGTCGGTATATATATATATTTTTTGGTGTGGAACATTATTTTTGATTGTTATCTTTATAAACATGATGATTGTGTAAATATATTGTTTTTATCATTTGCAATAACCTTGAAGGAAAAAGAGCTAACAGCAGAGGAGAAGTTAGCAGAGAAAATTCGCATACAGAAAATTCAAGAAGAAGCAGATTTAAAGTTGGCCAAGGGGCTTTTTGGTGAGTTTTGTATATAGTTGTGCTTCCTGTCTTGATTTGATTTAACTGACATGAAAGTTAATAGAGATGAGAAAATAAACTACTAGTACATTTACACATTGATGGGTCTTGAAACAAGTTGTATGCTGTTAGCATTTACTGAATGCAAAAGTTCCTTTATCATACTTAGGGTATCTTAAAAAGTTATTTATGTGTCCTTGACAAGTCATTGGATAACCAGCCCCATGATTTTTCCTCCAGCTTTTGTGATTTTAGTTAGCAATTTTAAGTTAAGTAGTTTGCCATTGCTTTCTTAATGGTAAGCAATACATACCATTGTCGAAATAATCAGTGTTGTCTGCTACCATAGAGCCTGCAGCTTGTATTTAGCTGGGCACTCAGGGTGATATCTCTCCGTGCCATCGTTTCAGCCCATCCCGCATCATCTCTCTTGGTCTGCCTCTACCACTTTTCCACTGATCTTTTCGGTTGCCACGATGTTCTCCAATGTCTCTCTTCTCATTATGTGGCTAAAGAACAGTGTTTGTCTTTCTTATTGTTGTATATAGTGATCTACTTTCATACAGGGTATGCAACTAACTTTTATGTGTGTAATTACAGGTGTCGGTGATAGTCAAACAGGCATTGATGGCATGTACCCTGAAACAAAGGAACAGTTTGACCAGTTTGGGGATGCATTGAAAGCAAAGATTACATTTTTTGAGGTTTGTTTAATGCATGAATAGAATGTAGGCTTTTTCATTTATCACATTCCTTGTTCTATTCATAACTTTGCTCCCATAAGTCTTGTGAAATTTCTATAATTGGCTAGATGTTCTGTTTCTTTTACTTAATACATACGTTATTGATCATATCTTAAATTCATCTACACCATGGTGTTTCTCTTATCTGCTTCCTGAGATACCACTGTGTTTGATAATCTTTGTGAGCTTTTGTCAAGTAGCGGCTACATGCTCACCTGTTAGAATCCAGTTGACTTTGGCTGCCAGGTCGACCCAGCTCGAGTGGGTACCAGGTGTAATGTCCTGGAAGTAAAGGCGGCTGGCATGGTGAACTTTAGAGAGAGACTTAAAAATTGGTAATGAGATTGAATCAAATGATCATCGAGTGCATACAACATAAAAGTAGAAACACTGATACCTTGAGACTCCACAACATCACAGCATACCGGACAACTGATCGTGCCTTAGCTCGGTGATCGATCATCTGTTAACCTGCGACACTTCACAGCACAAAGCAGAATATGGACAAAAGAAAGATCTCAACCATACATTAATACCTACACCATTTTTCATGGCAAAACATAATCTTTGATCGTGCAGAGACCGGTCAGCATTTATTTATTTTCTTATTATTGAATCTTTGTCCTAAACGCATTTCATCATTTTCTTTTTCAGACTAGCAAGTTTTACTCCGCTTTTGTAGAAAAACTAATTCAAGATATTTCTTTAACATGTAAGTATTTTTGCTACATTAGAGAAAGTGTCATCTGTCACCAAATGTCTTGTAACTTTTAATATTTAATTAGGGCATTCAATCTGTATTGCTGTAATCAGGTAGTCACAATTCCAATTTAGTTGTTCTGTTTCTGTGCCAACAAAAACCACACAGAATGTCGGCCATTGTTCCTTGTAAAAAAAACAATTGGCACAGGCTGCAATCTCAGCAAAGCCATTAGCATACAGAAGCATAAGGCAGCTGTTGGAAGTGCCAGCACCAACATTCCACCACTAGAAATGCAATTTATCAATAATGAATGCAGCATTTACAACACATCTGTATTTGCACATGCAGTTAACTGCAAAAGGCACACTAGTTCTCTAGCAACAAGACGCTCAACATTTTCTGAAACTGCAGTTCACAGCCAAAACCACGTTGTGCACATGAGATTCACAGTGTCATGCCTTGCACTCAGCTCGGTAGCAGGGTGACATAACTTTTATAAATTCCCAATCTTCATATCGAGGAAAATGCAAATGTTTAATATTAGCAAAAACTTGCTACAACTAAAAGGAGTAAACCTGTCTATCTGACATATTGACCATCTTGCTGTGTGTATCACATATGATTAAAAAGGGTATATATTGGATAAGTATGCATTTCTTTGTGTGTGAACAGTATATAAAGCTTGAACATTCTCTGTTGACAATAGCGTTAAAGAATATGAATTTATGTTGCTTGACTCCAATGATTTCTATCTTACAACTAAAATTAAGTTAGCAGCATCTTGTGTGATTTTGAAAGATATAAATTGTTTGATCTGTCATTGTTTACTTTAGTTGTGTTTGCTTTTTTTTTTTTTTTCAGTGCCAGCAGATGACATTAAGAAGATTGGTATAACACTCAACACTTTGTATCATGAAAAGGAAAGACAAAGAAAAGTGAGTACTGATTGAATATCTGTGAATCAATAGTCCCTACAGTTGTGTGGGCTGCTGCCTCCTCCTTGTCTCCTAGGCAGTGGTGGCTCATGGAAAGGCCCTACAGAACTGCAGCACCTTCTGCTGTCACTTGATATTAGAGCCATAAGCCGCTATTGGTGGTAACACTGTGAGCATCCCTCATGCTCGTAAGGCATAAAGTAAAAGTAGCCATGAAATTGGTGGAATGTTACACAGTTTGTCTTGAGGCTGATGTGATGTGGCTGTTTCTCTTACACATCATCACTGCGTTACAGGTAGTTCTTTAAACACATTGATATTGTCTGGTACTGAAAACATTCCTCTGCGGAGAATATCAAGAGAAACTAATACCAGTTTTGGAAGGCAAATGCATTAGGCTCTTTGCCTGTATGACTTCATGAAGCATCTCTTTGTTAGCTTCAATACTGCTAGATAAAAGGACCAGGGCTTCTCTAGGTGGGCAGTGCACACTGATCAATTAGGACATCACTGGTGTTAATATTGAATTTCTTCTTCTTCTGCATTCATCCAAAGATGTAATTGCGTTATGTCCATTTACAGCATGGCTGCGATATTTACACCTTTCAGCCAACACATCCGACTTCTGCTGGCATTTGTTAAACTGGTTAGCCTTCCCGGTTAATATTGAATTTAAACAAACTTACGTTCTTAAAAAAAAAATTTGACCTGCCAATCAAGAAAAGGTTAATTTTAACATTTTCAGTGCTTTACACTATCTAGGTAATCTCTCGCAATTAATTTACAAGGAAAAGATTAAGAATTTCGTACATGCTGGCTCAGTTATCAGTTCAGTGACCACCTGCCAGCCATTCTGTTTCCTGCCAGACTATGACAGTCGTTGAGTACATTAAATAAAACACTTTTTTTAAATGTGAACATTCTGCTTTATCTAAAATCAATCTCACTGACCCTAATGCTGATACATAAGCAATTGTTTATATTTTATGCCTACTAAGTTTTCTGTGACAGATGAAAAGTCCTAACCCGATTAGATATAAGCCTGTGTTTTTCAGACCTGCTATGAGAAAGGAATGGCGGCGAACTTGGTAACAGCTGGCAAGAATGAATAAGGGAAGGTAGGGAGAAAAACTACCTGGATTGCTTAACTATATGGATGGGGTTTTGCAAGAGCATTTTCATTGACTTGATCAGTGATTCCTGTCTTCATGAATGATAGTGATAAATGTCAGCTTACGCTTGCCAACACCGGCCATCATGATGATGAAATTATCTATATTATGAATATTTGTGTTTCACGTCCTGTATTCTAAGTCAAGAATGTATCATCTTTCCCTCCATCTTGCACAGGAACAGGCAAAGAGTCAAAAGAAGAAAAAGGTGAAAGCTTCAATCAGAGTGGACAAGGCTGATGACCTGGGCTTAGTAGATGTGGCAACGGCAGGAGCATACTACGACGAGGATGATGACTTCATATAGCACTTAACTTGTGTATCTCTTGTCCGATTATTGCTTTTATTTGTCTGTCCGCTGTGTCTTTCCACCGTGCCTGATTTGGAATTGGAACCAAATTTCAGACGTCTTCATAGCTTTCTGAATACTATTTGTTTGAATTTGCAATCAGTCTTGCAGTATGGTCGGTTGTGTGCATAACACACAGAAAGTGAGATTGGTGAGTTTGACGACTACCCTTATTATAGCTGGATATTGTTTTTTTTCTTTCTGATATATTAACTTTATCGAGTGAAGGTTCTCTTTTTTTTCTTCATGTTGAATAATTTTGGCAGGCTAATAAGATTTGCATGTGGCAAAACAGCTGTGTTATCGGTGTCAACCAGGAGAGCTAGGTTCAAATCTGTTTTAACTCTTAGTATTCTGTGTGTCACTTCATGTGGCTAAGAGGTAGAGAATTAACTGTTTTCTTACTGCAGTAATTGATTCCACATTAAGAAGAATATGTGCAATGTATCCCATTCATTTTTTTTACAAGCCATTTCTGATAATTTGAGATAACATGAAATCATCTGTCAGATCTTTGTGTCCCAAATGACACAGCATGTGTGACCAGCTAGTATTCATGTAGATCCAGTCTTTAACACCGTGGGCTCCAATTCTTGTTCCCATTTATGACTCTTATTTTACAGCCAGAAGTTAGTATTTAACTCTTTGAGTCCCAAAGAATGCATCATACTTTCATATGTTCCTACTTAGAAGCCCAGTGAATGCAAGATGCACTGATTTTGCATCTCTATTGACTACTCCTTGGGCCTCTGAAGCATATTACAAGTTAGATAATTATTTTCTCTCTGCACTTAATAGCGGCCGCTCTGGGATGAGAAGTGTTATGCTGTCTGACGCTCTAGTCATAACGTATGAACTGGGATGGTTATTTCCATTCCCTGGTAATTGTTATATGGCAGCCAGTCTCCCAGTCTAAAGATCTAGGGTTGAAATCTGCCTTGAAGAGATTTGTTCTCTAAAATTGACCTTGGCTCCCGAAGTTGACTCGGCCTTAACCAGGCACCGGGTGATAACTTGCAATGTAAAGGCTACATTACGCAGTCTTTGTTGGTCTTTCTAAGCATTTGTGTAGCACCAGAAGCCTGATGTCCTAGAGTTGTGGAAGGGGACATTTAGCTTAGCTTTTACTCTCTTCTGTTAGACTGGGGCTAACATTGGTGGAGAACAAGTAGTTCTACTTGCACTGACGATTGAGCCAGTATCACTCTCCTGGCCCACTGACCACTATGTAATCACTGCTGTGTTTATATGCAACTCCATAAACCTAGCTTTGTGGTGGCAAATAACGTTCTTCTGGAATGGCTGGTGTGACCCCTTGACTTCCACATCTAGTTCCATGTTCACCTTCTTTCCATTGAAGTAAGTAAACAAAGCAGGTCAAGAGAAAGATCGTACAGCATGGTCAACGTATGTTCTCTACAGTACTGCCCAGGCTTTGCCCTGGTGTAGAGGAACTTCGTCAGCTGTGATTGCTATGTATGTCTATGATGCAATCTGTCACTTGTCTCCTGATACAATGGTAGTTTTATGTTAAAGTATATTTGCTAAGTTCATTTTTGTTTCCAGTCTGCATTTTTGCCACCACTGCTGAGTTTTGCCTGACTTCTGACAGACTGACATGGTCCTCACAGAAGTATAAATGCTTTTCGTGAAATAGTGACTTTGGTTTCAGCCATCACTCATTACTGATCATTCTTTCAAGCATGCATGTGTTGTATGTGGTTTGCAGGAAGCATGAGCATTGATCTGTGTCACATCTCTTTTAGTTCATTGTGAGCATCTCATTACTGTATTGCCCATCATTACTGTTGTATTACCTGTGTTGTTATATGCATGTGAAACATGGACAGTAAGCAGACAAGCTGAACAATATTTGCAGTGGAGCTGTGGTTTTTGAGAAGAATGCAAAGAATATCTTGGAATTTTAGAAAAACAGATACAGTCGTCCTCGACAGATGGTCACAAACTGGTTAGAGAAATTCAACGCAGGCAGACTATGTCCTAGACATGTTAGTAGAAGGAATGGACTTGAGAACTTGGTAATAGCTGTCAGTATTGATGGATAGATAAACAGGGGGATGAAGAAATATCTTGGTAGATAGGGCGGGATAAGAACACAGACCTGATCATGTGAGGTGGTGAATTATGACAGCCTACACTTATCCGCAATAATGACTTTATTCCTATATTCAGCAACAGAAATTTCTCATTGATTACAATAGAATGTTTATTTCATCTGTTAATTATGAAATTAATTTACTGTTTTGAACTTATTTATTCTCGGGCATGGTTGTTTTTCTTCTGTTTTGATTATCTGTCAGTGTAAAATACTTCTCAATGTTTATGGCAAGATGTTTTTATTGTGAATATTTGGTGTCAGGTGACAGAGTGTCCGCATTCTTAAGCTGCTGCTGAATTTTTACGTGACAAGTCACAATTGCCAGCAACTTGTCAGTTTGCAGAGATCATTGACAATTCTGTCTGTAATGGATATGTACAATGTATATAGATTCTGGACTTTAAACATTTGGGTATAAACTTTACAGACATTTGATTGGAGGGGGGATGGGGGGAGTGGAAATAGTTGATCCATTAACAAATTATCAGGGTCGTTTTTAGTACTATCAACCAACTTTAGTCTGCATGATTCTGAGTCATAATTGAGTAGGCTAAATTCTGTGGGGGAAAATTATATGAATATTCTGTATTTATGGATTTATGTCCACTGTATTCATGTTTACAAGATAATGATTGATTGAGAACTTTGTGGTGAAGAGAATTCAAACATTTTAAGAACTTGTAGTTGGCTGCATTAAAATTACATAACACAGTTCCCATGTGTGTACGCATTTGCTTTTAGTTTTCACATTTCATTATTTAAATGTGGAAATGGTTTGTGAATTGAATTTTGTTGCTTTTATTAAAGTAAAATTAACTCTTTCAGTGCGAATTGATTTATAACTAATTTGTCTTTAGATACAGAAATAGTTAATCAGTAAACGCTAGCGAAGTAAAGCATTAAATAGAATACATTCACCAAGGCCTATAATTTATCGGGCAACACACATCCTGACCCTTTGACTGTTGGGATTGTAAGGCTACAGGCAATTTATGACGTTCACAAGAAGACCTCACAATCTCCGATGCCATTTTTAGTAAATAAATTCAAACTCTGGCCTCATAAACACTGTCCAGGCACAAACAGATTACTTCTTTGGGATAGGTCTCTGCAGCATGCTAGATAATCGTATTTACATGGTTGAATCAGTCAGAAAGGCCTATCAGGTGACAGGAGTTGAATGATCGTTTGTCGCTAGGCTATATTTACACCTTTCAGCCCCCACGCCTCAGATTTGAGTAAACTCTTAATTTGTTGCTTGTTAGAGCCAGTGGGTCTGTTCCCCCCCCCCCCACCTTTCCTCAAATGGGGGCCCGGTACCCACACTGGGAGTACAGGTTCTCCTTAAAACTACGGCTACTTATTATGGAGTACGCCGGAGTTCAGTCCCCTGGCCGTATTGCAATTTCCGAGTGGACAAGAGGGAACGGCACAAATGACGTAATTACTGTGTGTTTGCAATAGATGCACTGCTGTCATAATAGGGTTAGGAGTGGCCGTAGTTTTAAGGAGTACCAATACCCTAACCGAAACCCTATTATGACAGCAGTGCATCTATTGCCAACACACAGTAATTACCTCATCGGTTCACGCTGTCTATCGCCAACACACAGTAAGTATGTCATTTGTGTCGTACCCTCTTGTCCACTCTGTAATTGCAATGCGGCCAGGGGACTGAACTCTGGCATAATCCATAATAAGTGGCCGTAGTTTTAAGGAGAACCGGAGTACATTCTTGTGGGGTTTGTGGTTTGGAAAACGAAAAATAGAAAGTGTGTTCTGTTCGGTGTTAGTGATGCATATAAATCATTTTTTTGGTTTAGATTCAAGTTTTCATGATATGCTCCTTTAATGGGGTATATTTTGCTCAAGAGAAGCCGGTTTATGAAAAATATGTTTCCAGTAATTTTTCTGGAAGTGGAAAGATTCCAGCTAAATTAAGTGTAATATGCCTAACAATATTATATAGTATTCATGGGTCATTCAAACTGTATGGTGGCATCTGTAGTGAAGCATTAACTCTCACCTGCAACAGTAATATTCAAGATTCCACACTGGTATAAAAGTAAATTTGAGGCAGATGCCAGATTTAAAAAAAAATGCATGTGGGTTTCAGATTTAGAGACCAGTTTCCCCTGATGAAGCAGCTGCAAACACTCTTGTAGATGGATCATCATCATGTAGCAGGTCCTTTACAGAACATCGCTCTCTCTCATCACAGTCTGCCTGAAAGAAACTTGGTCTTCCGCCTTATATACTTTCATATTGAAGGAGTCACTTATATTCTGTGCCTATCTTCGTGTTTGTCGGCCGCTGCTCCTCCTTCCTGGTACCATCATGCCTTCTGCAGTTATTTATGTCCAATCCACCATCGGCCTTGATCAGGGCAAAATATGGATAGACGATCAGTTTTACTTATAGAAGGCAAGAATCTTTACGGACTGTTTAAAAAAAAAGCGAAAACCAGCAGACTTGGTGGATCGAAGATACACGATGAAGCTTAATTCTGATGTGATAAACCAAGCAAGTAGCCATTCAACATCCCACAAATTCTTTTAGAACCTCAGATTTTGAACTTCATGTTTTCTTCACTGATAAAGAATGATTTTAATAATGATGCTCGTATAGGACGTATGTTGTATTGGGAGATATTCGGCACTTCTTATTTCTTGGTAATGCATTCAGACTATACATACAGTATGCTACTTCTAGCATTGGTCGTTCGGATTATACACTGCAATAAACCAATCTTTTTTCAAAATATCATGTGTTGAGCTTTTGTAGACTGGTTGCACGTAACCTAATTCTGAATATTAAATGTTCAATGCAAGTCATGCTTACTTGAGCACTGAGGTCGCCCTTGGAAGCGATGGACGGGTGAAATGTTTGACTCCGTGAATACCGGCATCTAAGTGATACAACAAGGGCTCACACCAATTACCTCTTCAAAATCTGACGCTTAATGCCAGAACAAGACTAGAAGAAAGAAAGCTGCCTTTTAACTAAAACAGCTTGAAGGGGTACCACATTGGTCACGTGTATCAGTTCACTTGTTCCTTCAGCGAGGCGATGTCATTTGGAGGTGACAGGTTCAATTTAAGAGAATTTTAACAATGCATATTTTCTTTAATTACATTTTAAAACGGTTATTTTTTTTTTTTTAAAGATTCATACCGGATGAAAAGGTTGATGTCCACCTTCGCCCTAGTCAACACCTACCCCTTCTTTCAGGAACCATGCCTTTCAATACTATTCTTTGTAAGCCACAGAAGTGTTTAAATATGGCCAAAGCTCCGTAGTTAACCACCTGGGAAATGAGAATGTTTAAGAAGCTGAGACCTCTTCTTCTTTGCGTTCAACGGCTGTGAACTCTGGCGTAACGATCTAGTTGTTCATCCACTTCTGGACTCTAGTCTTGCTCCAGAACTTCAGTGTTGCACTCACATCCATTTTACAGATCTGGCTTTTTTGTATGCACACTGTTGGTTTTTGCCTCTTAGGCAGATGCATTCTGACTCTAAAGGATACCTCTTATTAGTTGACTCTTACAATATGCGTGTTAAGGAGAGAGGGGGCTCTATTTTTGTTTTCCCCTCACTACTGGGCCTAGAACCCACATGCTTGAGAACAAAACCAGAAGACAACATGCCAAAAATGAACACATTAGAACTACTACTTGAACAATATCCATTTTAAATCTGACTCCTCTATTCAATGTCTATGACCTAAAACACCCCATAACCAACATAATAATATTCTCGTGTGCACATCGATTTCAGTATGTTTGGTTAACATCAAAGTTCAGGTGCAATATTTTTACAAAATATAGAAAAACATCATACAAGCAACAGGATAAAGTACAGCTTATCACAGATGTCTGACATTCATTTTACAAAAAAAAAATCAGATAGCCATTACACAGGATCAAACAACAGTATTACTAACATCCTCCAAAAACATGACTAAGCACCGCCATCCCCTTGACATACAACACTACCATCCCCTTTACACACAGACACACAACAATACCATTCGCTCAAAGTCACACAACATTCCCATTCTTTTATAGTCAAACTACACTACCATTAATGCTCTTTACACAATAAAAACAATAATTCTCTTTACACAAACAACACTACCATTATCTTCACACAGTCAAACAACAATACCATCCTTTTTACACAGGCAAACAACACTACCAATCTCTTTGTACATGGTCAAACAACACTATCATTGAGGAATGAGTAAATCAGGTACACATTACAAGAATTCTATTTATCAAACACATGAATGAAATGTTGGAAGAAATAGCTGCTCGTTGCTTTAAAAGTAGTTTACCTACAACCACTAATATGGTGATAAAGCTAGCGGAGCCATTGATAAAACCAGAAATGTATGGGGAATACATAGTTGAGGGAATCCCCGAGGTGACTGAAAAAACAAAAACATGATAAACACATTTGCAAGTACTGACTGGGTTGTTTCTTTTTATCTCTCATTCTTTCCCTACATCTATGTGTGCATTCCAATACATGTTCAATTTGTTTATCAGAATGCAGGTGTGGCCTGAAGACTGTCTTCCTTTGATGTAGACAACCAGCTCTCTTGAGTTCCAAGTACACCTTAACTGCTATCCCCGTGTGAGCGGGGTTAAAACAAGAAACACTGCCTACTCAAAAAGCATGTCCGTAAGAGTCGACTAATTGGGAGCTTCCCGAAGTCAGAGTACATCTGCCTAAGAGGGGGGGGCAGTCTGCACACAAATGAGTCAGATCTGTAAAACGGATGCTCACCCAACACTCAGGTTTTGGAACAGGGCTGCAGTCCAGAAGTGGATGAACAACCAGAACTTTCTGCCAGAGTTTACAGCTGGTGACCGCGAAGAGTGTTACCTCAACTGAAACATCATGTACTGTTGTAGAGTCTCTCCAATGTTGTCTTTCCATCCTGTTCTTGATCTACGTTATGCCCTACGTCCCTCTCCTCTTGTTGTGTTTGCCCTGCGTGGTATGATGTCACATATAAGTGGGCAGAACCTCTTTTATTTGCTGTCTTTATACTTAATTTAGTATTGGTTCTGTGTCAGCTTTTCTCTTATGACTTAATTCCTGATTTTACTCGTTACTTCTGAAGCCTTTCTCAGACATTTCATTTCCAAGTGACATTTAATGCTTCACAAATATTTTTTCCATATTTAAGTTCATTTAGAAAATGTGAAAAAGCACTGTCGCTCATACTAGTCGGCAAGGCACTTGGATGATGATAGCTCCTAAAAAATTAACAGTACAACTGTAGAAACTGTGAAACACATTAATCCTGTAGTAATAATGCACAATCTGGACATGTTCAGAGTGGCATGCCATCACAGTAAAATAGCTGCAAGACTTGATAAGATTTGTGATTGTGTCCCATTTCACTGGAGTTAAGTCAAAAATTGACATCACAGCACTCGATGCATTCGTATGTGTGCTCCGTCCTCATCTTCAGCAGCCAGGGCAGAGTTTCAATACTGATGGTACCGGTCAGAATCTGGTTCTAAGTCCATCTCGCCTTTCCTCTGAGTGTAGTGAGTTGGCTAGAACCTCTGGTTACACCCAGGTGCCTCAATCTCTCCAGGTCATAATAATCTTGCTTCTTTCTCTTCTGATTCTGTTGCTTGTTCCCACAGGGCCTTAACCACATCTGCATTGTCATATATCGATTCACCACCCAGTGGTGCAGATCCAGCCAACCTGTCTGCCTGTCCATTACCCACTACGCCCGCATAGCCTGGAGAAAAGATCTAAAGTATGCTCACTACCCGTGACCTTCCCAGTGAAACTCGCCACTATGCTCAAAGCATCCGTCTTCACCTTTCTTAGCATGCTTTCAGAGCCTGTTACAATTACGACATGTGTATGCATCTTGTTCTCTAGCCACCAAAGACCTGCAGATACCGACTCCACCTCCATTCTCATGCTAGATGTGATGTCGTATGCTAGGCTGTTTGTCTTGCACTAAAGTTTTTCCATTGGCTTTCGCTATGAACCCCCAGGCACTTCTCTTTCTCTCTCAACACCCAACCATCTATATTGATAATCAGATCACTTGGGCCTATTTCACTGGAATGCATATGAAGCAGAACATATTGTTTATTTCAGGATAATTTTTAATGCACATCACGTATACCCCCTAAGTGCTCTGATTTTCCCCCAAGCATGTTTCTAACTGTGTTTACACTGATGATTCCCATTCTGTATTGGCCGATACAGCTACTGGATGTTCTTGCATGGTTTTCATGTTACACTGCACGTCCCCGTGTGGAGTCAAGCATGTGGTGTAAAAGGCAATAATTAGAGGTGTTTCCTTCGAAGTCAGAATGCATCTGTCTGAGGCGAGAAACCAACAGTCTGCATACAAATAAGCCAGATCTGTGAAATGGATGTGCATGCAAAACTGAAGTTCTGGAACAATACTATAGTCCAGAAGTGGATAAACAGCCAGAACTTTTTGCCGAAGTTTACAGCTTGTGAACGCTATGGAAGGCAAATGCTAAGGTAGGAAAACACTAATGGATATACCCACAATTCACATTCAAGTCTGGGAGAAATGAGAATTCTTATCTTAGCAAAACATAAAAACTGCCAACTACTGCCTGTATTGACCAGGTTTGTGTGTGGGGAGAGGGAGGGGAAGGGGGGCTAAGGATTTAGGGCAATATGGCTAGTGCTGTCACCATGGACAGCAGGTTATGATTTTGTTTTTGCCCCTGACTGAAAAAATCTACAACTGTGGCAAAATTAAAAAGCAGCAAAAAATATCCCTAATGATTTTAAATAAAATTAATTTCATAAAACCTGTCCAGGTAGAAACAATGCAACGTCCAGCAGTGGAACTACTGGCAAGCTTGGGCTGTCAAGGTGTAGTTAAATAGGCAACATGTATTTACTGAACACAACACTGGGCTGCCTGATCTGCAGAAGACAGCACAAAGAAAATACATGAGCCGTTTATTGGAGAATCTGTGGGTGTCAATGATATACAATTTACTGCTTCATTTGTCTTAACAGTCTGCTTCTTCATTTCCTTCTTTACTGCTTAAGTGTTGAGGGAGATATAAGGTCCTGTTTTTAGGCTCACTGTACTATTGCAGAGTTTCTCTGATGCTGTCTTTCCATTATGTTCTTGGTACCTCTTGATCTATGTCCCTGTCTTGTTTTGGTGTAAGCTTTGTATGGTATGGTATTGCAAGCTGTCAGTGACAACAAAATCGTCATGCCTTGTTATATGCAGTAGGCAACCACATCTTTCCATATCTTGTGATTTCCAAATGAATGTATCAATTTGTGCCAGGACAAAAGGGTTTCAAAATCTGTTCAGACTGGCCCCCTTTGTATCTCATCCCATTTAAATTCTCCAGTAAAAACAACATGAGCCAGTTTTTCTCTTCTCATTATAACTGCCTCTTTCGGGTGTTTGTGATAAGTTGTCTTTGTATCTTTGCTTCTTTTAAATATATTTAGACTGTGTAGTCCAAACCATCATTAGCACCCTAAAGGCTTTGTCTTGAGTGAGAACTGTACAGGCCAGATTGCTTTAGTTAGCAGTATACTGTGTTGGAGCACATGCTCGACTTTTTCAGGTGCGAAAATGCAGGGGCACATCATTTTGCTTCCTACGCCCAAAACATCTAATTGGGTAAATTCTGTTGTGCCCTTCATACTTATTGAAAGGCTGTTGCTTAAATGGAAGCTATGTTTGTGTAGTGGCTAGACACTCACCTTCTGACCCTGGTGGTCTAAAGTTCAAATTCGCATCCAGATGGATTTATTTTCAAATTAACCTTGGCTCCAAGGTCGATCCAGCCTTAAATGGGTACCAGAAAATGTCTGGAGAGTAAAAGGCAGCCGGCAGGATGTTGACCACATCACCCACTGATTGGTCCATAAAAATGTAAATATAACACTATATGCCAGTTTTCCTGTGCAGTTTTTGGGGTTGTTGGGAAAACAAGAATAGACAAGCATGTGGTTACCATCAACTAATAAGGGGCTCCCTTTGAAGTCAGAGTGCATCTGCCTGAGAGGCAAGGAACCAACAATCTGCATATACATAAGTCAGATCTGTAAAACGGAAGTGCAAGCAAAAATCAGGTTATGGAACAAGACTCAAGTCCAGAGGTGGACGATAGAACCTGAACTTTCCAATATAGTTTACAGTCGGTGAACACAAAGAAGAAGAAGAATATGCAGGTTGCACAAAAGACCTAAAAAGAGTAATTTCCTTTATCAAACAGTTTAAGCTGTGTTTTTTTAATCTCTTTTTTTTTTTTTAAATTATCTCTGACATTCACAAGGAAAGTACCATAATTATTAAAGAGCAGTAGATTAAAGTGATTTCTAGTTTTTTTGGTTAAATTCTCTTTCTCTCACCTAGACACTAAATTATCCTCTCCCCCATCCCCTCCCCCCCCCCCCCCCTTTTTTTTTCGTCCCTCCCAAATGCTTAGAAAAATAGAAAAAAGAAGACCCTTAGAAACCATAATTAGATAACTTTTCCAGTTACATCCTTCCATCTTTAAAAAAAAAACACCTCAAAAATACACTTTCATTTAGACCCTATAAATGCAGAATATCATCTATTCAAGAACAAATCATGTTCTCAATTAAATAATACAAACAAAACACACACATAAAATAAAAACCTGTCCGTAACCACAATAAAACAAGTGAAAACTAAAGCGTGCCAGTATTTCAAAATATAACAAAAAGCAACCTCATGACACATACAACAATTAAAGATGTGCCCAGAAGATACACAACACATTCAAAAGACATAGAGAACATAGTTACACAGTATCTAGCATCATCTGTAGTTTTCTGTCATTATGGAGTACAGAATGTTGAATGCTGAATTAAGAATCGACAGCACTCAGGACACTCCCATAAGAGCTCCATCCACATCTTCAGCAGCAAACAAAGAGTTACAATTCCGATGACATTAGTAACTGTCTGACTGTATATCCGTCTCGCTTTTCCAATGAATGCCGAGCATCGGCCAGATTCCTTGGTAATTCCTCGCACCGTAATGATCTATTTGCGCTTCCACACTGTTCACTCGCTCCAAGAGGGCTCTTACAACATTTAGCTTATCATACATCAGTTCACTACCAAGTGGTGCAGAACCGGCCAGTCTATCTGCATGCTCATTTTCCAACACACCAGCATCACCTGGAGAGAATATCCAAAGGATGTCAACTACCAGGGATCTTTGACGTGAAGCTTGCCACTCTGCACGGAGCATGCCTGTCTTCACCTTTCTCAACTTGCTCTGTGAGTCAGTTACAATCACGGTATGTGTGTACATCTGATTCTTAAGCGAGCAGAATGCAGATGTGACTGCCTCCATCTTATTTTCTTTTTACTTCAACACATTTACACTAACAAACACTCAAAATTACTGAAGGTCACCAGAAACTGCACAAACCAACAGTCAAAAATAATAACAAACTAGCAATAATAAATAAGTCAAGAAATTTAAAATAAAAACAAAAGACAAACTGTGAGGTGAACAAAAATTAGTAACAGTATTTAACTTTCCATACATTGACCTTTATGATCAAAGTAGCAATTGAGTTTGTTTCTTGGTCACATTACTATTTTTGTTCACCCAAAAAATGTACAAGTGTACCATGTTTTACTGCTGTTCTCCTCAGAAAAGAATCTAGAAAAATATCAGACATAAGGTAGCAATTCACCATCCAAGATTACTGAGCCATATTTATGCTGTGCAAAATTATCACTCAATAAGAAAGAGACAAACACTGTTCTTTGGCCACATAATGGAGAACATCGTGACAACTGGAAAGATCAGTAGAAAACGGGGTAGAGGCAGACCAAGAGAGACGATGCTGGATGGGCTAAAACGATGGCATGGAGGGATATCATCAAGAGAGCTGTTCCAGTCAACCAGGGATCGTGAACTGTGGAGACGCATGAGCGCCTATACCAGTTGGCAGGGCACATGATGATGAGGATAAAAATTAATACTATGATGCAGAAATATAAAGACAAGAAGCTTAAAACTCAAAATAGTAAGCAGAATCACTTACTGAACCCTCTAGTTTTTCAACTGTTAAAGCATACCAGCAAATGGCAAAAATAATAAACGAATTAAATGGTTTGCAAAACACATTAGGTAGTAAAGTGTCATTTGAAAAAAGCCAACTAACTTGAAACTGGGGGGAAAAATGGTTACAAGAAAAATAAATGCAAAGTGTTACAAGCACTAAATAAGGCACCTAAGGGACAACAATAGAAATAAGTAAACACAGTAACTATGGCAACAAATACTAAATGATTTTATGATTTGAAAGAAAACAAATTAGCCAGTCATGATCAGGTATACATATTACAGATGAAATACTCAACTTGTAACAGCTTTTACCAACAGATAATGGATAAGAAACTATTTAAGATGGTAAAACAATACATCTGATCATGTACTGTAGATCAAAACCAAAAAAGAATCTTTGACTCAGGCTCGTTAATATACATATGATACATTACACAATGTATTTTATTTTAGATTTCTTTGTTCAACCACAAATATTATTGTTGTGCACCCACTCAATTGTTTTTTTCAACAAAACTCGCACATAAAAAAAAAAAAAAACCTATAATCCAGATAGGTTTTACTGGTTATCTTTTTAAAACAAAAACTGCTATTACTACTTAGTGGCAAGAGGTAAACCTTTAGTTTACCTTTTATCTTAAGTGAAAATGACAAAATTAAGACAAAGAGATATATACTACAGCGACGTTCATGACAGAGATAACACTGTAGATATAGATAATCTATCTCAGGTGAATGAAAGAAGATACATACTGTGATGGTTTGGTCATAGCACACCAAGAGATAAAACCACAAAACTTGTTGAAGAATCAAGTGCTCTATGATCACATGATACCACAAACAATAATTAATCATGATCACTGGCATGGAACATGATGATGTGTGTTCTCTGATATTTACTTTTTTTTTTTATCTTGTCTTCAGTGACTGAATAACTAATGCACTTCTCTGGAGCCTAGCATATGATACCACAACATCCAGCTTAAGAATGGAGGTGGAGGCGACCACTACAGCTTTCCGCTGACTAGAGAACACGACACACACACACTTTGTAAGTGTAACTGATTCAGAAAGCATGCTGAGGAAGATCAGAACAGGTATGCTTCGTGCAGAGTGGCATGCTTCGCTGCGTAGGACACGAGTGAGGAGTATTTTCTGAATTTTTTCACTGGGTGACGCTGGTGTGTTAGGAAATGAACAAGCGGACAGACTGGCTGGCTCTGCACAACTTAGTGGAATACTGCTTCATGATAGGGCAGACGTGGTTAGTGCCTTGTGGGAGAGCGTGTACAGTTCGGAGGAGCAGATCGATCACCACAGTCTGGTGAGATTGATACAGTTGGGGGTGACGAGAGGTTCTGGCAGAAGCTCAAGGCTCAGAGGAAAGGCAAGACGGACGTTTAATCAGAAAGCTACTGGCACCATTAGTATCGGAACTCTTTGCTGGCTGCTGAAGATGGGGATGGAGCGTTTATGGGAATGCCCCGAGTGCTGTGATGTCGGTTCTTGAATCAAATCAAATCAAATCTGGAGCCACTGTGGTACATGGCTAGACATTCGTCTGCAGATCTGAAGGTTGTGGGTTCAGGTCCTGATGGAGTCGTAATTTTTCTGTTAAAAACGACCTTGGCTCCCAGGTAGACCCAGCCTCAAATAGGCACTAGGTAAAGTTCTGGGAAGTAAAGGCGGTCAGCGTGATATAGACCACATTACCCACCGAGTGTCAAATATTTGATAAAATGTCGGTCTAGCCCTTGATGCCCAATACACCTAAAGGTGTGGAAAAGGGTCCTTCACTAATGCTTTCTCTGTTTGCAAAAACACTTTGTGGTTTTACTTTTTAAGCAACCGAAACCCAAGAATATGTTCATAGAAAAATGCAAAAAGTTTGACTAAAAATGAGAAACAAAATATCAATAAGTTGTGCTGTTGTTTACAAGTAACTTGGTCCAACTCACCAAGGACACTGTTGACGTCCTCTTCTTCGGCCACAGAGGTATCCTTGGTGTTCAGGTTCTGGATGTCAAGATAGGCTTTGATATTTTCTGCCTTTTCCATCCATTTGGAGGCCTAAAGACAGAAGGGAAAAAAAAAGAGTCTGATGCATTAGATGAGGTAGTGAGGCCGCTGGCATGCTTGTCTGCCAGTCTATTAGCGGAGAGCTCATGTTTTAAAACCCTTTTGAAATAGGAACTTTGTTTTAAGAAAACCTGACAACTCTCTTAGCTAATACTGCAGCAATTCCTAGTATATTCGCTTTCATTCTTGGCTGGAACAAAGAAAGCATACAAACCCTAAAGCAACCCTTCAAGTTTAAACCCCATTATGTAAGTAAAAGCTTAATTACCCAGTCAATCTTCCTAGCAGCAATACAAGTACTTGGCAAATAAGTACAGTTTCACCACCTCAGAAGTCTTTATCACAATATAAATTAGTATCAGCATCACAATGGAACCTGGGAAGGCATCTAAATCTGAGAGGCAATACTCAAGGAAAAGGCAGGAAGGATATACAGTCAGACAGTTACTGGTGCCATCGGAATTGGAACTCTTTGCTTGCTGCTGAAGATTGGGGTAGAGCGCTTACGGGAGTGTCTAGAGTGCTATGATGCTGATTCTTAATTTAACATTCTACATTTATATGTGTCTGCTTACTTTCTAAATGTTAATGTTCTCTTGTAATTTTGGAAGTATTTTTCTCAACTCTGTTAATAGTGAAAGAAAGACACTCTTGACAGGAAAGATAACTTCAGAGAAACTCTACAACATCAGAATGTGTCTATGGTCGAGGCCAGAAAAGCAAGGAGCAGAATCCTATACCTCCCTTGCTACCCAAAGCAGGAAATGAGGAAGTGAAGCAGAACTAGAAGAAGTAGAAGACATACAAAACACAAAAACTATCTTACCTGAGAACTCAAAAGATCTTTTCTTTTGCCTTTTGGCTCAGCTGTTGAAAAAATAAAAACGGTGAATATTTGTTCAAAAGGTGAAAACATTCTGGATATGCACACATATACAGAAGTAGAGGTTAGCCTATAGAAGACATTGTTGTATGCATGTAAGATATAAGAAGGCATTAAATATTGAAAGTGGTACCACTGACACAGTCTTCTTTCTGACATTCTCTTTTCTGTCTCTCTCTCTCTTTGTATGTGTGTGGAATGTGCGTGTCTGTGTGGATATGTAGCTTTGTATGTGGGTGAATGGGGTGTGTTTATGTGTATGTGAAGGTACGTGGGTGTGTTAAGTGAGTGTGTGTCTGTGTGGGTATGTAGCTTTGTATGGGATGAATGGGGTATGTTTATGTGTGTGTGAAGGTATGTGGGTGTGTGAGTGTATGGGTGTGTGTGTGTGCGTGTGCATGCATTTTACCACCCATTCTTTTGTGTGTTTTTTTCTTCTCTTTTTTGATATTCATAGTATGCATATTATCATAGAAATATTACATGCTTTTTGATAAAATACATCTGCAGTGTGAAAGACGGGTGTTTGGAAGGGCCGAATGTAAGACGGGCCTGCGTGCCCAATTTGTAACCCTTTAAAAATAAAGTTCGTTCGATCGTTCTCTCTCTCTCTCGAAACATCCATCTGTCTCTCTGTACTTACCTTAAATCTAAGATAAACACCCATCCATCAATCTATTCATCCATTTATCCACATACTGGGAGGGAGACAAGTAATTATCACAAACTTACCAGGTAAAAGTTTTAACAGAGCACCTAGTGCAACTTCATAATGGTGCAAACTGTGCTCAAAGTCCTCCTTCTGCTCCTGTGAAATGGAGTAACAGAGTCAGTGTCAACTTGTGACCATCTGCACCAGCTGAAAACACTTTCTACAACCTGCACGTACTTTGACAAGTCCTACTGGTGAAACTTATAGCTCGTCAGAAGGTTTCCAGTTGCTTATTGTATGTGTATAAGAGTGTTTGCATTTAGGAGTATGTATGAGCATGTGTGTTTGTCTGAGTGTATGCATGTGTCTGGGAGCCACTGTGGTGTAGTGGACAGATGCATGCTTGCCTGTGCATCCAAAGGTCATGGGTTAAAATCCGAATGGTGCAGGACTTTTTAAAAAAAATGACCTTGGCATCCAGGTTGACCCAGCCTTAAATGGGTACTAGGTAAAGTCCTGGGAAGATGGCCAGTGTGAGGTTGACCACATCACCCACAAAGTGCCGACTTGTCTAAAAATAATAGGACTTGCCCTATAGAACCAATATACCTAAAGGTGTATATACTTATTTTGTGTATATACTTACTTAGTCGCTCCTCTGCTACCTTGGGGTGTAGAGGTTTGCCAGAGAGATCGCCAGACTTCTCTATCAGTAGTTTTCTTTCTATCTTTGTTCCATTCCAGTCCTCTGTCAGTTGGGGACTGTCGGATATTGTCTTCCCAGCGGATCCTGGGTCACCCTGGAGGTCTGGTTCCCTGGTTCTTAGCTTCCCATGTCTGTCATGGTGGCCAATTTTCTTCCATTATTTAGTGTATATACAAGGTATATACTTTTATATATGTATATAGATACATATGAAGGTGCATGAATGAGTGTATATGTAGAAGTGTGTATGAATGCATGTATATATGAATATATTGGTGACCAGGTGACAAACTCCGTGTGGTCCGGGCCCGGTTGTAGGCAGAAAAGCCACATTTCTCCCAGATTTACAGTATTTATCATAGAATCAAGGCCGAAGGGTTGCGATATCCATAATACCAAGCCTAGGGGTTAACAACTCATGGCTTCTGGATACTAAAACAAACAAACAAAGGAGTGTATACATTTGCCTACCATGCTTTTGTGTTCTAACCTAATACAAACTGTATGTATGTTGTTACATGGAAATAGCATGTTTTGTGGATAAAAAATACAATTAGTGACCCTTTGAAAATAAACGTTGTCTGTTTTTTAGTTCACTAAATAATAAGTAGAACTTGTCAGCATTTCGTAATCTGCATAACTTGTGAACATTTTCAATAATCCCAACAATTTATGAACACTTTAAATAATTTGCATAACCTGTGAACATTTTCTTCAACTCTTTCAGCCTCAGAAGATTTCCAAAAAGATGCACAAATGGAATAATAACCACAACAAAACAAAATCAGTATATGTGTATAGCCAGGTTTTCTTAGTATGCTCAAGTCGAATCTAAATATATAATTATGCACCTTCTGGTGTGTGATACACACAAACAATAGCCGATCACATATGTTATATTTCTTGAACAGAAGGGGTTAATCTGTAGAATTAAAGAACACTCTCTATAATCTGTACAACTTGTGAACACTTTTTAAAACATATCAAAGATGCTAATTACCTCAATTATTGCTGCATTGATCAGCTTCAAGACTGCAAGTAGTTCTTGTGAGTCTGCACACAAGGCCGCTAGAAAACAAAATACGTAACACAAAATGATTTTGTGTACTGATGAAGTAAGTTTAAAAAAAATATTAGTTGCATACCATAGAGGCAACTATTATTAAATGTAACCATAAAGTTATTAAAATACTAGTCTCAACACTTGAGTTGAGTTGAGTCAAGAATTTACATCGTAGCACCCGGGGTCTCCTATGTGTACTCTATCCTCATCTTCAGCAGCCAGCGCAGGGTTCCAGTACTAATGGTATCAGTCGCAATCTGGTTATATGTCTGTCTTGCCTTTCCTCTGAGTGTAGTGACCGAACCCTCTGGTTACATAAAGGTGCATCAACCACTCCAGGCCATAATAAACTTGTTTCTCTAATGACTTTGTTGCCTGTTCCCAAAGGGCCTTGACTATATCTGCATTGTCATGTATCAGTTCACCACCCAGTGGTGCAGATCCAGCCACTGCCATTTCATTCTTCAATACGCCAGAATAGAAAAAAAATCAAAATTATGCCCCTACCCGTGACCTTCCCAATGCTACTGCAGCTCTAAACAGGTTGATGAAGAAGCTTTTCTTTTTTATTCTCAGCCCTTGAAGTTCATCTGCCTCCTTTAATCTCTGTAAAAAGCTCTCTCTTTGCAAATCCTGACCACAAGAGTTTGTCGGTCTGCTGAAAATTATCTTTCCATCTTCTCTGTCTGCCTCATGGACTACTCTGGGTGAACTCCTTTGTGTACAGAGCGTTATTTCTCTGTTAGGTGCAATTCCTTGTATATCCCACAACCAATGCAGGCTCAAGAAGCTGCAAGAAACTCTCAATGACACTTCATCAACTCTACATGCAGGCTCTGATGCCTCATGTGGGGGCAAAAAGAACAGACACACTGCTGCTAAACTTCCTCGGTACCATACATTAATTACCTAACCCTAATAATCCAGATAGTTTAAATTTAAATCAGCCACTGTTTTGGTTTTAAGGAATTAAAATATAAAATAATAACACAGAGAAATAGATAAACTTAAAACTAACAATACAGATATAATAAGTTAATCTAGCAAATTTCTGCGACAAAAGTAAGAAAAACATACTCTTTTTGAAATCCCGTATTCGGAACTGATATCACAGCATTCAGGACATTCCCATAAGCACCCAGTTCCCATCTTCAGCAGCAAGTGCATAATTCCTATAATGATAGCACCAGTAACCGTCTGACTGTATATGTGTCTTGCCTTTCACTGAAGTGCTGAGTACTGGCCAGAAATGCTCATCACTCCTTGCAGCACTATTCTGCTCAAACAGTGATGATCTAACTGTGCCTCTGCAGTGTGCTGAGTGCTTGCCTGAAATCCTTACAGCACTATTCTCCTCAAACAGTGATGATCTAACCGTGCCTCTGCAGTGTGCTGAGTGATTGCCTGAAATACTTACAGCACTATTCTCCTCAAACAGTGATGATCTAACCGTGCCTTTGTACTGTTCAATAACTCAAAAAGGACCCTCACAAAATCTATCTTGTCATGCATCAATTCAGCACCAAGTGGTACTCTCTTTGAACTAACAAATAAATGTATAATCCATCATATGGTATGGAAAGAATTAACTAGCATGTTGTAAAAGCATACACCTATTGAGTCTGCCAAAATCTGATGTGTTGGGCAGAAAGGCATAGATATCGCAGTTTAGCTGTAAACTACAACACAGCTTTCTAACCAGAAATACTTACTTAGCTCTTCTAATGAATCACTTGACATGGACCTTGTGTAGGAGCAAGCATTGGGACTTCCATCAGAAGGATTAGATGTTTTAGGTTCTGAAGTTGAATTCTGAACTGGATCACTGTCTGCAACATTAGATGGAGATCTGCTGAGTTCTGTGTCACTTTTGGAAGTTGGAGAAGATTTAGGAGAGTTGCCATCAATTTGTGATGGTGTTCCAGTTTTGATGTCACCCAGTTTCTTCTTGGTGGGAGTGGAATGTAGCTGACTTCTCATGAGCTGTTTCAAGGTTTCTGCACGATCCATGTATTGTTTTACCTAAACACATTTTTTTTAAATTTCCAATTAAAAAGAAACAATAAGCAAAATAAACATGTCTAATAGACATACAAAAGTGCATTAAAAAAAACACCCATAAAAGGACAAATAACTAAATAAATATACCAATTTAGGCAAAGCATAATGAAAGATGGTCTGTATGAGACAGATATAAGAATTAAATCAGTCACGGTTGTCTAACAATAAAGAATCATATGAGACAGATATAAGAATTAAATCAGTCACGGTTGTCTAACAATAAAGAATTATATGAGACAGATATAAGAATTATATCAGTCACGGTTGTCTAACAATAAAGAATTATATGAGACAGATATAAGAATTATATCAGTCACGGTTGTCTTACAATAAAGAATCATATGAGACAAATATAAGAATTAAATCAGTCATGGTTGTCTAACAATAAAAAATCATATGAGACAGATATAAGAATTATATCAGTCACGGTTGTCTGACAATAAAAAATCATATGAGACAGATATAAGAATTATATCAGTCACGGTTGTCTAACAATAGAGAATCATAAGAGACAGATATAAGAATTATATCAGTCACAGTTGTCTAACAATAGAGAATCATATGAGACAGATAAAAGAATTATATTAGTCAAGGTTGTCTAACAATAAAGAATGCTAATACTCAAGTCTGATCTATAGAGTATAATCCTTTGTATCAGCGGTTCCCAACCTATGGGTCACAACCCTTTTTTGTTTCGAATGTCCCTTTCACAGGGATTGTCAAAGATCATCGCAAAACACATATTTATTGAAGTTATGAAGTAGCGATGAAAATAATTGTATGGTTGGGGATTGCCACAACATGAAGAACTGTATTAAAGGGTCACGGCATTAGGAAGTCTAAGATCCGCTGCTCAATATGTGCACCTTGCCAATCATATTATCAGATTTTAAAATAAAGAGAATGAATACAGATGAGGAAAACTGGTATATGAGAAGTGGTGTTATTTAAAAGTAACAAGAGCCACATGGATTAAATGATGACAAATGAACAAATTCTAGAAAATATTTCAGAACAAAGCCAACTTTAAAAATAACTGTAACAAAAGTTGAACAATCACTGGTTGGCTGCACTCAACAAAATGAGCTCAGGTCAATTATAAACAACTTATTGCTTCAGGAAGGTCTGAACACACGACCTCTGAATCTTTTGACAAGTAGGCTATCAATCAAACAATGAAAAAAATTAAATAGTATTTTAACCTACATTTATCACAATATGGGAGAATACTAAACGTCTTATACGAAAGAAAAGACAGTAATTAGACAATATAAATACCTTTGCTCGCAGAGCTTCCTTTTTTGAAGCACTCTTCTCATCTGAAATTAGAACCATATTTTAGAAATCTTTCTTCCTGTAAATTTTATTAACATTATTTTCTGATTAAGCCCAATATTCTTTGGTTTGAGAGTAAGCACACAAAATACATGTGATGTCAACAATGATCATGAGATGCAATGCTGGAAAGATGCCAACGGAAGTCACAGGACAAAGAATAACATTCGCTGACATTAGAAATTACAGTGTGTGTTTCAGGGCCCCACTTGGGATGAATACAATAAAAATAAAAATGGACCCACTGCTCTTTTAATAAACATGTCTTAAGGTGACTAATTAGAGGCTTGGTTCATCTGATGTGCTGGACTGAAAGGTGTAGATACAGCAGCTTAGCTGCAAACCACAACACAAAAGCGTGGATGAAGAAATAACTGAAAAGTATATATTATATTTAGGAACCGCCATGGTGTAACAGCCACAAGCTTGACTTGAGCCCGAAAGTTGTAGGTTCAAATCCATGCCTAGCTTGATATTTGTTCAAAAATGACTTTGGCTCTCAGACTAACACAGTTCCAAAATGGCTTCAAGGTAGTCTTAGGAAATAAAGACAGCCGGCATTATGTTGACCACATCCCCCACCGAGTGTTGATTGGACTATAAAATATAGGTCTTGGAAAACACTCCTTCACTTTATTTTTTACATCATATTTAAATAATGAGAAAGGATAGAAGCAAAATTTCATCATCTTTGGAATTGTAAACAAACTTCTTTGAGCAACTTACAATGGATGGCTGGCATGAAGTGTTCCAAAGCTTCACAATACAACCTCACTGCAGCTTTGTAGTCTCCACTTTCATCCTTCTTGACTGCCTCCGCACTTAACCTTACCTGAAACATTGAAGGAAACAATGATCTGACATTACTTCTTATTCTTTGATCCTTCTGTCAGAAAACAGATATCAGGAGGCCAGTAGCCTTTATGAAAGCTATCGGGTCATCCACATCTCCCTGTGTACCATACAGCTCTGTCTTCATTAAGGTTTCAATAGGCCAAATTGGATTATGGAAACTAGACTCACAGGTAAAGTGAGTAAAATAAAAGTCAAGAGAATCAACTTCAATGCACCTGATTTTATCCCATATGGCTAAGTCTTCTTCTGCAGAAAGGCAAGCTAAGTGATGAGCACTGCATAAAGTACGAATTCATAGCTCCAACAATGATTCCAAGAGATTTCTGTAAAAACTGAACCTGCGAATTGAAACACTCATCTGCGAACCCATGACCTTGAGACAGCAAGTTCACCAGAGAGACCCCCAAAACAGACCGAAAGGTAGATTAGCTGGTGATGATACCACTATAGACATATTTCCATGGCGTGTGTGCGTGGCATCCTGATTGCTGTGGTGTGCCTCCTGGCTGGTTGCCTCCGACTTCAGCACCTTGTTTTGCTAGGGTAGACTGTGATCATACTCGAGGAGAGTAGGTTCATCCTTTCGTCTTTCGCCTTTACCTCGTTTGTTGTTCCATCCAGTTTCCCGCTGGGGGTTGAGACCCCAACCTTCAACTGGATTGCTGGGAAGAACAGAGTCCACCACGTGAAGGTGAGGTAGGCTTGAGCAAGAGAGGCTAATAGACATTAAGAGTCTTGTATTGCGCATCATTGCTCCATTAGGACATATGGACCACTGAATGAACTAACAACGACAGTGAAATTTATACAAGAGACAACTCTGCTGATATAGACAACTTATTTCAGGTGAACGAAAGAAGAAGAAGAAGAAGAAGAAGATACCACTATAAAGCAGAGAGGAAAGCAAGTCTATCCTCTTCCTTATTCACCCTTAAAAGGGCACACGACATGTTGTACTTGGTTTATAGCTAGGATGCCATTTGGCCCATCACATCAGATTTCAGCAAACCCCTAGCTGGTCACCTTTCAATACAGGCAATGTTGGGAGGCAGTGGGTCTATTCTTGTTATCCCATAATAGGGCCCTGGAACCAACAACGGGAGCGTCTATCTCAGTCAGAACAGTTGACATAATAGGTCAATTTAAGATAGATGCGGTGAAGAAACTATCAATTTGAGACAGATGAGTCTATCAGTTTAAAACAGATGAGTTGAATCTATCAATATAAGACAGATGAAATGATGAGTCCATCAATATAAGACAGATGAGATGAGTCTAGCAATAAGACGGATAAGACAATGGATCTAATAATGAAAGACAGATGAGATGATGGATTTATCAATATAAAACAGATAAAATGATGTCCATCAATGAAAGACGTAAAATAATGAACCTACTAACAAAAGACAGGTGAAATGATGAGCCTATCAACATAAGACAGATGAAATGATGAGCCTATCAACATAAGACAGATAAAATGATGAGCCTATTAACATAAGACAGATGAAATGATGAACCTTTCAACATAAGATGAAATGATGAGACTATCAATAAGGGAGATGAGATAATGAATCTATCAATATAAGCAGATACAATTATGAGTCTATCAAGACAGATGAAATGATGAGTATATCAAGACAAGATAGATTAGGCGATGAGTGCATTTGGTTATCAGGTCTAAAATGAAACAATGAAGGTACTCACAGCATTGGGCAAAGAATCCTTAGAAGGAACGTGCTCCATGTCAATAAATGGATGTGCAAAGAATTCCTCGAATGTGATTCTGTCTGCTGGATTCCTCCGCAGCAACCGAAGAGTCAGATCTCGGGCTTTGTCAGATATATCAACTCCCTGAGGGATCTATTAGATTCAGAGTTGTAGAGTTTCTGTAAATTAGTTTTATACTGAGTAGCAATTAAAGCTATGTATACAACATTCTCCTTTTGTCATACTGGTTGTTGTGTTAAGTGTCACAGAGAGGAATCAGATGTAGTTTAGTCTTTTGCTAGCTGCTTAGTTTGTGTTAATGTCATCTGTGTTTCTGTAGTGTCCCTTTTACTCCCTCCACCCATCTCTTTCTTGGTCAGCCTCTTGCCTTGTACCCTGCTGTTCTCATGTGATACACTCTAGCTGCTGGCTGATTCTGTTGTATTCTGACTAGATAACCAAACCATTCGATTCTTTGATGTTATTTGAAATCAATACCGGTTGTGTGCCTACCACTGTTCTTAGTTCTTTGTTGGTGACTCTATCTCTACTTGTTGTTTCTGTCAAATTTCTTATATATTTCATCTCACATGTTGCATACAACGGTGAAACACATTAATTAAGAAACACAGCCAGACTTATAGCAGTAGACAAAATAGTTTCAGCTTAAAAACTGGGTTATAATTGTCCAGTCGCAGCAGTCATAATATTTTTCCTCTTGTTATTTCTTAATCAGAACTGTGACTATCTTTGATTGTCAAGAATTTTGCAAACTCTGCTTATTCAGATTTCAATAGTCTCACAGAATATTCTTCTTTCTTGCTGTTTACTACAGTTAACATAAGACAATGGACTACAACATGGTATCAGTGAGATGACAGACAAAGAAAAACAGAAGATTTAAGAATGTTTTTTTAAAAAAATATCTAATCTTAAAGTTAATTTTGTCACGTCAAGAAAGCTGTTTTTCTGGCATTTACGAGTTTTTACTGATATAACGATTCGGCACCACAGCATTCAGTACAAGCCCTCCTCAACAGCCATTGAAGAGTCTCCATTCTGATGTCATCTGGTTAAATACTCATCTTGCCTTTCTACTGAGTCTCGAGTGGTGCAGAGAGCCCACAGAAACTCCTCACGCATCATTCTCATGAAGTCAACAAAATCATGTTAATTATGGTCAAAGGGAAGGAAAGCAGTTAATTCGTACTCCATTTGTATTTAGTTCGTTCGTAGGTTCGCGTTCACCAGATGTACACTCTGGCGTAAAGTTCTGGTTGTTCGTCCACTTCTGGACTGCAGTACTGCTCCAGAACCTGAGTGTTGCGTGTGCATCAGTTTTACAGATCTGATTCAATTGAATGTAGACTGCTGGTTCCTTGCCTCTCAGGCAGATGCACTCCGACTCTGAAGGAAGCTCCCAGTTAGTCGACTCTTACGACATGCTTTTGGGGAGGCAGTGGGTCTATTCTTGTTTTCCCCACAATAGGGCCCCGAAACCCACCAGAACCCACACGGGGGGTTTGTATTTAGTGAATTTTTTCCTTTTATGTTAAAAAATATACATTAATTTTCTGGTATTTGTGAATTGATTAAAAAAAATCATTTTAGAACTTGAAGGTTGCGGTGAAGCAGTGACCTTCATGTTTTCCTGTCTGCTTGGTGGTGTAAAGGTTCCAGCCCCTGGACTTTTACAAAAGCTGACTAAAACTCCTTATTTTTTCTGTTCTTTTTCTCTTGCCCTAGTTTCTTAGTGAAAGTTTAAGAGAATTATAAGGACGATATATTTTTTTTCACTAATGGTCAAGTCTTAAGATGTTTTTACAACTAAAAGGGTTAAAATTGAAAATGTGGAATGTTGAATTAAGAATAAACATCACAGCACTCTGGACACTTCCATAAGCACTCCATCTTCAGCAGCTAGTGAAGAGTTCCAGTTCCAGTTCGATGGTACCAGTTAGATCATATATTCATTTTGCCTTTTCCTTGAGTGTTGAGCGTCAGCCATTCTTCTCAAATTCTTATGATCTATCTGTGCCTCCACACTGTTCACTTGCTTCCAAAGGGCCCTTAAAGCATCTAGCTTGTCATACATCAATTCACCAAATGGTGCAGAACCAGCCAGTCTATTTGCCTGTTAATTTCTCAATACACCGGCCTAACCTGGAGCAAATATACAAAGGATGCTAACGACCTGGGACCTCTGAAGTGATGTTTGCCACTCTGCACGGAGTATGCCTGTCTTCACCTCTCTCAACATGCTCTCTGAGTCAGGACAATCACGGCATGTATGTACAGCTGATTCTCAAGCCAGCGGAAGGCAGCAGTGGCTGTCTTCACCTCCACCTCTAATATTTAACGTGATATCAAATGTCAGGCTTTGTTGCACTAAGCGACATCCATTCGCTTTTGCTATGAACCCCTAAGCACTTCCACTCCCCATCAACACAGAGCCATCTGTATAGATAATCACATTACCCGGGCAGGAATTGTCATAAATAACTCGTTGAACATCTGATTCTGCAGCACCAGGCGGCCGGTGTCTGCACTCACAACCTAAAGTGATAAGACCCCTACACAAGTCTCAAACTTGCTCGTACACTTTGACCCACTTGTCTCCTCGCCCTAATTTATCAAGCCTGCTCACATGTGCTTGATAACATTTAAAATTGAGAGGACTGGCTTCAATGCATCGAGTTACTTCATATAGCTCTATCTCTCTCTGCAGAATGGCTAACCCTAGCGGATGTGTCCATGAAACAGACCCACAACCTTCAGAATTCAAAGCAAACGGCTTGAATACTTCAAAACAGAGACCCCCAATTTTAAGAACTTCCTTTACTGTTTAATAAAATGCAATGCTTACTTGGTTTATTTTACTTTTTATTTCTATGGTAACTATTCTTATCAACATACCTAGATGTTTTAATGTGTCACCCCTAACAACCCCAATAAAAAAAATCAGATCTATGATTTCCATGTACACTGTATGCTGTTTTGATCCTTTGAATCTGACCCAATTGAAGTCATAGCATTATAATTTTAACCCCCACAGACCTTTATTTTTCTAAAGGCCTTCCAGTCATCATCACCATGGGCTGGGTCAATAAGTGCAGGAAATATTGTGTGTATTATCTAAAACTATGACTAGAGTATTAGATACAGTCTATGCCCTTTACACAGAAAGAGTTAAAGGGAAAAACTGCCTGGAACAGAAAGATACAAGAATTTAAAATCTCAGTATATTTTACCTCTACAGGTTTCTGGTCCCAGATTTTTTCCCCAAGCTCTTTAAAACTCCTGGATGCAAATGGTGGCCTTCCGAACAGACATTCTGAAGTACAAGGACACATTATTTGATAATTTTTTTAAATTATGGCGACACTCATATCATCCTCCAAGCAGGAGGTCTTTCACATAATGTCACTCTATTGCCCTCACAGTGCGCCTGAAAAACCTTGGTCTCCCAGAAGCTCTTCCGCCTCATCCCCTTTCCTGCCCAAGGTGTCTCTTATATCCTGTGCCTATCCTCATACCCTGCCCTTCGCTACAGTTCTCTCCAATCTACTATGACATTTTAAACGGCAAAGCATTTCAGTTTCCAAGACAACAGGCTGTTTACAAGACAATTTCCTTGATTTTCAGACCTTTTATCAGGTCAATATTTCTTTTCTTCTTGCTCCATGGTATTCTAAGAATCTCCCTATAGCATTTCAGCTCAAAATCCCCTATCTTCTTCCTTAACGACTGCAAGAAGTCCACGACTCACATCTGTATGTTGCTATAGGAAAGTTGAGTACTCTCTCAATCTTGACCTTAATTTGCTTGCTGGTGCTAGCCACAGATTTTTAAAGCCTTTAAATTAGGATTATCTTTACCTTTTTTGGGGGGCGTGTAAATTGATCATTTTCCAGTACAACAAATTATACTTTTAGTCTTCATCTTCTTAGCCTTCACTGTCTGTAAACTCTGGTGGAAAGTTTTGTTGTTCATCCACTTCTGAACTTTGGTCTTGTTTTATAACTTGAGTTTTGCATGCACATCAGTTTTACAGATCTGGTTTATCTGTATGCAGACTGTTAGTTCCTCACTTTTTAGGCAGACATATTCTGACTCTGAAGGAAACACTCATAATTAGCCGCCTTTTACGAAAAGCCTGCTCAGAAAGCCATGGGTCAATTCTTTTTTCCCTCCAAACAGTCGAGCCCCAGAACACTATCTTTATTATTATCTCCCAACAGCATGTATCAGTTTGTGTGCTGACAATCTTCTGTGCCATAACAAATAGCTGTGAGGAATCTTCTCATATTGTCTTTCTCCACCTCTCTTTGTATAAATCTTTCCAGTTGTCCCACCATATTAATGTTTCCTTCTTTTTATAACGTGGCCCAAAAACACAATGACTGTCTTTATAAATATAATATTGAATATAAAATTTGCACTTTAAAAATAAACATAATTTTGTGACAACTTACCATACAAAATAACACCTATTGACCACAAGTCTACCCTGTTGTCATACATGCCATTACATATAATTTCTGGTGCCATGTACAAAGGAGAACCTCTCATTACATGCAGGCGGTCACCTTCAAATAAATGCTTTGCAAAACCAAAATCTGAAACCGACAGTTGTTTAAAAAAAAAAAAAAAATTAACCTCAAGTATTAGTTTTTAATATTTAAGTTTAACTATTTAGGCACACAGATAACATCTGATGGAAGGTGTACAGCAAAGATAAAGTAGTGAAAAGGGCAGGCTAAAACTGTATTTTATAAAATGAAGAAGATCTCAGGCAATATATCTCTGTCTTGGAGGCTTAGAAAAAGACGTTTTGTGTGCTATATAGTCAGGTTTAATATGTGGTTGTGAATCCTGGATAAACAAGCCAATACAATTTCTTAGGCCTCAGAGATTTGGTTTTACAGAAGAATGCTTAGAATTTCATGGACAGGCAAAATGAGTGACCCAGATATTTCTAAAGAGACGAGGTCCTGAAGACAACTTGTCACAAACATCAGAATGAGAAAGCCCTAATGTTCTGCCATATTATAAGATGAGGGGCATGTTGTGACCACTGGGAAGATTTGTGGAAAGAGAGACAGAGGAAGACAATGAGAGAGGATTCTTGACAGTCTTTTTTCTTGACACGGAGCGTGTGTCAACCCTGAGCTGATAATGCTGTTTGAGATTGCAGATTGTGGAGAGGCAGATAGTCCATGCAAGCTGGCAAGGGACTTGATTTTGATGATGATTTAACACTGTAAAGTTTGAGAAAAAAACTAAACAAGCCTCTGCCAAAGACATATAAGTTATCTTTTTGAAATCTTTGTTATTATACAGATCAAATGAAAGCTTCTATAATTCTACAACAAATTAGTTCACATGTTATGAATTCAGCAACTACTATAAAATCTGACGTGGCTAATCTCTATGTTGGATGATCTGCGCTGAACCCAAATTGTATATTTTATTTAAAGAAGCAATTAAAAAATAGACATCTATTTTACTGTGAGTTTAGGAGAAAACAATAAATAAGGGAGTTAAGCACTTTAGAATCATTAAGCCACAATAGTATTCCATAAATCTAGTTGCTAGTTTATAGTTCCAGGGCTTTATGTCCAGTTTAACTGAAGGCGTGGACACAGGTCCTTAACTTTTTTACTCGCTTCCTATGTGCTAGTTAAAGAAAAAGAGCCTCACATATAATGTTAGAACATCAAGCATGAGAATGGAGGTGGAGGTAGCAACAGCAGTTTTTCGACTGGTAGAGAGTAATACAGCCTGACATGTTGTAACTGTAATGGACTTTCAGAGCATGTGTTAGAAACTGGTGTCCTACACGAAGAGTGGCTGGCAACACTTGATAAAACTCAGATCAGGAGCAGTGGTTGTGGTGTAGACTGTCTAGGATCAAGTGGACAATGCAATGGAAAAGTCAGAGTATCCATACCTCGAGAGACTGATTCAGTGGGTAGTGAGCTGAGTGTCTCAGTGGTTTTCAACGCACAGAGGAAATTTCTCATAGATTTTGATTTGATTCAAGAACCGACATCACAGCACTTGGGGCATTCCCATAAGTGCTCCGTCCCCATCCTCAGCAGACAGTAAAGAATTCCGATACTAATGGTGCCAGTAGCATTCTGATTAAACGTCCGTCTTGCCTTTCCTCTGAGCCTCGAGCATCTGCCAGAACACCTCTCGTCACCCCCAACTGCATCAATCTCACCAGACTGTGGTGATCCATCTGCTCCTCCGAATTGTACACGCTCTCCCACAAGGCACTAACCATGTCTGCATTATAATGTATCAGTATTCCACAAAGTTGTGCAGAGCCAGCCTTTCTGTCCGCCTGTTCATTTCCCAACACACCGGCATCAACCAGTGAAAAAATCCAGACAATACTCCTCACTCGTGTCCTCCGCAGCGAAGCGAAGGAAATTTCTCATAAAGGTGGAAGTCATAAACTATCATCATCATGTAGCAATTTGCTGATCCAACCATAACTCGCTGGTAAAAATTTTGGACTCTTGCAAGTTACCATGCTTAATGTATTTTCATGCCGAAGATATTACCAATATCCTATACCCATCATTATACTAGACAACCTCTGCCTCTACTTCTAAGAACCATGCCTAGCAATACATATTGTTCTAAATCACTACAACATTTAATAATGTCAAAGCATTTCAGTTTCAGAGACATTATGTTTATAAGCCAGTTTTCTTTTATCTTCTGCAGTTTTATTTAGAAAAAAAAGTTAGTTGTTAATCCTTTAACAGGACATTGTAAAACCAGACACAGCAATTTGTGGCTGCTGTAGTTTTTTTTTTTTTTTTAAATTTTATTTTATGTTCAAATGTTTGCCATTGCTTTCCCCAGGCTTAAAGAATTTCAGTAATTTCTTTTTTTTCCACATTATTCAAAGAATGTCTCTGTACTTTAAAAATTGGAAAGGGTAAATATCTTTTTTTCTTTTAAATGATCAAGAGATGGTCCATTTCTCATATTTAAAAGTTGCCAAAGGAAAGATGCATGTTTTAAAAATGTATACCCAACCCTCAGTCTCCATAAAGTGTACCAGAACATATTCTGGCATAAGTGCTGTTACTTTAAATTGGAAAATGTTAGGGTCTAAAGGGGTTATATAATAACAAAATGTATCTATCAATATGACAGGATGAGTTCAAAAAACAGTTGGAATAGTGTTTTCTTGCACCAAGTGGATAAGGCACATGGGATTAATGCAAGTATGTCATGTATGGAGTAACCAAAAAATGCATGGTCAGTTCCTACGTAATAAATGAGTTAAATTCCCTTTTTTCAAATTATTTGCTGTCCTCACAATGAAGGTTGGCTGGAGTGCACCCACTGCTGTCTCTTGGAATTTTTTGTGTTGAGGACCCATTTCTTCTATGGTGCAAAATCTTTACTATCCAAAAAACAAGTTTCATAAAAAATAAAAAAAAAGGGAAAACTTATTTTTTCCCTGTCCCTCAGCTGTAAACTCCAGCAGAAAGTTCTGGCTGTTTTTTTACCACTTCTGGACTGTAGTTCTGTTCCAGAACCTGAGTATTGAGTGTACATCTGTTGTCCAGAACCTGAGTATTGAGTGTACATCTGTTGTCCAGAACCTGAGTATTGAGTGTACATCTGTTGTACAGATCTGACTCATTTGTATGTGAACTGTTGGTTCCTGGCCTTTCTGGCAGATGCACTAGAACTGTGAAGAAACTCTGAATTAGTCAACTCTTATAACATGCTTTTAGGCAGGCAGTGAGTCTATTCTTAGTTTCCTCATAACGGGGCACCGAAACCCACACAGCTAAAGGGAAAACATTTGCTTAGGATAAATTTAAAAAATACAATTTCTTTAATATTATTATTAGCTGCTTTGTCAAATGTACATACCAGCAAGTTTCAACTGTGGATTTGATGTCGATGTCAGTAGAATGTTTTGTGGCTTCAGATCCATATGTGCAACATTATGATCCCATAGAAATTTCATTGCTAAAGCTGATCATGAAAGAGAATGAATGAGATCATTGTTTGAAATATAAAACAGTACTTTTTACACATAAAAACCACTGCTGACTTGCTATTCAAGGCAATCTGCGAATTAAATGTCTCCAAAGTCTGTCAATTCTGGAAAATTAATAAACAAACCAAATAACTTATAGTTTCCTAGCTGTATTTTTACAGAAAAATTGCTTTAAATTCTTTGAACAGCCAGAGTGAGTACCCCTATGTCTTGAAAAGGTGAGGGCCCAAAGACAACTTATTACACACATCAGAAAGAGATGGTAATAATTTTTCAGCTGTGTTATGAGAAGAGGGAATCTGAAACAAGTAGTGACAACTGAAGTGATTTGTGGAAAAGGAGACAGAGAAAGACAATATGAGAATATTCTTGACAGCCTTTTGTCGTGGCATGGAGGGATGTCAGCACACAAACTGATAACTGCTGTTGGAGATCACAGGTTATGGAGTGGTATGGCATGGAGGGATGTCAGCATACAAACTGATAACTGTTGTTGGAGATCACAGGTTATGGAGTGGTATGGCATGGAGGGATGTCAGCACACAAACTGACAACTGTTGTTGGAGATCGCAGGTTATGGAGTGGTATGGCATGGAAGGATGTCAGCACACAAACTGATAACTGTTGTTGGAGATCGCAGGTTATAGAGTGGTATGGCATGGAAGGATGTCAGCACACAAACTGATAACTGCTGTTGGAGATCAGAGGTTATGGAGTAGTATGGCATGGAGGGATGTCAGCACACAAACTGATAACTGTTGTTGGAGATCGCAGGTTATGGAGTGGTATGGCATGGAGGGATGTCAGCACACAAACTGATAACTGTTGTTGGAAATCACAGGTTATGGAGTGGTATGGCATGGAGGGATGTCAGCACACAAACTGATAACTGTTGTTGGAGATCGCAGGTTATGGAGTGGTATGGCATGGAGGGATGTCAGCATACAAACTGATAACTGTTGTTGGAAATCACAGGTTATTGAGTGGTATGGCATGGAGGGATGTCAGCACACAAACTGATAACTGTTGTTGGAGATCGCAGGTTATGGAGTCGTATGGCATGGAGGGATGTCAGCATACAAACTGATAACTGTTGTTGGAGATCGCAGGTTATGGAGTGGTATGGCATGGAGGGATGTCAGCACACAAACTGATAACTGTTGTTGGAGATCGCAGGTTATGGAGTGGTATGGCATGGAAGGATGTCAGCACACAAACTGATAACTGTTGTTGGAGATCGCAGGTTATGGAGTGGTATGGCATGGAAGGATGTCAGCACACAAACTGATAACTGTTGTTGGAGATCGCAGGTTATGGAGTGGTACGGCATGGAGGGATGTCAGCATACAAACTGATAACTGTTGTTGGAGATCGCAGGTTATGGAGTGGTATGGCATGGAAGGATGTCAGCACACAAACTGATAACTGTTGTTGGAGATCGCAGGTTATGGAGTGGTATGGCATGGAAGGATGTCAGCACACAAACTGATAACTGTTGTTGGAGATTGCAGGTTATGGAGTGGTATGGCATGGAAGGATGTCAGCACACAAACTGATAACTGTTGTTGGAGATAGCAGGTTATGGAGTGGTATGGCATGGAGGGATGTCAGCACACAAACTGATAACTGTTGTTGGAGATCGCAGGTTATGGAGTGGTATGGCATGGAGGGATGTCAGCACACAAACTGATAACTGCTGTTGGAGATCACAGGTTATGGAGTGGTATGGTATGGAGGGATGTCAGCACACAAACTGATAACTGCTGTTGGAGATCGCAGGTTATGGAGTGGTATGGCATGGAAGGATGTCAGCACACAAACTGATAACTGCTGTTGGAGATCGCAGGTTATGGAGTGGTATGGCATGGAAGGATGTCAGCACACAAACTGATAACTGCTGTTGGAGATTGCAGGTTATGGAGTGGTATGGCATGGAAGGATGTCAGCACACAAACTGATAACTGCTGTTGGAGATCGCAGGTTATGGAGTGGTATGGCATGGAGGGATGTCAGCACACAAACTGATAACTGCTGTTGGAGATTGCAGGTTATGGAGTGGTATGGCATGGAAGGATGTCAGCACACAAACTGATAACTGCTGTTGGAGATCGCAGGTTATGGAGTGGTATGGCATGGAGGGATGTCAGCATACAAACTGATAACTGCTGTTGGAGATCGCAGGTTATGGAGTGGTATGGCATGGAGGGATGTCAGCACACAAACTGATAACTGCTGTTGGAGATCACAGGTTATGGAGTGGTATGGCATGGAGGGATGTCAGCACACAAACTGATAACTGCTGTTGGAGATCGCAGGTTATGGAGTGGTATGGCATGGAGGGATGTCAGCACACAAACTGATAACTGCTGTTGGAGATCACAGGTTATGGAGTGGTATGGCATGGAAGGATGTCAGCACACAAACTGATAACTGCTGTTGGAGATCGCAGGTTATGGAGTGGTATGGCATGGAGGGATGTCAGCACACAAACTGATAACTGTTGTTGGAGATCGCAGGTTATGGAGTGGTATGGCATGGAGGGATGTCAGCACACAAACTGATAACTGCTGTTGGAGATCGCAGGTTATGGAGTGGTATGGCATGGAGGGATGTCAGCACACAAACTGATAACTGTTGTTGGAGATCGCAGGTTATGGAGTGGTATGGCATGGAGGGATGTCAGCACACAAACTGATAACTGCTGTTGGAGATCACAGGTTATGGAGTGGTATGACTGCCCATGCCTGCTGGCAAGGCACTTTATGATGACAGTACAGCATTGATATCAGAATTGTCCTTCTTCCTGCATGAGTTAGTGCACTGTTTGCCAGTTAGTCTGTTCATTCATTACCTGTTACCCTTGCATGTCCAGTTGTGCAGTTACAGGTGAAGGAGGTTAAGTTAAATTTCCAAATGCTTTCTATCCATACAGAGCGCACACAGCTCACTGTGATTTGATGAAGCATGTTCCTGAAGTCTGATAGGTTACATGGCAAATTTCTATCTTCTTCTTCTTCTCTTCCACCTTGTACCTCATCGAAGTGTCGGGGGAGGGGTTTGCAAGGTTCTTTGATGAGCTCTATCAAGAGCACTATTAGGACTGATGTTCGTTTCTGTAAGGGTGTTCTTAATGCCATCACTCCAACTTTTCCGAGGTCTTCCACTCGCTCTATACCTGTTGTGGCAGATAGTACCATGGCATTCTTGTTAGGTGTCCAAACCACTTCATTTGTTGTTCTTTGATGACCTGTAAGACAGGCTTTATTCCTAGCATTCGTCTGATTTCATGATTTCATATTCTGTCTTTCCTTGAAACTCCTTTAGCTCTTCTAAGGCATTTCATCTCTGTTGTCACAATTTTACGTTCATTGGAGGATGTAAGTGTCCACGTTTGGCATTGATAGTATGCAAATGTCTATGAGGGGATGTAATCCCTATGAGAAATCAGAAAGGTATTAATTTGAAAGAAGCTGTATATTCTTTATATAAAGAAGAGAGAAAACCCTAGCTGGAAGCCTGATAATTTTTACATTATCTGATCAAATGTTTAAAAACAAAAAGTACAGCAATGTTTCAGGCAATGATTTAAAATCAAACAATAAATTGAATTGCATATAACACTCTTGATAAGACTGAATGAGGTAACAGAGCACAGATCATCAGCAAATAATTGCACAAATGGCAAGAGGAGAATATAGAAAAGGAAGACACAACATTTAGATCATCAATTTAAGTGACAAATACACACACACACACACAAAACAAGAAAAGTACATTAGATAAAAACACCAACCTATCTGCTGCAAGAAACGTTTCACTATATGCTCTGGCAAAGCCCTTTTGCTGCGGATGAACCTCGACAAGTCCCCACCGCTACAGTATTCCATAATAAGATATATGTAGCTTGTGTCCCACTGCACAGACAGGAATTTATAACTGTAAAAACTTCAACAATACAAATTTAAACAACAATAAAAACAAGAACACATTTAAGCAATACACTGCCTATCATATTTTACTGGCGTGGTCATGTCTTGGTCAGATATGACTAAACTACTGTACAACAGTAGTCGGTACTACCTGTTTTCTCCTAACGCTGAAAGCTGCGCGTACTAAACCTAACATCTCACACTGTGCCAATGGTCTCAGGCCAAAGAGCACTGACCTTATCCTAGAAAGAGGAAATTCAAAGTGAAAAAATTCATGCTTTGACAGTGCAGACCAGGCCCTTTACCTTGGCTGGCAGTTGAAAGCTTTGACAGGCAAACAGACAGAGCACTGCTCTTCTGATCTGGTAGCTTCTGTAGCATGCTTTGTTCTAAAAGTATCTGTGTTACCTTTTCCTTGGAGTAAACAAGAGAGGCCAAGAGAGGGGGCATTTCTAATAAGGAACCACTACTTTATATTTCTAAATGCAATGCTCCCATATGGATTTTGAAGCATGTTTTTAGGACAAACAGAACTTCACCCCCCCCCCCCCCCCCCCCCACCCCCATGCATGTCACAAAACGTGCCCAATTAGGCGTTTGCAACAACTGTGTTGGGTTGGCTAAAAGGTGCAGATATGGCAGCCTAACTATAAATCATAGCACAATGTGCTAACCACATTTTAAGTGTAAATTCATAAGAAGATGACTGCATGCAACTACAACTTGGTATAATTCTATGTAATATCAATCCATGATCATTCCATGTACTAGCAGCCTTGTATAACTCCATACAACAATATTTTATAATTCCATTCTATATCTTTGTATTATTGTAAAACACAATGTCACAACATTCCATGCAACAATACAATTGTAAAACTTCTTACTTGGAAATCTTTGAGTGTGACAATGTGCTCGTGTTTCAGATTCTTCAAAAGTTCTATTTCTGTAAGCAAATTTTCTGTAGAAGCTTTATTTAGACTGCTTTTTAAAACACATTTTATGGCCACAACCTCTCTTATGCCTGTCTGCAAAAAAAAAAAAAAAATTAAAATGGTAAGAACACAATTTATTTTCACATATATTATTACCTAAAAGGCCCTAATACCATGGCTTGAAGAGTTTTGGTATTTGAACTATTGTGATATATTAATAAACCAAATGGCACTAATTATTTCTGGTCAAATGTGTATCTTACATGACAAGACAATCTCAATTAGCTTAAAGAAAAACCTCAACAAAACACGTTTATCCCACCTTATGCTGCAGTGCCAGAAATGGTCACTCACAAAAACAAAACACACAAAAAAGCCACACACAAAAAATCTGTAACCATAGAAATAAGATGCCTGAGAAAAGATGCATGAATGAGCAGAAGAGATAAAAACAGGAATGAAGGTATATGAGAACCAATACTAAAATACATACAAAGACAACACATACAGTAGTTTGCACACTTATACAGAACATCTTGAGGCACAATCCTAAATAAGACACACACCAAAACAGAAGAGAGATAAAGATCGTAAGGTAAACCAAGAACAAGATGGAAAGACAGCATTAGAATACAATCAACAATACAATGTCTCCATAGTCAAGGCAACTAGAAGAGTAACAAGCAGAATATTATATTTCTTTTGATACCCAAAGTGGTAAAAGAAAAAGTGAAGAAGAAGAAGAAGCCACCTTTATTTCATAGAACATTTAAAATATAATTAAAATATTCAATGCCTATTTTTATTTAAGATACTCGGCTTGCATGGAAAGTAGTCCTCTGTACATTTAAATCCTTCAGAAAGCTACAGAAACCAAAGGGCAAGATTTAGATCTACACTGACCAAGATCTTTGCATAAATTTCCATAATTATGACCTATCCAAAGACTTTTTCTTAATCTGGCCAAGATTTAAAAAAAATCATCATGCTGCTGCATTGAACAGCTTATTTAATATGTACTAAGTACGTTTTTGGTGTCAATGAAATACAAATGATCTTAATTGCATGATGTGTTCTTAGTTTTTATTTCTCCCACTATACCCCAGTAGTATGTTTGTGATACATACTTGCACTGTCTACTATTGCAGATAGGCTAAACGTTCTGCAAGCAAAGTCATATCTCAGAGTAGCTGCAGACAAGAAGCACCTCTTGCATGAAGTCCTGGGTACAGTTAAGGGTCTCAGACTTGGATGGTGCAAGCTGAAGACACAATTAGATGTATGCAGGCTTGATAAATTTGGGCAAGGAGAGGAGTGGGTCAAAGTGTCTGAGCAAGTTTCAGACTTGTGTAGGGTTCCTATCATGAGTGCAGGGACTGGCCAGCTGGTGCTGCAGAATCAGAAGTTCAATAAATGTCTATAATGACTATTCCTGCCCAGGTGATGTGATTATCTATACAGATGGCTCTGTATTGAGGGGCAGACGAAGTGTGTGTTAAATGCGGACTTCCTCCGACGAACACACGCAAAACTAGGACTACTGTTTGTTGACAATTTCGAGAAATGCAACAATCCACACGATAATAGCGACATGGCAGGGAGACCACACGCTCTGATGCAGGTTAGCGATAGTGTTCTTCTGATTAAACTCACAGCCTAGCATATCCCCCCTGCTGCTACACGTGGCGCGGATGGGGGGGCTAAACTAGATGGCTGGGACCTACGAGCAGCAGCTACCACACCTCCAACTTAATCCAATTTATTTGCTCATGAGTCCCAGCCATCTAGTTTAGCGCCCAATGTGAGACGCGCGTAGCGGCGCTGGGGATACTGTCTGCAGGGCGGCATAGTCGCAGAAACAGGGCCGCAATATACATATTATATTTGTTTGCCCTCGATATTGGCCTGTTATTCGGAGGCAATCCTAGTTTTGCCGCGATTTGTTCCTTGCAGGCACTCTGCATTTTACACATGACTGAGGCCCTGTTAGGGTATTTGTTTGGCCGCCATAATATGGGGACGATGCTATCTTCCGAATAACGGGCACAAATTATGACGGCCAAAAACAGGGCCTCAGTCACATGTAAATTGCGAACTTCCAGGGACCTAATGTGCAAACAACCGGCGACTATCGCCAACGCCGAGAGTATCCTCCACACTGCGTGGATTGGGACTAAACTAAATTCCTGGGACTCACGAGCAAAGCTGCAGGAGAAGCGGAAGCTTCTGCTTGTGAGTCCCAGCTGTCTAGTTTAGCCCCAATCCATGCCGCGGTAGCGGTGGCGCGCAAATTAAGTTACTGAAAGTGCGCAATTGATATGAGACTAAGGCCCTGTTAGGGTATTTTTGCGGCCGCCATAATATGTGCCCGTCATTCGGAGGATAGCCTGGGGACGAAGTTCGGAGGAGAGCCGCCGTTAGGCTCATGCTTGAGCCCTCCCTAATGATTCTATTTCTGAAATAGCATCAGATTACTACCACTGACATTAGCTGTAACTGTAAACTTGGTCCCTTTGGCTGGTATTACACTTTTTCCCCTTCTTTCTGTACTATACCACCTCCCCATTCGCCCTCCCCCCACCACCACCCGGCGCTTAGATTTTCATCAGTTATCATCAAATGCATTGCATAGATACTATTTATTAAATGATTTTAAAAGCCGACCTTTCTATATGCCTTGTAGACTGTAGCGTAAGTACCACTACCCAATTTTTCGGCGAAAACATACTGGCCCAAAGATGGTTTGGGTACCACTTCAGGACAAGCAGAACTTGGCCTGGACGCCATGTTTTGTGTTGACAATCTGCTGGTTCCTCATTGTGACTGTCGTAAAATGTAAACATCGGAGGGCAGGACCCGGTTGAACTGGCGGCTGTTAGGCTGTACCACAAGTCATTCATTACTATAACTAAATTATTACTAGCATCTATATTTTAATTACGTCCTTTTAAGGACGTAATTTTTTTATTTGAAGCCCCACTCTGGCTTTTGTCAGGGGCCGCAATATAGGCAAGCCATCAATATGGCCAATTGTCTGAACGTGGTTTCTGGGACCTCTCCACGCCGATCCTCATCCACATGGTGGCACTTTGTGTCATCGGGTGTTTATCGCTTGTGTTATGTCCTAGTGGGGTAGAAAGTCAGTCAGTCAGTCATTACTAGCATCTGGCCACTCCGCGCACTACCGCAGCCTCAATTGCAGACTTGTGAATACATCTTAGCAGTCAGATAGAGTCTCGCTGGTTATGAACCACTTGGTGGTTACCTGACGCATGACAAGCTAAATGTTGTAAGGGCTCAACTCTATGGGAGCGAGTAAACAGTGCGGTGTCGCACATAGTGACATAGATCATTACGGTTTTGAGGAGAATGGTGCAGCGGGGATTCGGTAGGGTAACTGGTCGACATTTTACAATCGAAAGCGTAAGCAACGATTGCAGCATGTACTACTGGCTTTATCCATTCCGATGTGTGTGGTTTCTTTTGAACATCTGATGCTGTTGCAGATAGACAGGTGCTTTCTGGGAATAAAATCGTCACCTTCAACCAGCATCCCGGAATGGGAAGCTTTATTTTGTAATTGTGACTAGGTTATGTGTGCCATATAAAATGGCTTACCATTGCACGCACCAAGAAAAGGACTTCTTCAGTTTTTATGTATTCAAACCCAAATACTGTCTGACGACGAGGTCGTCTACCGGCGAGCTAATAGTGTTTTTACAGTCACTCCTCTCGCTTACTAGCTTTCACTTCTGAATGACCCGGCACTTTCCCATAACATAGAAGTATAAATGCTTGATTACCCCCTCCACATAACATTTGCTGTTTCTGAAATAAAACCAACACAGACTGACAGACAGGCAATCGACAGATCACACCCACCACACATCAAACCATTCAGTCCACAAATGCTCGGATCACTACGTCAGTCATTAATTAAATCCTTCAGTTTGTAGTGGCTGACAACACCAGTATATACTCTGTTCTTAGAGTTAGGCTGATTGTGCACTACTACTCTAATGCTTCAGGTTGTGGTCCTGTGTTCTCCACTTCTATCCTCATGCTTCAGGTTGTGGTCTTGTGTGATACACTTCTATCCTCATGCTTCAGGTTGTGGTCCTATGTTTTTCACTTCTGTCCTCATGCTTCAGGTTATGGTCCTGTGTTCTCTACTTCTATCCTCATGCTTCATGTTGTGGTCCTGTGTTCTCTACTTCTATCCTCTTTCTCAGGTTGTGGTCCTGTGTTTTTCACTTCTATCCTCATGCTTCAGGTTGTGGTCCTGTGTTCTCTACTTCTATCCTTTTGCTTCAGGTTGTGGTCCTGTTTTTCACTTCTATCCTCATGCTTCAGGTTGTGGTCTTGTGTTCTCCACTTCTATCCTCATGCTTCAGGTTGTGGTCCTATGTTTTTCACTTCTATCCTTTTGCTTCAGGTTGTGGTCCTGTGTTCTCTACTTCTATCCTCATGCTTCAGGTTGTGGTCCTGTGTTCTCTACTTCTATCCTTATGCTTCAGGTTGTGGTCCTGTGTTCTCCACTTCTATCCTCATGCTTCAGGTTGTGGTCCTGTGTTTTTCACTTCTATCCTCATGCTTCAGGTTGTGGTCCTGTGTTATCTACTTCTATCCTCATGCTTCAGGTTGTGGTCCTGTGTTCTCCACTTCTATCCTCATGCTTCAGGTTGTGGTCCTGTGTTCTCCACTTCTATCCTCATGCTTCAGGTTGTGGTCTTGTGTTCTCTACTTCTATCCTCATGCTTCAGGTTGTGGTCCTGTGTTCTCTTCTATCCTCATGCTTCAGGTTGTGGTCCTGTGTTCTCCACTTCTATCCTCATGCTTCAGGTTGTGGTCCTGTGTTCTCTACTTCTATCCTCATGCTTCAGGTTGTGGTCCTGTGTTCTCTACTTCTATCCTCATGCTTCAGGTTGTGGTCCTGTGTTCTCTACTTCTATCCTCATGCTTCAGGTTGTGGTCCTGTGTTCTCCACTTCTATCCTCATGCTTCAGGTTGTGGTCCTGTGTTCTCTACTTCTATCCTCATGCTTCAGGCTGTGGTCCTGTGTTCTCTACTTCTATCCTCATGCTTCAGGTTATGGTCCTGTGTTCTCCACTTCTATCCTCATGCTTCAGGTTGTGGTCTTGTGTTCTCTACTTCTATCCTCATGTTTCAGGTTGTGGTCCTGTGTTCTCCACTTCTATCCTCATGCTTCAGGTTGTGGTTCTGTGTTTTCCACTTCTATCCTCATGCTTCAGGTTGTGGTGTTGTATTCTCTACTTCCATCCTCATGCTTCAATGATCTGAGGTCTGCACAAGGGGCAACCACGTCATCCATTCTGGTTTGCTAGTCAAGTTATAATTGCATTTCTAAGACACAATTGCTACAGCAGTCTGTTTAGTGACAACTGCTTCCAACACTAGGTGTATGGACTAGACTGTTGGATAATGACACATCTCTGATGCTAACAAGATTGCATGACCTGGAAGTATAGCCTGAAAAGGCACATGTATGTAGTCTTCTAGGTCAAGATATAGGACATAATAACCAACTTCTCATTGGAACAAACAGTAGAGGTATCTTAGAATAGCTGCTGCATCCAAGGACAGAGCATGCATGGCAATGTATAGATATGTCAACTGCACTAGCATTGACATTACATCACTTGGGATAGTCCCATAAGCACTCCATCCCCAACTTCAGCAGCAAGTGCAGTTCCAGTTTCAATGGTATTAGTAGCAGTCTGATTGCGTATCCCTCTCGTCTATAACTAGCTTAAAAAGTTTCAAAGTGTGTAAATGTGAGAAAGAGGCGGGAGCCTGAAGACATCACAGACATCAGAAGGAGACAGTCATCATTTTTTGGCCTTGTAGTTATGAGAAGAGGGAAATAGAACATGTTGTGACCACTGGAAAGATCTGTGGAAGGAGGGATAGAGGAAGACAACGAGAGAAGATTCTTGAGTCTTATTGCATGGCATGGACGTGTGTCAGCACACGAACTGATACATGCTGCAGGAGATCGCAGTTAGTGGAGAGGCATTATCGCCCAAGCCAATCGGCAAGGCACCTGATGATAAGGAAAGGTGAGAGGATCCACTTCGTTCCACTGGGTTTTTAACCCATATTGCCTAGTCTGCTATCAGAGTGCTTTTGTTCCATTCCAGTCCTCTGTGAGTCAGAGAAATCTGGAGGTCTGGTGCTTGGCCTCATACTTGCTGTGATGGCTGTTTCCAGCTCTGGATACATGTCCTAACCTCTGTAACTGACTGATCCACTCATGTACTGTCTGGTTGTGAACTTTTATCTTTTTAGTCACTTGAACTTTCTCAGATACCTCATTTCTGAGGCCTGAAACTGGCTTATGTGAGCTGTTGTCATTGGCCATGACTCGCACCCATTGGTCACCACCAGCACACATGTAGAGCAGTATACATTCATTTTAAATCCTCCTGCTAATTTCTCTTTCAGAAACCAAATTCTCAATATCTAGAACCCAAGGTTAACGACTTAAGCAGTTGGGCATGGAGACCACATGTGAAAAATCTTAACCTGAATTTTGATCCTGCAGCACAGGTCCATGAGGTCTTGTGTATCAGACATAAGAATTCTAGAATTCTCTCTCACTTTCCCTATCTCTACTTGCCTTATACATCAGTTTCCCCTTCTCATGACTGTGTGTTTCCCTTTCTCTACTAACCTTATGCATCAGTTTCCCCTTCTCATGACTGTGTGTTTCCTTTTCTCTTCTTGCCTTATGCATCAGTTTCCTCTTCTCATGACTGGGTGTTTCCCTTTCTCTACTAACCTTATGCATCAGTTTCCCCTTCTCATGACTGGGTGTTTCCCTTTCTCTACTAACCTTATGCATCAGTTTCCCCTTCTCATGACTGTGTTTCCCTTTCTCTACTAACCTTATGCATCAGTTTCCCCTTCTCATGACTGTGTTTCCCTTTCTCTACTAACCTTATGCATCAGTTTCCCCTTCTCATGACTGTGTTTCCCTTTCTCTACTAACCTTATGCATCAGTTTCCCCTTCTCATGACTGGGTGTTTCCCTTTCTCTACTAACCTTATGCATCAGTTTCCCCTTCTCATGACTGGGTGTTTCCCTTTCTCTACCAACCTTATGCATCAGTTTCCCCTTCTCATGACTGTGTGTGAAAGGTCACTGACTGTTTGCATCTGATCTCTGTGATATTTTTCTGTTTTGTCTTAGTCTCTTTCAAATCATTTAGATTACTCTATCCATGGTATTCTGAACATTTGCCTGTAAAACCATGTTCTCTATCTTCAAAGAAGTCTCTCTATATCTATTGTCTTAGTCTGTTTAAAGCTGTTAGACATAGCAGACACAGCTAATGCAGGGACTCCAGGTGCCCGTTAGCTTGCTGCATGATGATGTTGACTTTCAGCCAGTTGTTAACTCTATCTATCCATATTTTTTAGCCTTCCTCTACATCTTGATGTTTCCATGTTCATGTTGTATGTTCTTGCTACCGGTGACACTGGGGTCATTTTGACAAGATGGCCAAACCATTTCAGTCTTTGTTTTTCAATAAATTTAATTACGGATGTTGTTCCCACTATTTTTTTTATTGTCTCTTCTTGCTACGTTGACTGCTTTTCTCAAACATCAATGTCCGTTCATATTCTTTTGTCAGTGCTCAGGTAAGGCACTGATAGCACAATGCTAGTAAAAAGATTGCGTTCGTGATTTGTTTTGTTTTTAGTTTCCACAGGTACTAGTGTTTGTGTACTATATTCGGGCTACTTACCACACAATACATGTAAAATAACAGGGAAAATGAGAGACAGCAGAAGAGGGAAAACGATAAAAGAAACAATAAGAGAAAACAATGGGCTGGCATATGATGGTCATGAGGGCTATGCTCCAACAGTTATTAAACATTTGAAAATAAAAGACGGTGATAAATTTATATAAATACTTTCAAAATAAATGGTTGTCTTGTACATATTTTTATTATTTTCTAGACAAATTCAGCAGACAATGTTACAAATGCTAGTGGCTGTTTTTCATGTTTATTTTAATAAATCACAATATATGGATAACTGTACAATTTACTCTTTCAGCCATGATATAACCAGAAAACAGCAACAGTTTTATTTAAAAATTACCCTTTGAAACTACAACCTGAATGTTCGACATTCTATGACTCAAGAAGCCACTTTTCAGATGCCAAGCCCACAGGAATAAATCCAAGACATTCTGTCCAACCTATACAAGAGTTTTACTGGGGCACTCTACATTACACACAGTAACTAGATGTCCTGTGTGTGCAGCAGGCTAACTGACTTGAAAAAAATAAAATCATTTATAGAATCTTCTGAACTATAACAAAGGCTGGCTTTGACTAGAAATTGAATACTGAGATCTCTGTATGAGTTCCAGTACCCCATTTTAAGGGAAAGGGAGATAATGCAACCCCTCAAGTACGTCATAAAAGGTGAATAATCAGGGGTGTTTCCTCCAGAGTTAGGGTGCGTCTGTCTGAGAAATGAAGAGCCAACAGTTTGCATACAAAAAAGCCAGATCTGAAAAATATGGATGTTCATACAAAAGTTAAGTTCTGGAACAAGACCACAGTTTAGAAGTGGGTGTACAAGCAGAACTTTCCACCTGAGTTTACAGCTTGTAAACATCAAGAAGATGAGAAGAATACAGAGAAAAGTACTAGGTAATATTTGGTACAAAAATACTAGCCAATTAAAAATACATTTGTGCTCTAAGAATATGGTAAATGAACTATGTGACATAGGGGTCTGCAACCTTGAGTATTTCCCTGGCAGTGGTGAACTCTTCGGTGTCTGCCAGGTCAGCCTCTTTATCCTGAGAACAAAAAAATAACACAGATCAGTTTACTCATATGTTCCAACACAGAAGAGTAAGCCTTGGGTAAACTGTCTAAGAATACTGACATCATTAACACCTGAACAAGATGGAAAACTGGCTCATAAACACCATCATGCCTTTAAAAAATTAAATACTCTGGCTTCACAAAATGATGCAATGGATTCAGAAAAAAAAAAAAAATACTGTAAGGTATGGTTTCTGGAAGAGGTAGGTTCTCCAAAAGCACACAGAGAAACAGGGAACTGGAGACATTGTGAACTGGAAGGTATGGTTTCTGGAAGAGGTAGGTTGTCCAAAAGCACAAAGAGAGAAACAGGGAAATGGAGACATTGTGAGCTTGAAAATAAGTGGGGCGGACAAACTGACAAGAGACTAATTCTTACAGATGGGCTGTGATGGGAATAACATTCATCAAAGAACCTGCTACATAATGTAGAGCAGTAGTTCCTAAATGGCGGTCCAGGGGGTTAATGCAAAAAATGTAAGGCATGCGTGATATAATTTTAAAATGACAACAAGCCTCAACTGTTGTTTTTTAAGCACTTAAACAAATATGGCTACAATGATTAGGGGTCCATGGCAGTCCTTTAAAAATAAAAGAGAGGTCTGCAGGTTTGATCTTACTGGGAACCACTGATGTAGGGAACAAAATGAAGTACAGTGAGGACCAGTTTCTATTCATGAGGTGTTAAAAGTATATTGTACTAACCACCTGTTTTAATAGACCAATCATTACTTGAAGAGATAATGTGGTCATTATCACTTGGGCCACCTTTACTCCCTTTAAATTTCCTGAGGCCTATTTTTAGGCAGAGGTCAACCTGGAAGCCCATTCAGTTTTAAAAGTTCAGGGGATTGGAACTTGTGACCACTAGGCTGGAAGGCAGACATGGTTGCCACTGCACTACCACAGCTCTATACCTAGGAATGAACAACTTGAAATGACTCCCCCCCCCCCCCCCCCCCCCCCCCATAAAAAAAAAGATTTATAATAATTAATTCTTTCAGTCCTAGGCATTTGTTACACTAACCCTTTCTATCCTAGGAAATTACTACAGGAACTATAAAACATTTAGGTTTGAAGAAGTTAAAATAGCAACACTATGAGAAAATAAGTGTTAAAAAAAATAAAAACAGAGTGGGTTTGTGAAACAGCTGTATAATGCACAAGGAGTTGGCAAATGAGAATAACATGAATAGAAACCAACTAGCTCATGGTGGGGTGTTAGGTACAAAATGAGTTAATTCTTTAGTAAGAACATAAACCAAAAAGTCATAGTTTCTATGACTGCCAAAACTTCTCAGTCCAACTCTCAGCAGAGTATGACATAAAGAGGTGAAGGCATAACAGGAAAAGTGATAAAAGATTTTTTCAATAGAAATAAGGGAAGTATGAGCAACTTAGTTTATCATTATAATTCCCCCCCCCCTCCTCCCCACCTTCATGATCTAAAAATAAGCAACAGCCTCCCTATGCATCAAAATAAATAAATAAAAAAAAAATTTTTTTTGGGGGGGGGGGGGGGGGGGGGGGGGGGGGCAATGAAATTGTGCCCCCCCCGCCCCCCCCCCCCCAACAAGCATAGTAGCCCCAACAAGCATAGTAGAAGATGACTATTTAGGGGATTTTACTTCGATGTCAGAATGCATGTGTCCAAGAGGCAAGGAACCAACAGTCTGCATAGATCAGTAAAATGGATGTGCTTGTAAAAATCAAAGCTTGAAACAAGACTAAAGTCTAGAAGTGGACAAAGAACCAGAACTTTCTGCTGAAGTTCATAGCTAAATTAAAATGTACATATTCATATGCTTTTCACACAGTCTTCTTAAAAATATTATAAAGATAGCCATAGTCTTTAAACTCATACAGGTAGACGTCCTGGGTAGTTAATGCTCTTCTGATACTTTCTCCGAGGTATGCAAGAATACTGGGAAATGAAGAGGAAGACAGACTGGCTGGTTCTGCACCAGTGGGTGTTGAATTTATTCATGACAAGCTCAGTGTCATCAAGGCCCTACGGATGCAAGTACACAATGCAGAGGCATGAAGAGATGACTATAGTCTGGAATGAATGGTACAGCTGGGAGTGACCAGGGGATCAGGCCGACCCTCTGCACTCGGAGGATGGTACAGCTAGGAGTGACCAGGGGATCAGGCCAACACTCTGCACTCAGAGAATGGTACAGCTAGGAGTGACCAGGGAATCAGGCCCAACACTCTGCACTCAGATAATGGTACAGCTAGGAGTGACCAGGGAATCAGGCCAACACTCTGCACTCAGAGAATGTTACAGCTGGGAGTGACCAGGGAATCAGGCCAACACTCTGCACTCAGAGAATGGTACAGCTGGGAGTGACCAGGGGATCAGGCCGACCCTCTGCACTCGGAGGATGGTACAGCTAGGAGTGACCATGGGATCAGGCCAACACTCTGCACTCAGAGAATGGTACAGCTGGGAGTGACCAGGGAATCAGGCCAACACTCTGCACTCAGAGAATGGTACAGCTGGAAGTGACCAGGGAATCAGGCAGGTCCCCCCGCACTCCCTTCGTGGGGCATCGGAACCCCCCCCCCCACAGGAAGTGTTATATATAACAAGTGTTATATATTAACTCTTTCAGTCCCAAAAAACGTGTGATGTGTGCTAAGCTTTACTGTTAATACTACCTAACACTGAGTGTATTCTCATAATGTATTCATCTGATCACTACATTCTAAACAAATATGGCTTCCTCATTACTTAGCTTCTTTAAAAGTAATATGCTGATGGCTTTTCCTAGTGGTAATGTATACAAATGGGTATCTCATGTCAAACCTTCTAATATTCAACGAGTTAAAGCAGATGGTATTACCAGAAGTTCAGATAGCTCTCTGTAAGCCTTCTTCAACCTTTTAACTGTGTCTGGGATCATGCATCGTGATTCTTGAAGCACCTCACCCTGAAACAACCCAGCCATCTGTTTTTATATGATACATTTTCACATAAGTTACAACCTTTTACACATAAGTTACAACCTTTTACACATAAGTTACAACCTTTCACACATAAGTTACAACCTTTCACACATAAGTTACAATTTTTTACACATAAGTTACAACCTTTTACACATAAGTTACAACCTTTTACACATAAGTTACAACCTTTTACACATAAGTTACAACCTATTACACATAAGTTACAACCTTTTACACATTTATTTCTTCCAAACAAAACAGTTTACCACACTTATTTAACAAAACAATTTAACACAATTAATTTCTTTCAAATGCAGCACGTAAGATTCCTGAACCGTGCTGTAAGAGAGACTGTTATCGCATTTTCAACTTTTATCTTTTAAGACAGTGATAAACTTATCTTCTTCTTCTTCACGTTCACCAGCTGTTAACTTCTGTGGAAAGTTCTGGTGGTTGGTCCACTTGTGGTTGTTGGTCTTGTTACAAAACTTCAGATTTACACGCACGTCCATTTTACAGATTCAGTATATCTGTATACAAATGGCTGGCTCCTCTCACAGATGCACTCCAACTTCACAGGAAACACCTCGAGTTAGTAGACTTTCACCACATGCTCGTTAAGGTAGCAGATGTTCTACCCCCCTCCCTTCCAGAAACAACATGGGATGTAAATTGATCATTTTCCAGTCCAACAAATTATACTTTTAGTCTTCATATTCTTAGTGCTCACTGGCTGTAGACTCCAGCAGAAAGTTCTGGTTGTTCATTCACTTTTGGATTTTGGTCTTGTTCCAGAACTGGAGTTTTGCGTGCATGGCCAATTAACAGATCTGGCTTATCTGTTAGTTAAGACTGTTAGTTGCTTGCCTTTCAGACAGATGCACTCCAACTTAGATGGAAACTCAGTTACAGGTAAAAGTAGAATTTCTTGGACTGGAAAATGATAAATTTACATCCCATGTTGTTTCCGGGAGGGGGGTAGAACATCTGCTACCTTAACAAGCATGTGGTTAAAGTCTACTAACTCGAGGTGTTTCCTAAATTAGTCAACTTTTTACGACATGATTTGGGGGGGAGGGGGTCTATTCTTGTTCTCCCCACCCCCTAAAATGGGGCTGTGGAACCCACATGGGGAATATTTTTAGTAATGTTTGGGTTGGTAGTGACTAGATGCTCTGCTCGCTGGTCTGAAGATTATGAATTTGAATATATCTATTCATAATTTTTTTCAATAATGACCTTGGTTCCCCGGTCAAGCCAGCCTCAAATGGGAGCCAAGTGAAGTCGTAGGAAGTAAAAGTGATGATGACCACATCACACAGCAAGGGCCGATTTGTCTATAGAAATAAGAGTTTAGCATCATATAACTGAGGCCCCACTGCCATGAAAAAGTCCTCCTCCAAGTTTGGGTTTTAAGAAGTTATAACAGTGTCACATACCAAAGTTATGATACCTGCGAAAGCAGACGTAAATGAAAGTATACAACGTAATTTGTAAGCAATGCTGCCTGAGTCCAAATTTAAGATTACCTGCTTTCTGATGTCATGTTCATCCTTGCCATCTGCCTTCATCTTTTCTAGTCTTTCTGCTAGATAAACTGCTTCTTTTTCATAGCTTTCTTTCTCCTTTGTCAGCCTAAGTGTGACATGTATTCAAGTAATTATGAAATCATAATAATAAAAAAATGACTGAACTGATTAACTTACATGCAGAATTATAGAACAGCCTGTTTAAAGTTCTTGCAGGTAAGGTTACTTTAAAGGGCGGACAATTCTTTAACCAGGCTGATATACTGAATGCTCTACGGGAAGTAAGATGTGTGAGAGCGAAGTTAGTGCAAGCATGGCTAGACTGCAATAACAGCAAGTTAAAACAGGTGTATTCACACAAGAGCACTATGCAGGGAGCCAAAGAAGAATAAGAAACTAACACAGGACTGGTGTCATTAGCCACTACACGATGCAGGATTTACGGAGGAGGGGATGTCAGTACCTATGTACTAAAAGGTCTGATGTGCAATGAGGATAATTTGTCAACTAACTAGCTAACTAAATAACTTTAGAGTTGCACAGAATACAAAACAAGTTACAGTTAAATTAGAGTTCCTCTATGACAGCATACTCAACAAGTTCCCTTCGTGAGTTAATTACATTCAAGATATCTTCATTTGGCTTTTTTTTTACCTGTCAAGTGTTCTCATTATTTTTGTGTTTAAAAAAAAAACATATATTTCTACATTTATTTTTTCATTAACTTGTTTTCCATGACTCAATTAGGGAACATAAAAGATCTGACAAACATAAAACCATCCACTATGTGGGAGGGAGTAGCCATGCTTATGGATCTGATAATAACAGCTGTGTCAAATAGAATATTATTATTGCTGGTAAAGTTAGGATTTAACTTGCATGGCTGGCCTTCTAATGTCAACATCATTCGGGTATATTTACAAACCTCTGGATGCAGTGAAGATACCAAAGATGAATTTTATAGTAGCCTTGACAAAAAACTGAGTGCAGCAGTTCAGCCTGAAAATACTTATATAAATCTTGGGAGATATAAATACTATAAGTAAGAAAAGCTGGATATACTTTTTAGTGTAGTTTCATGAAACTTGTAATTGCTTAGTATCATTTCACCACTTCTGACACAGAAATATACCTTTATCTACCAAAGTAAATCTAATAAGAACTATTGGCTATCCTCCAAATAATGGGCACATATTATGGCGGCCAAAAACATACCCTAACAGGGCCCAGTCACATGTAAATTGCGGACTTCCAGCGATTTAAATCGTGGACTTCCAGCTACCGCCTCTCCTGCAGCTTCCTTCATTTCATTTGCTTGGCGATGGCGGTAGTCGCCGGAAGTCCGCAATTTACATGTGACTGAGGCACTGTTAGGGTGTGTTTTTGGCCGCCATAATCATAATATGTGCCCGCTATTCGGAGGATAGCCGAACTATTTAATTTTGGCCAATTTTATGCTACCAGTACCAATTGGCCTTTTTTTTTTTTTTTTTACAAGAACTGATGAATGCAAAACAAAATCATAACAGATAGGAGATGTCTTAGAAGAGCTGTCAGAATAACAAGAAAAAATAAATGAAAACTAAAAAAAAAAAAAAAACTGAAGAGATTGGAAGAAGATTAGGACTGAAACCAGTTAATGAGCATCAGAAGAGATTCAGATGGTTTGGCTATCTGAATAGAATGCTCTGGTACCTACTGCCACAGAAAGCCACATGGAAAAAATATCACAGGCACAGATTAATTAGAAGATCGTGTAAAATATGGAACGCCGGCATCAAGATTCAAGAGCAACCTTAAATTATGAAGACCAACACATTTCATTTCAAATGAAGAAGTAGAAAAGAAAATGAAAATCATGGGAGCTATTTTTTTACTTTAAATAAAAGTACCACATGCTTGAAACAGAACGGAACTAAGCATACCTCCTTACAACACCTGTTTGTATTTTAATGCCTCTAAGTCTGGAGTCTGCCATCATTCAGAATTCGTAGACGACAGTTGAAAGAAACGATGGAAACTGATCAACTGAAACGCGACTTTCTCTAAGCGACCAAACTTGCAGCACTCTCCAGTGAAGGAGATTACAAACTATCTCGACGGGTCTGACACAAATATGACTCTTGGTATGGAAGCTGACAGAAATACAATATAGTTTTCCCTGTCCAGTGACAAGATTAAATTGGGGGGGGGGGGGGGGGGGCATCTTTGAAGAAGTTAGTTTACCATTTATTTTCTTTTTTTTTTACCGTGACCACTGACCTAACAGGTGACAGCTACAACGATTGTAACTGTAATGTGCTCCATCATACAAAGGAAAAGTATTAATCAGCGAACTTTAGGCAGTCTTAAAGAATTGAATATCAATATATACAATGTACTAGAAATAGCAAACAGAAGATCCACATCTACCCCACACAATCAACACTTCGATGCTGTCTGGAGGTAGAGAAGAGGAAGAAAGGAAAACAGTTTTGAAAAACATGCACTGCACCTAAAAGATGCGACTTGAAAGCAGAAGTGCATCTATGGAAATTACTGATTGATGAAATGTGTGACAGTGCCAGTGGCAACCGTTGAGTCCCTGACAGAAAAGAAAATCATAATTTTTACAGAGGATTCGAACCTGGCTCCAGAATGTGTCCACTGGTCTTCATCTCGGCCGTGTCGCTTAATTAGCGTCGGATTAATTATCATTGCAAACAACAATTGTCATCACCGTAAAATAAGGTAATAGGTCATGAATCGTAAACAACCGATGCGTCTCTACAGTTTGACAGACTGGTTGGTTACTGGAACTGTTGTCATCTTAGAGGTGATAGAGTTTGACACAGTCGACTCTGGATTTGGCAGTGAGTTTGATTACCAAGGTAATAGTAATACGAACTCGAAGTGATTGCACGCGATAACACTGAGTGGAGGAACAGCTCTATATGACATATATAATAATGATCCAGCAGAACAATGATGATGATGTTAAACAAAAATATATTTTTTAGAAAAAAAAAAAATGTTGAAGTTAAAGAGTTAAGTAGCTGTATTTTCATAATGCATGCGAAACACGCACAATAGTAATAGGTAGACAATCTGGAAAATGTTACTTGCGGCAGAGATGTGGTTTCTGAAAAGATTACAAGAATATCATAAAAGGATACTGATATTCTGAGAAACTTTCTATAGTCCACAACTCACATTCGTATGTTGCTACAGGGAAGATGCATGCTCTCAAAATTCCTATTTTGATCTCCTTGCTGGTGCTTAACCAAAGACTTTAGGCTGTTCAATCTTTGCATTGCTATGGCCATCCTCCTTTTAATTTCTGTCAAACAGTCTCCATTGCTGTTCATTATAGAGCCTAGATATTCAAAGTTTGTGACATTTTCAATTTCTTCACTATTTATTGTTATTTTTGGGTGACAGCCAGTTTTATCTGGGGACATTATTTTCGTATTCTTTAAATTCAAGAACAAATTTTGATCTTCTCTGTGCTTTTGGACAGATAATATAAAATTTTCTATTCCCTTCACGCTGTTCGAAAGGAGGACTGTGTCACTTGCGAAGCGAAGTTCTGGAATAGGGTTGTCACCAATTTTTAGCGGATCATAACTGTCACAAGTCTGGTCATTTTTTACATTTCTCATTATATTTTCTGCATATATATTGAATAGGTATGGTGAGAGAATGCACCCCTGCCTCACTCCCATTTGCATCTTGAAACAGTCTGATGTTTCACCAGCTGCTCTGATGACTGCTTGTTGTCCATGATAAAGATTTTCTTCAATTAAATGCACCAAATGTACCAATGAAACAAGCATGAAGATCTACATTGTTACCTCTACATTTTTCAAAAATTATCGTAATAAAGATGTGATCGCTAGTTCCTCTACCCTGTCTGAAACCTGCTGGTGCTTCATATAGCTCATATTGTAATTTTCTTTCAATCCTCTTCATGATAATTTGTAAGAGGATTTTGCTAGCATGACTTATTAATGCGATGGTAAGGTAGTTGGAGCAAAGTTTCAGATTTCATTTCTTTGGTAGAGGGATATATACTGTTCTTTTTCCTGCTTTAGGCCAAATGCCACTATTCCAGATCTTTGTGCACAGTGCATGGTAAATTCGGATGCTGGCCTCTCTTGCTTGAATTAGTTCTGCTGGTATTTCGTCGCAACCTGGTGACTTTCCTTTCTTCAAGCTGTATATTGCTGATCGTACCTCATCCAGTAAAGGCTCTGGTTCTTTTTCATAAGTTGTCTTTGAGTTACTTGTCAGATCCTCATACATCGCTCTACAGTATTCTTTCCATCTTTCTTTAGTTTCCGTTATTGTGCTACCATTTTTATCACTCATTACATGAAAAGAAGGCCTGAATTCGCATTTCAATGTTTTAATTTCTTTAAACATGTCTCTGTCTCTTCCCTGCATCTGGAGTTGTTCAATTCTATTACAGATATTCATAATAAACTGTTTTTTTTATCTCCTCTGATAGCTCTTCTGATTTGTTTTGTGTAGTTCCTATATGCATGGCTATTTGTTTCTGTCCCTACTTGCTTTAAATTTCTTCTTTCAGCTTGAAAGTTTTTTCTGCAATGTAAATCTGTTTCTTGTGTCGTTTTTTTAGGAATCATGTTCTGAGCTGTTGGGATGATGATGTATCTTATTTAAAGAACACACACGTAAAAATGTTTTTTATTTTTCAATTTATTGTAATTGGACCAGAATTTGAACTTGTCGCCTCTAAATTTTGACAGAACTGAAATTCTCTTACTAAAAAGTAGATACCCAAGTGGAAAAGTTTAGATTAATAAGCTGTGGATTATTTCATGAAAGCTGATGAGATATCAGATTAGACAAAAGATGAAGTTTATGGCTGTCCTGCTAGATGTGTTAAACATTTTCTCTAATCCCTGTTATGTCTTTCAGCATCAAGTATTGAAGAGGCCCTTGGTGTGACCCTTGTGTGACCTTGGTATGTGCTCCATTGATATTGGGATTCACAGCTTTGGATACTCCATTTGTTGATCACTTCATTAATGGTCAGTGGTTGTTTCCCATAAAGATCAGTCTGATTAATTTTATAATCCTTTTTTTTAACAAACCCAATACTGCATGACTGCTGTTGTGCTCAAGAACTAAGAATTATACCAATGTTACAACTACAACCAGATGCTCTGTACAACAACTGCAGCCAGCGAACACATCAGTTACGGTCAAATAACCACCAGATTATAGCAGACTCCAAAGAGAACGTACACATCCGACCATGGCAAGCTGAAGATTATGATGGTGTTTGGTCAGTTCTGAAAGATGCTAGCTACAGCAACATAAATCCAACATTCATTGTCATCTTGCAGAAGCCCTTTCTGTGGGCAGTAAACATGATTTTATTATCTGTGGGATTTGCCAGAGAACTATCTGTCATATTTCTTGTAGTGTGTTTTCTTGGAGAGCTATGCTTGATTTATGCCATGTCAGTCCTTGGTGCTATAATCTATTTGTATGGTCAAACACTGTCAGATATAAAAGATATCAAGACATCATATTTTACAACTCCAGACCACCATTTCTGGGTTGCCGTATGCCAAGGTGAAATTGCAGGGACAGTGGCTGTTGTACGGAAAGTACCACAGTTACATGGTGCCCCCTGCAAGAAAGACCCAACATCTGAGGATTGCAGCAGAGGTAAAATAGCTTGGTTACGACGTATGGCTGTTTCGAAGAGGTTCAGAGGTTTAGGAGTTGCAAAGCAATTGGTAAAGACATCACTAGAATTCTGTCAAAGCAGGAATTATGAAAGTGTGTTTCTGATCACCACAGAAGTTCACCATGCTGCCAGATCTTTGTATTCAAATATGGGATTCCAACTAATTGCCTGCAAGCCTTACAGATATTTAAAGGGCCTGTTGACAATTAAAACATTTGAGTTTGAAATGGTTCTCAGATAAAACCTTGTTGATAAAAGATATATATATGTACATTTATGTAACAGAGACAACAATGGCTGCGTATTGAGATTCTGAGCTTTCAGGTGTTGAAACAGGTTGGAACTCTGCTAAACAGTCCTTTCTAAGAGATCACATATGGCAAAAATGAGAACATATAGCTTTTGTATGTCAAAACTAGAAACGGGTCACTGGAGTTGAATGTTGAATTAAGAATCGACATCACAGCACTCAGGATTCTCCCATAAGTGCTCCATCCCTATCTTCATCAGCAAGCGAAGAGTTAAAATTCCGATGGTACCAGTAACAGTCTGATTGTATATTCGTCCCGCCCCTCCCCCGAGCGTCGGCCAGATCCCCTTGTAACTCCTCGCAGTGCCATTCTCTTCAGACCATAATGATCTATCTGTTCCTCGGCACTGTACACTCGCTCCCAAAGGGCCCTCACAACATCCAGCTTGTCATATATCAGTTCACCACCAAGTGGCGCAGAACCGGCCTGTCTATCCACCTGCTCATTTCCCAACACACCAGCGTTACCTGGAGAAGATATCCAAAGGATGCTAACTACCCGGGACCTCTGAAGTGATTGTGCCACTCTGCACGGAACATGACTGCCTCCACCTTTCTCAGCATGCTCTGTGAGTCAGTTATAATGATGACATGTGTGTACAGCTGATTCTCAAGCAAACAGAAGGCAGCAGTGACTGCCTCCACCTCCATTCTCAAACTAGACGTTGTGATATCATATGCCAGGCTTTGTTGCGCCAATCGACATCCATTGGCCTTCGCTATGAACTCCCATGCACTTCATCTACCCCTCACCACAAAGCCATCTGTCTATACAATCACGTCACTTGGGCAGGAATTGTCATGAATCATTTGTTGAACTTCTTATTCTGCAGCACCAGCTGGCCAGTCCTTGCACTCATGTCCCAAAGTGATTAGAAGTCTACACAAGTCTGAAACATGATTGGACACTTTGACCCACTCCTCTCCTCGCCTGAATTTATCAAGCCTGCACACATGTCCAATTGTGTCTTCTGCTTGCGCCATCCAAGACTTTCCTCTTTTCAGTCTGTGACCCTTAGCTCTATCCAGGGCTTCATGCAGGAGGTGTCTCTTGTCCGCAGCTACTCTGAGGTATGACTTTGCTTGCAGAACTTTGAGCCTTTCTGCAATAGTAGGCAGTGCAAGTATATATCGCATACATACTACCGGGGTATCTCTTGTAACCCAGAATCACCCATATGGCTTCATTCTGTATGCGTTCAAATTTCATCAACTGACTCTTTGATATGGTAAGCATGCCAAGTCCATAATCTATCATCGACAGGATCACAGCACTCATGACATTCCCATAAGCGCTTCATCCCCATCTTCAGCATTCAGCACAGATTCTCTGTATCAGTGGTACCAGTAGCAGTTTATCCATCTTGATTTTCTTCTAAGCATGGAATATCAGCCAGATCACCTCATCACTCCTTGCTGCATCACTCTAGAACTTTGATAATCCATCTGCTACTCTAAATTGAACACTTACTCCCATAAGGCCTTAACCTCATTTGCTTTATCATGCATCAGTAGGCTGAAGAATGTGACCTAGTACTGCATGCAAAGACCCTTGAACATGTCTACAACTGTTATCCAAAACCCGAATGGACACAAGTATACACCGATGGATCATTGGATGTAGCAGGCAACTCAGCGGGTTCCACAAGACAACATTGAGAGAGAACTGACCCGCCAGCTTAACAGACAGAAAACAATGAAATTCTTCTCTAGTGGATCCTGGCTCACTGCCGGTGGATGAAATTTGAGTATGGTGATGCAAGCCTGTCAGTCCAAGTGTAAGAGTGGAGCAGGAAGTTTCAAAACAGTGTGAGTTCTGTGGCAGGTTGTGTCACTACTCGGAGTACCTGCCCGGGTCATCAACACAGAAGTCGCGCATTAAACTGAAATTAAAACACAAGTTTCCGCACCTTAAGACTGGTTGGGCATGTGATGATAGCTCCCATATTTTTATAAACCGATTGAGACTTGATGGCGGATATGGTTCTTAAACCACACCATTTACCCTTACTTCTAAGAACACTTCCTGGCACCTATTTGAGGCAAGGTCAGTCTCACAGCCTAGGCCAGTTTTAGAAATCAGCATTAATGGAAATTTGAACCTTACACCTAAGGGTGGGTAAGCCATGGTTTTTGTCTATACATATTCAGACATAAGCACATGTGAGCACGCGCGCACACACACACACGCACACAGTATATATAATGTAAAAATAACAGATATCACATGTCTTTTTGTTAACCCAAGAGGGTTAAACAGGATACTACCTGTTTAAATGTTTTTTTTAAAAATGACAACACTGTCAGATACCACAGGAATCACATAACACTAAGGCAGTAAGCAGGATATCTTAGCAATCTTTTCACAACTATTTGTCACATAAGATTGTAGGTGTAGATAGGTGATAACCCATAACAGTCAGAGTCCTAGTGCAGCGTCATAGATGGTTTTCCCCTTCCAAGACTGCGGCCTCTGACTCAAGAAGGAGTCATTATTAAGATGGAATCCAACTGAAGCAAATCTTCAAAATGTCGTTCAACTGTATAAAGCCATGTTTTTATTTTGGACACCCAGTTTTGTTACAGATTTGCCTATTGTCCTGTGTTGATGGTTTTATAGTTTTTAACCTCTTCAAATCTGTGATCTTAAAACTTGCTACCCATTCACTCTAAGAGTCACTTTTGAATGCCATTGAACAGGTGCAAATCACAGAAACCCTGACCAACAATAAATCACACTTGTGTCGCGACAGCCTGCGGTTATGAAATAACTTGCTGTCCAGTATGTATCTCATAACCAGGCCATTTTTTTTTCTGTTGGCACGTAACAGTACACAGTACTGGCACCTTTATTTTTTAGTCATCAATTTTTTTTGCCAGTGCAACTGTAATAAACACTGTGGTGAGTAATGGTACATTTTTAGACACTTTATTTTGAGAGCCAGCTAATTTTTATCTAGGAAAATCCCTGCTCATAAAAAAAAAAAATTATGATTACCTACATTCAGTATCTCAGATCAGTTTATGGTTATGAATAAGACACTAGAACAGAAATTACAAGGTCACTTACAACACTAGACAGGGTTATGAACACCAGCATTAGAGAGAAAGTTGGAATAAGACCATGCCTGGATTTTATTGACAGGCAAAGAATGAAATGGTTCAGCCATCTATAGTTCGTTGGGTGCCTATGTGTGTGTGTGAGCAAATGGGTTTGTGTGTGTTTGTGGGTGTGTGTGTGCGCACACAAGCGTGCGCATGCATTTACCATCCAAGCTTTTGTTTTTGACTTGATACTCATAATATGCATATTATTACATGAACATAACATGCTAGATTGATAGAATACAACTGCTGTGTAAATTAATTTTTTTGTAATTTATGTTCAACTGAGTCGAGCTAAGCTGAGTCAAAAAAGACATCACAGAACTTGGGGCATTCCCATGTGTGCTCTGTCCCTATCTTCAGCAGCCAGCGCAGAGTTCCAATGCTAATGGTATGGATGCAGTCTGACTTTATGTTCATCTCTGAGTGTAGTGAGCCAGCCAGGCCCTCTGATCACACCCAGATTTATCCTTCTTTCTAGGCCATGATAATCTTTTTTCCTCCAGGCCATGATAATCTATTCTCTTCTGACTTCGTTACTTGTTTCAAAAGGGCCTTAACCACATCTGCCTTGACACATTTGTCTATGGAAATGTATTTGTTGCAGTTTTAGGTGTATGTAACGGGTTGATGATATTGAATCACTGATCGAAAAATAGTTTTAATCATTCCAAATCTGATGATCCTAAAAGGTTGATAATTGTTACCGGCTGAACAAATTGTAATCCATCTCGGTGCAAGTACTTGTCTTCCTCTCAGAGCACATGTTCAACACACTTTTTCCAGAATTGAAGTCTGTTTTTGAGGACTTTTTGAAATGTCAACACTGCATTGTGATTTCAATGTTAATTTCAGTTTTGGAGTGTAACAAGTTGATTTGTCTCTAGCATTTTTAGGATCTCACGTCTAATGACATCCATATCAAAGTCGTTAACTTTCCTTTTCCTTCCTTGCTTGACATGAGTGTACTCTGTATCCTGTCTAATCCAACAGTTAAATGATGCTAAAACCAGACCAAACATCAATTGTGTTCGTTTCTCGAGGTCATGAATATTACAATATAAATGACCCATCTTAGATTCCCAGAGGAAGTGCTGGTACAGTAAAATGGTAACCTTCTGCATAGTTATAAATTTGCATCTCAAATTCATTTTGAAATTGATGACTATGTCAGCTTTTGTAAGCTAGCTATATGACACAATAAGCTAGAGCTGCTTTTGGAAGGATGAGGCAAATCTGGAAATCCAATAGTTACTGCAGAGGAATGAAACTCCGACTCTACAAGAGCATAATTTGGCCAGTTCTTCTCTATGGAGCAGAAAGCTATGACCAAAAAAGATGCACACAAGCTGTCCACCTTCCACCCTACATGTCTACGTAGAATTATCATAATTTTCTGGCCAGATACAATCTCAAACACTAAACTACTTCAAATCACAAACCAAGAAACTCTAGACAGTATGATAACCAAGAGAAGATGGAAATGGCTTGGCCACGTTATGAGAATGAATCCTGATATACCTGCCAAAACAGTTTTTACATGGATACCAGAGGGAAAGAGAAAAAAGCGTGAGGTCGCTAAGAGTGCGACTTTGCACGAGAAAATCATGAAATTGCTTAGGTTTCCTTTGACCCCCTGTTGAGCCAGTCATAGTATGCATTTCTTCCTAAAACTAATGAAAGTAAACCTTCCCAAAGTCTACCAAGATAGTTTCATGATAAAAATATATATCGTAAAGAAGGAAAACAAACTACATATGATATTCTTCTTCAGTGAACAAAAATATTTCCTCAATGTCATAGATATTTAAAGGCAGCATGAAAAA